ATCACTGGCTGAGGCAAGAGATATCATCTGGGATCATCAGGATTGAGTATCTGCAATCAGAGAGGATGCTGGCTGATGGGTTCACAAAGGTATTATCTGGGAACAAGTGGAATAGATTCTTAGAATAATTAGGGCTATAAAGAGTGAAGAGCTCAAATACTCTGAAGGAGATAGACTTAGATGAAGTGCAAGGCAAGTTGGAAGACATGCTACTCTGAAGAGGAGATGCTGTTGTGTCCAGCTTGCAATGAGTTCCAAGCTGAGGGGGTATGTCAGATGGTAAGCCAGTTTATGGATATCCCATCTGGGACTGGAGATGAGGACTGGGAGAAACTGTCTGTACCGGTACTATCTGAGGACATATGGCTAGTGATTCTGCAGTGGCTAGTGTCCTGCACAGTCTTGGTGCCCAGAGAAGGAACATCAAAACCGGTGTCAGGCCTCAGCCTCATCCACACAAGGACATACCTGAATACAATCAGTCAACTCATCTTCAATCTTTCTGTCACCATGACATCTTCAGATACCATCAAATCTGACAATATTATATATATATCTCTATAAATTTAAGAGTTATATATTATTAAGAAGGTATAAATTTAGGAGAATTAGATTTAATTCTACCTAACTTACTAAGAAAGACTTATTATTAGAGGGTTATCAGATGGTAAGCTAGTTTATGGATATCCTATTATCAGATGGTAAGCTAGTTTATGGATATCCTATCTGGGACTGGAGATGAGGACTGGGAGAAACTGTCTGTACCGGTACTATCTGAGGATATGTGGCTAGTGATTCTGTAGTGGCTAGTGCCCTGCACAGTCTTGGTGCCCAGAGAAAGAACATCAAAACTGGTGTCAGGCCCCAGCCTCACCCACACAAGGACACACCTGAATACAATCAGTCAACCCATCTTCAATCTTTCTGTCACCGTGATATCTTCAGATACCATCAAATCTGATATCTACATACAGGCTATACTAGTAATAACTAATTATAGAAAGTTAGCGTTTTAGATTCTAACTTAGCATATTAGCAGCTTCTCTTACTTGTAAGAGAGTAAGAATTTAGAAGCTCTAAAATGTTCTTAAACTACTATAGAAAGCTTAGAGACAAGCTCTTTAAAGAAAGGAGGCTCTATAACAGGTAGCCTCTAGGTAGCCTCTAGGTAGCCCTATATAGAATAACTTAGAGTTAGGTAGGATAGCTTAGGCTAGCCTAAGTTAGCCTAGGCCTACTAGGGCCACACAAGCCTAAGCTAGAATGTAGAGATTTCCTTATATACAGCTTAGCCCTCGTGCTTTGTACAGCAGAGGATTGCATTTATCTTACCTTGCGTAAGGACGCCTTTAGTACTTAGTTATTCGTACATATCTCCTATAGGTACTCTAGTCTACACCTATTTTTTACATTAAGCCTTATTGTTAGCCGTAACTGTCTAGTTAAGGCGAATTCTTTAACGTCTCGATGTAGACTATTAAAGGAACTCGGCTTCTGCAATCCTTAGACAGTCTCGACCTTATATTCGATCTCTCGCTCTTGCTCTACTTCTACCTCCTCTAATACAGAAGAATAGATAACAACCCCTCTATCCTAGAGCCTGTAGGAAGGAGGGCTACTCTAAGCAGGATTGTAAGCTAGCGTCTAGCAATCGCGGTTGCTGTAGCTGCAGAGAGCAAGGCTATACCAGGGCGAACTGCACTAGTCAACCTTAGGGAGGCGGCGGAGGTAGTCCTTTCTACGCCTACGGCGAGACTAGCTATCGCAAAGCCGACTGTCCTTAAGGTGTATTCGGGTTCCCAGCTTAAACCCCATGCATCTGCCCATCCTGCGATCTACATGCACATCAATCGCCAGGCAGTCGAAGATTTTTGGATGCCGCATATTCCACCGAGCACGTCTACTACCCTTGGAAAGAAAACATTCCTCTCAACTCCAGCTTCGCCGTTCGACCATGTGGCACCCTTCGGCGTCGTACGTCGCTACATGGTACTATGATCCTTTCACTAGACCATGTTACAGCCACACCTGTCGCGCCCTAGATTGTTCCCGCTTCTCATCGCGCCCACACTAAGAGACGCACCAAGTGTTGCCTTCGTGCTTGATGTGGCTATCGCAAAGCTGACTGTCCTCAAGGTGTACGCCTGCGGCGAGACTGGCCATCACAAAGCCAACTGGCCCCAAGGTGCCGGTGGCGCTCGCGGAGGAAGAAGAGGAGGAGGAGGAAGAGGAGGTGGTAGTGGGGGTGGTAGTAGTTACTGCTACAACTGCAGCGAGACTGGCCATCGCAGAGCCGACTGCCCTAAGCCAAAGGATTAGAGCAAGCACACTTGATGTGTACCCGCTCGAACTCACCTTTTCCAAAAACTCCATCAACACCCTACTTGGCTGGCTCAAGGGATTCTACATGAATAAGATTATCGATTGCAATTCCTGCAAAGCAGACTGGAGCCTGGAGGTCAAGTCTGCGGTCTCCTAAGGGGCTACTTTGACGGTCTCTGTATTGATTGTATAGACAAGAGCAAAATCAAGAATAGCAGCAAGGATGAGGAATACTAGAAGAAACTAGGGGCCGTACACGGGAGGTTCGACAAGGACTGCCGCATGGCGGAGAAGCTCAAGGTGACTGGAACGATGGAAACGACGGCAACGATGGACAAGATTAGAGAGTAGTATCTGATAGTACTCCTAGTAGTAGCTGGGAGACGACTGCAACGACGGCACCGACGGCAACGATGGACAAGTTCAAGACAGCTGGAGCGAAAACGGCGGAGAAGCTCAAGGTAGCTGGAGGGAAAAGGCGGCTGGAACGAAAGACAGGTGCGGCAACACGGCAGACCATTGTGGAACGGGATGTAATAGGAATTTCGGTACTTGCACATAGGAAGAAGGAGACGCGGTTATTATGAGGCCCCGGGGGTTCTCGTGGATGCAGGCCATGTGCGCCAATGTCTGATAGTAATCTTAATAGTTAAAATACGCGGACAGAACACGTGTCTCTCCGCCTCAGGAAGATGAAGTCAATCAATCACGAGAGGGATTCATTAGTTGATAGCATGACTTCTTTGAAGTCACATACTCTTCTACATAAAGGTGATGACGCTCATGTAAAACCTCCAGGTCGAGCTGGGTATCCCCTTCTGCGCTCCGACGTCGTCCCCAAGATAGGACCAGTCAGCAAGACCGCCGCACAAGGGCAGAGTACCCGTCAGTGAGCCCTGCACAATCAAAGCCAGCAAAACTCAAAGAGGCAACGCCAGATATTGGCTGCCGGACAATGTCCCAGCTGCGTTATTATACTGGTCGTCCGAGACCGGGAAATGGCCGATTGAGACCGCTCCCGCTGATGGGCACACTGTGCCCAGGGACGGGACTACCAATCTCTCCGAGAGCTGCCTTGGGCGCGCTTTCCTCGGTGAACTTGATGTGCGAAAGCTGGGGTACAGGCCCAGGTACCTCTCGATACACCAGAGTGCCGCCGCCATTTGATGGATCTCCGAAGACATCGCATGCCGCTTTGATCTCCTCAGACGAAGCCGGCGGCTCTCCCATTTGGTTAAGAAGCACCGAGTCGAGTTGGTGTGTCACCTCGTTGATGTCCAGGAAGCCGTCCGTGGTGGATTGTCGGCCGGCGAAAGTTCTACAAATCGAACAGAGCATTCGACGGATCCAGACAAGGCGCTGCTCCCCCAGTCGCGGGGGACCCAGCAACGGATGCGGAGCATTGAACACGGATGTGGTGGGGGATCCGCCCCAGAGATGGCCAGCAGCCGCGGGAAACGATGGAGCTCCCCATGCGCCGCCGGGAGAGCCACTAAAAGAATTGAACCCATCGTTTCTAGGCAGTGGAGGATGATCCCCATAATTAAATGTCAAAGGCCGCAAGGTATTCAGCCCGTGTTGCAGACTGGTTCGACGTGGCTCCACAGGCGGTTCAATGTCGGCATCGTCTAGCAGCGCTCTGCTGCCCAGATGACCGGCGAGCTCGTCCACATCCGAGTGGTGATCATCTGCATGGGGTTTTACACTTGAAGGACGCTGAATGGGAGTCGGCCGGGATATTGGCTGAGCCGGAGTGGGGGCGGCCGGTGTCTCTGTGCTGGCCTTGCCGAACGTCCCGGATGCTTGTCGAGAGTGAGAAGGTACACTCAATGGGTATCCAGGTATTGGTCCCGAAGCTGAAAACGTGGATATATCTCCAAGTCCTGGTGGTGAGTTCACCGGGAATCCGCGTCCACCCGGCAGAGGGCTCATGGTGTGAGCACTAGGCTGAGGATACAAAGGATAACCCTGAGAGCCAGGCGCACGAGGAAAGAACGGCAGATTGCTGTGGCTGATACTGGAGCGTGGGCCGGCCAACCCGGGAGGCGCCATGGCACTTTGCCCAAACGGAGAACTACTGAACCCAGGCGGCATGTTCATGGCATGAGGCACCGGCATGCCGGGAGGAGGAGCTATTGGGAGCATAGGAGACATAGCTGAGCCGTGAGATGTTGGCGTGGGTTGCTGAGAGGTGGCCGGCTTGGTTCCGATTGATTTGGGAGCGACTGAGTGGAGCAGCTGAGATGTCGGCGATATGGATTGGCTCGTGCCAGGAGCTATATGTGGCGTCTTGGGGGATGAACCATGGGAGCCTTGTTGAGAGGTTTGGCGTGGACGGTTTGGAGTAGGAGCCGGAGCCGGAGCCTTTGGGATGGCTGGCGTAATGTGCGGCGACGCAACTCCGGCGGGTGCGTTCTGCTTTACCAAGGTCGGTGGTAGCGGAACAGCAATAGGCTGCGAAGCCTTTTTCGCCGCAGCAGCAGCAGCCTGTTCTTCCTTACGCTGACGTTCTCTCTCGGCTTTTGCCTTAAGTTCACGCTCACGACGTTCTCTTTCCTCCTGCGCCTTCTTCTCTCGAGCCTCCTTCTCTCTCGCCTCACGCTCTTCACGCTCCTTCCGCCTTGCCTCCTCCTTGGCCTTCTTTTCCTGCTGCTTGAGTTCGCGCTGTTTTCGTTCGGCCTCCAGTTGACGCTCTCGCTCCTCCTGCTGTCGCCTCAGTTTCTCGGCTTCCTTGCGTTGCCTCTCCTCCTCTTGAGCCTTGCGCTCGGCCTCCTTCTTCCTCCTCTGCTCCTCCTTCTTTTTGCGCAACTCTTCCTGACGCCTCTCCTCCTCGGCCTTTGCTGCTGCTTCCTTGGCCGCTTGCGCGGCCTGCTTTTGAGCATTTGTCTCCTCTCTCAGCTTCTTTGCCTGCTCTTTACGTTCTCGACGTTTCTGCGCAGCGAGGGCCTTCTTTGCCTCCCGCTCTTTCTTCCTCAACTCCTCCTGGGCTTCCTCTTCCAGCAACTTTTGTTGGCGCTCCGCAGCGACCTTTTCTCGATATGCTTGAAGGACTCGCTGCTCAAACATACGCGCCGCAAAAATCTGAAACATACGCCGGCCTTCCTCCATACGCTGCTCCTCCGTCATCGTGTCCTACACTGTTAGTCCTGTGCATCACACAATTGTTGATGTGGTCCCACTCACATCCTCATCCTCCTCGTCATCCTCGTAATCATCATCTTCATAGTCTGCTTCCTCGTCCTCCTCATCGTCGTAGTAGTCGGCTTCGGGGGGCGAGCCTTGGTCATGATGGCGCCTGTGCATGTCCGGTGGATGGTGGGATTGGTACGTGGCCTCCTCCTCTCGCTGCATCCTCCGTTCAGCAAGCTGTTCCATCATCTCTATGAACTTTTTGCCGTCATTTTTCAACAGATCATCGGCAACCGTAAGGATGCCACCTAGACAGATCAGCGCTGGACGCAGAGTTCGCACGGGGGTCAGGTACCTTTCACTTGTAAGCTGCTGCCAAACTGTAGGAAATCTGCGTCGGGGTGTGGAGGTAAGCTTGTCGGTTCCACGGAGCTATCGTCTTCATAAGATATCTCACTTGAGTATTCATCATCCTCCCCCTCGTCCTCATCCCCTTGCGAGATATCATCTCCTTCGTCGTACTGCCCAGGGGGAGGATGCGTGCGCATGAGGCGGCGTTCGTGCGGCTGCGGCGGGTGGCTAGGCGGTAACACCGAGGAGAGCATGGGGCCAATGTCCTGCCTCTGGTTCGCGTATTGTTCCAGCTCGTCATAATAAGCATCGTATAGCACCTCCAGTTCCTCCTCAATGGCATGCCGCTTTCTTCCGCACACGGTGCAGCTGCAAGAGTGCTTCTGTTGCTCCTTCATCTTCTTCAGAACGGCCTCCTTCTCGATTTTGACCAATGATTTGCGCTCGTTCTCATTCAACCCCAACCAGAATTCCCTAATATTGTTCCGCTCCTCGTTGGTCGTGGTATTCCATAGGTTTTTCGATGTTCCGGTGGAGCTGGTTGTATGCGGCTGGGATGGGATGTAGTGAGCCTGTTGGGCACTTGCGCTTCCTCTCCTCTTTTTCTTCCTCGGCTTCTTGCGTCCAGAACCTGCGGCTCCGCCCCTTGGGTACCCCTCGGACGGATGACCGTTCGTGCCATAAGCCTGACGGTTGTCGTGCCCATCTTCGTCCTCGGAATAGAAGTCTCCCTCGTCATCGTCCGGGACATAACTGGAATCCTCCGGTTCTGGAGCGGGGGCGGATTGACGGCCATGGGAGGATGTGATGTTGCCATTCTGAACCGGAGCCGTAGTCTGCCTGCGGGCTTCAGCCGCTTGCTTCAGCGCCAACTTCTCTCGCCGCTTCTGCTTTTTGCGATTGACTCCCATGGGCAGAGCGGCCTGTGATGTCCCATTGAGCGATCCCGCTGGAGGTACGGCGGACGAGGGTTTCGTACCCTGGGCCATGGAATCGGGCCGCGGAGGTGAAGAAGGAGGGTTGCTAAGACAAAGATTAGAGAGAGTCCCACTTCCAAGGGGGAGGTGGTTCGGCGAGAAGGGGCGCTGGACGGGCAACAAGGTGCACGTTGCGAAAGCCACCAGACTGAAGGTAGGAGGCCCTCGCAGGCTACAACGTACTGTGCAGTAGTAGAACGGTTGGCCGTCTGTGGGCCAGGGAGCGCGGGTAACGGGCGTGTGTGAAGGCGGGCAATGAGTGCTTGCCGGTCGACAGCGCCGCTGAGATTCTAGTGGATTGTAGGCGTGTCGCAAGGCGAGAGTCGCGTGGTAGGAGGCGTTCCCAGCCCGGGTAGATAGGTGGGTTGTATAAGTGGGTTGGAGTGTAATGCTGGAAGAAGGTGAGGACGTTGCTGAAGTCGCTAGTTGGCTTGGCATTGGTGGGAGGGCTCTCTCATGGATGGATCTGATCAAATGGACGGCTTCCCCGGCCAACAGCGAACCGACCCGCCGCCTGTGCGTTGCTGCTGCGCCTTGCGCCCTTTCACCTCTCACACCTCACTCTCCCACTCTCCACTCTCTCTCTCTCTCTCTCCCCCTCCCTCCTTCCTCACCACCACACCAGCAATTACTCGATCTCCTCTCCCTCTCCGCCGCCGTCAACCACCAGGAGCGCCGTTACCCGCCCGCTCTGCTCCTCTCGCTACATACATACATATATATAACGCACAACGTAGCGCAACCACGCCCGTCACCTCCGCACCGCCCCTCGACAGCTCTCTTCTCCAGCTCTCCTCTCCTCTCCACCCCCCTCTCGCCCCGGGCTCCATTGCATCGGTTTGCCTTCTGGTGCTCTCGAGCTTCTTCGCCAAGGGCAGCCTTTGGCCGTCGACCGGTTGCCGCGAGGGCTGCTCAATTCCGAACCCTCCGCTGGTCGCTCGTGGCACTGTAACCAGCACTTTTTGCTCCAGCATCCAGCGCTGCCACCCAATTGCTCCGCTGGCAGAGAGATACGCTTCCAAGATGGCCCAGAATGGCGAGCCAGTCATGCGAAGGTACGCATCACCATGACTTCCATGCTGTTTCTGCCCTTCTCCTCCGCATTTCCCCGTACAGGCATCATTTTGCTGCGCTCTCCCTTTTCTCCACGCCAGAACACAAAGCTCGTTTCAGAATCTGGAAGAGCATCATCATCCCTCGGGCCCTGCGCGATGCGTGCATTGGCATTCCCGAAAAGGAGCCGTTTTGCTCTAAAAATAGGGTCCCTTACAACATCCCCTTGTCCATCTTCGATCCACTCCAATGTCTTTCCGTGTTCTGCATCCAGCGCTATTGTTTCGACACGACTGTGACTTTTGGTTGCTTGCGCTTTTTTTTCTTTTTTTTTTCTTAGAGACACTGACCAGGCCGGAAACAGAAAGCTTGTCATCATAGGCGATGGTGCTTGCGGCAAAACGTCGTTGTTGAGCGTCTTCACACTGGGATACTTTCCTACGGTACGCACCTCTTTGCCAGCGGAAGCTCGTGCCAGGTTGCATTCTGACCCCCCATATTTAGCGCTATGTCCCCACGGTTTTTGAAAACTATGTCACGGACTGCAGGGTGGACGGCAAATCCGTGCAACTGGCATTGTGGGATACTGCAGGGCAGGAGGATTATGAACGCCTAAGGCCACTCGCATATTCCAAAGCCCATGTGATACTGATTGGCTTTTCCGTCGACTCGCCCGACTCCCTGGAAAACGTCAAGCACAAGTGGGCGGAAGAGGCGCGTGAGCGATGTCCCGGAGTGCCCATTATTCTCGTCGGCTTGAAGAAAGATCTCCGCGATGACCCTCTTGCTCAAGAAGAGATGCGGAAGAAGAGTCTCAAGTTCACCACGCCGAAGGCCGGCAACGATATGAAGGAGATGATTGGCGCACGAAAATATCTCGAATGCTCGTCCCTGACAGGCGAGGGGGTCGACGATGTTTTCGAGGCTGCCACTCGCGCAGCTCTGCTCTCCGTGGACAAGAAGGAGAACGGCGGTTGCTGCGTGATTCTGTAAGCGGAGATGATGTGTCAGTCTATTCTTCCATTGCATTGGGCGGTGTTGTCTGGGCATATTCTTTTCCATTCTTGCTTTCGCCGAACGGTTGCTGAGCCAAGCTGGGCGTTGGTTGCTGAGCGCTCCATTTGCTCTCCGCATGTTGAGAGTCCTGATTCCGATTCCTGGGCGACTTTTCTTTCCACATCCGGCAAGCGGCTGGAGTCACTGCGGATGCATAGGCTGCCGTCGTTTCCGATTGGTATTGGACATATGATTGACTTGGTGGATCCGGAATGAATATGGCTTACCTCTGCTACATAATGAAGACGGACGTAATAACTGGCTTTGAATAGCTGCCTGTTCTAACCCGCGCATGTGCGGTAGCTTCTTCAGATGCCACTGTGCTGTTTCTGATAGGATTACATGGCCCTACCGTACCTGCTGGTATCTATCTTACACACAACGTGGCCACCTAGTCCTTTGTACAAGATGCCCTCGCTTTTCATCGCCTATCTTGTCCAGCCATGATTCCATCCCTCCCTCGAGGGGAAATCCACCTGCGCTCTAGCATACTCGACAGGCACGCTCCCCCAGATACCAACCTTCCTCATGGCGCCTCGATACAATCTGCCCACCTCCTTGCCTCTGGGACCCAGCGTTCCCGGATCAGCACCCTGGCCACCAGCCTCGGCCGGGGGCACGGTCATGCCATTGTCGTCCATGAGGCGCAGATGTTCGCACGCCGCGCGCATCGACTCATACTGGCGCTCCAGTTCGAGCTCCTCGGCTCGGCGCCGCTTGCGCAAGAAAAGCATCCATGCGCGGTGGATGGTCCAGTGGCGGAGGTAGCGGGTGCGAGAGAAGTGGAGGGGACGGGGAGTTAGGGGGTGTTGCAGGTGGTAGCGGATGGCGGCTGGAGGCATGTCAATGATGCATCCCAGAAACCGGACAAGCTCTTGACATACTGACGCGTGGATCTGCTGCATTTGCCTTGCCTTTACTCCTCTTTCCTAACCGAGCTGTTGTGGAGAAGGGGGATGTGCATGGAGCTACCACGGGCTTGCGAGGGGAATGTATCCGGGGGGAGAGGAGGTTGCGTGAGCAACAACTGGACGGATTGAGAGGCCGAAAGACCGGCCGCCATAGGGGGGGTCTCATTGCGCGTGGGCTTGGAAGATTGCAGAAGATGGCGAGCCAACTCGTCGTTGCTGAAGGCTGTCGGCTGAAATCGGTCTTTAGATGTAGATGTAGTGTATGTTCTGCAACCGGAATTTCACAATGCGCCAAGGCCAGGTGCTGTTCCAAGCAGGGCTGTCACATGATCTTCGTCCAATACATCCTTGACATGCAGTACACAGTAATAAGGGAAATGGACCAAGGTGACGGTTACATTAGATTTCCATCCTTGTGCATAGACATATATATGGGGTGGGTGAGGAAGTGGACTATTTGTCCAACATCCCGTTCCGCCCATTGCCCTAAGGACTTTGGGAGCTGAAAGAGCGGTGAAACTCCATTCAATAGATAATTTGAAATGGGGAGATGAGGGAGCAAGCCACGAATCTCCAGCTCGCAGAGAGACATAGATGCATGCCAGCACTGGTCCTGGGGGGGCAAGGCCGAAGGAGGTACGTACTTGGAGAGCAGCCAGACACCACCTTTGCACAGCTGGTGGACAACTAATAAAAAGATGCTTCTCGAGCTTGACTTGGTGGTATGTATCTACCGCTCCACAGTAGTAAGGCGGAACGCCATCCAAGAGGGGAAAAGCGCTGGCGCCGCCTCTCTTTGTGCCTGAGGGAAAGCCCTGGACGGAGAGGGGTGAGGGGCGGCGCGGGATGCGCTTGAGGCTCTGCTCATCTCTGCTGCATGATTCAACCATATAAAAACCTCCTTGTTCCCGCCGCAGACGTAACCATTGCCCGATTGCCCTTCCTACTCTCGCTCAACCCACCAGTATCCCATTTCGCGTCTCTAGACTTTGTTCTCATTCCACCACCCATCTCCAACAAGTCTTCTTTCTCATCCCCCATCAACAACCCATGGCGGATCCCATTGCTGAGGCTGCGCAGAAGCACCCTGCGCCTGAAGGCCTCACCTACACATATGGCACGGCTGGTGTAAGTATTTTGTGCTGCGCCTGATTGCCCCGATTCTGACCCTCTGGCGTAGTTTCGCACCAAAGCGTAAGCTCCCTGTTTACATCCTGGAGCTCTGAAGCTCGCAAACCCATCTGCCCGGCTTTGGCCAGTCAAAAACTGACCCCATCAGCGACGTCTTGGACTCGGTTCTCACCCGCGTTGGCTTGATCGCCGCTCTACGTTCGCGTGCTTTGAAAGGGCAATGGATTGGTGTCATGATTACAGCATCCCACAACCCACCCGGCGACAATGGTGTCAAGCTTGTGGAGCCGCTGGTACGTGGACCACCGAGGCGCGACGAATCCTAGCTAACCATGTCAAAGGGCAACATGTTGCAAGTATGATCAGCCTTCACCATCTGCCAACCACTACCCAAACGGCCAAACATCTCACGCGTATAACTAGGAAGAATGGGAGGTGCTGAGCACAACCATGGCAAACAAGGCGACTCCAGAGGACGTATCTCAGTACTACCGCGATATTGCGAAGACGCACCGCATTGATTTAGCCACGCCCGCACGCGTAGTCGTCGCCAGGGACACAAGGGCATCCGGTGCAAGATTGCTTGGCTGTCTTGTTGACGGGCTCAAGGCCGCTGGCGCCGATTACAAGGACTTTGGGTTCCTCACAACGCCGCAACTCCACTACATGGTTCGGTGCTTGAATACTGAGGGTACCCCCAACGCCTACGGCTCCCCGACAGAAAAGGGGTACTACGAGAAGTTTGGCGCCGCCTTCAAGAACGCCCTCAAGGGAAAGAAGCCGTCAGGGGGATTGACTGTTGATTGCGCCAATGGCGTTGGCGGCCCCAAGCTCACTGAGCTGATCAAGTATCTGCCGTCTGAAGACGAGGGTGGTCTGAAGATTACAGTCATCAATGACAACGTCATCAAGCCCGACAGCTTGAACGTTGAGGTGAGTATCCCTCCTGTGCCAATTCTATTTTGAGGGGGGTTACTGAAAGGAGAGATGTAACAGTGCGGGGCGGACTACGTCAAGACGAACCAACGGGCACCCCCCTCTTCCAAGGCAGGACCCAACGACCGCTGCTGCTCGTTGGATGGAGACGCCGACCGAGTTGTCTATTACTTCAAGGATGACAGCAACGTATTCCATCTGCTCGACGGCGACCGAATCGCCACTCTTGTCGCCTCGTTCCTTGGCGACCTCATCCGCCAGAGTGGACTCGCCGAGCAGATCACCATCGGTGTTGTTCAGACGGCGTACGCTAACGGGGCAGCGACAAAGTACGTGGAGCAGACGCTCAAGTTGAAGGTGGACTGCACGCCGACAGGAGTGAAATACCTGCACCATGCGGCTGAGAAGCTGGATATTGGTGTCTACTTTGAGGCCAATGGCCACGGCACCGTCATCTTCTCGCACGAGACGTTGGAGGCGATTGCAAGGCACGAGGCGAGGAACCCGGGACAGAAGGAAGCGTTGGACATCCTGCGGGCTACGGTGGAGCTGATCAACCAAGCGGTGGGGGACGCGCTGAGCGACATGTTGCTGGTGGAAGTGGTGCTCGCCCACAAGAACTGGACGGTTCAGAACTGGCTGTCGACGTACGACGACCTGCCGAACCGGCTTCTCAAAGTCACCGTGTCGGACCGGAACAGGTTCCAGACGACGGACGCGGAGCGGCGGCTGGTCAAGCCCGAGGGGATCCAGAAGCTCATTGATCAAGAAGTGCAGAAGGTTCGGCAGGGCCGCGCATTTGCACGAGCCAGTGGCACCGAGGACGCGGTGCGTGTATACGCAGAAGCAGCGACAAGGGCCGAGGCAGATGATCTTGCGCGTCGAGTTGCCGACCTCGTGAAGGCAGCCGGTACCGTCTAACCCAAGGGGGTGGGAAATGGGGATGGAGAGGAGAGGGTTTTGTGTGTGCAAAGCGGATGAAATGGCAAAAGTATCCTGTGAAGGCCTTGCTCATCCTCTGCGTCGTCGTCGGAACTACCTAGGTAGATCCAAGCCGTTGCAGGTTGGGGGATCGGGGCCGACCATTCCAACCATTATTCGCCTGACTAAGCAGGAGCAAGCTGCCATGAAGCTGTTGCCCGAATCCATCAGATGATGCATGCAATGTCTCTCTGCTACCCCCGCCTGCCTGGCCCTCGTTCCCGCCTGAGCAGATGGATGCACTCTCACCTGGTTACTGTGTATAGCTTCTTTCTTTCGGGGAACGGGAGAAGAAGGAGGAAAGGGAGAAAGCGGGTACGTTTTCCAATCTGGTTCCGCGTTATGGGTGGCTATGATGACGAGGGCGATTTTGATGCGCAGGCACCAAGTCGTTCGACAGATACTTTGTACAGAGAACCCGGGCTTGTCCCGTGGAGCTCCGTGTGCGACAAGAACAAGAACAAGAGCCGTCTGAGCCAAGTCCCTCTCCGCTGCACTGCTGCCCATGAGTAGCATCCGAGATTTCTGGAATCTGAACGTGTTGGCTAACGTGGAGCAGCGTCCTACTGTGAACCGGCGACCGGACGAGGCGAATAATCTACCACGGAGAAGATACCACGGAGAAGAATAATATAGATTGATACACAAACCATGGGGCAACACAGTCGGCATCTGCTATCTACTCGGCACTCGTACTACAGTACATGTACACAGTGTACTGCTGTATAAGGCTATGTTCCTCCCTACATATATAGAGTCCTCGCCGGCCTGCGTCATGGCGCCACCTTTCTGGGCGCTTCTGGGCAATCTATCCACTTCTATCTAAAGGACTGGTTCGTGCGCTGCGTGGCGCCATCTGGACCAACCAGCTTGCCTCGGGGCCTGGTCAACTCTGCTAGTGCCCGCATGCCGCGCGCCTCCTCCAGCGCTCCTCCCACGCCTCTTCCATTCTCCATCCATCTCTCCATCTCTTCCACCACAAAACCCTTTTTCTTTGTGTGTCTCCTTTCATTTCATTTCATACGCCCGTCTTTTCCCCTGCAAAACCACGCCCTGCTTCCTTTCTCTATCCTTCTCCGCCCTTTGTCCCCTTGTTCTATTCTTCCAAAACTCGTCGTAATCCTTCCTACCACCATCCCATTGCTCTCATCAACCACCAAAAGGCCATGTCCTAACAGTCCTCGACCTTGCACCCCTACGACTTAATCTGTCCGCTTCTTCTCCCTCGCAGGAACCACATTCGCTGAATCCTCGACTCGACTATACATCCGTTTTCGACTACCCATGGCGAGACAACGGCTGCCCCGCGATGCCACGGGCGACAAATTTATGCAGCTCATGAGCGATCCGTTTGCCTCGGGTGTACTGTAGCCCCCATGCCCCCCCCTCTGATCTTCGACTGACTGGCACCCCAGGTCACATCCGATTCCATCTTGATAGCCGTCTTCACCGCCCTCGGCGTATCCGCTGCCGTCTTCGTCGTCTTCCTGCTCGTTCGCCCCTTCAACTCGACCGTCTACGCACCCCGCCTTCGCCATGCCGACGAGAAACACAAACCACCCCCGCTAGGCAAAGGCCTTTTTGCTTGGTACAATCCCGTCTTCAGGTACAACGAAGATCAGTACGTCGAGACCATCGGCTTGGACGCCGCCGTCTTTCTTCGCTTCGCCCGCATGTGCCGCAACTTGTTCGCCGTGCTTGCCATCGTCGGCTGTGCAATCATCATACCCATCAATGTCATCAACGCAAAGGCATTCCAGAAGAAGCTGGCCTCCGACGGTGTAGGGCGGAACAATGACGCCATCTTTTTGATGTCGCCCCAGAGCCTGTTTGGGGGCATTGTCTGGGCCTTCGTTGCCGTAGCCTATGTGTTTACAGCAATCATCTGCTTTTTCCTGTGGTGGAACTACCGTGCCGTCCATAGGTTGAGGAGAAGGTACCTCGAGAGTGCTGAATACCAAAACAGTCTCCACGCCAGGACGCTGATGGTCACCGACATACCAAGGAACCTCAGGAGCGACCATGGAATTGTGGAAATCACCGACGCCGTGCGCACCACCAACGAGGTTCCCCGTGCTTCCATCGGTCGCAACGTCAAGGATATCCCAGACCTCATCGAGCAGCACGAGGAAGCCGTCATGGCTCTGGAAAAGGTCTTGGCAAAGTACCTGAAGAATCCGAACCAACTTCCCGCCCAGCGGCCCCTCTGCAAGCCATCCAGGAGAGACACCGAATTTGCCATGAAAGGGGAAAAGGTCGATGCCATCGATTACCTTACCGCCCGCATCGAACGGCTGGAAGCGAAGATCAAGGAAGCCCGAGAAACAGTGGATAAGAGAGATGCGATGCCGTACGGTTTTGCCAGCTACGAGGCGATCGACTCCGCGCACAGTGTTGCATACGCTGCCCGATCAAAGCATCCCCACGGTACAACCATCGGCTTAGCCCCGAGGCCAAACGACATCATTTGGAAGAACCTGCCGCTGGATCCAAAGACGAGACGTTGGAGGCGATTCATCAACAACCTGTGGATTTCGCTCTTGACCGTCCTCTACTTCATCCCAAACGCCCTGATTGCCGTTTTCCTTTCCAAGCTGTCCAATCTGGCCAACCTTTGGGAAGGGTTCAATACGCAGATGCGGGAGAATCCCAAGTTCTGGGCGGTGGTTCAAGGTATCCTAGCGCCTGCCCTGACCTCGCTCTTCTACTACTTCCTGCCCATCATCTTCCGCCGACTTTCGATGAAGGCTGGTGATTTGACCAAAACCTCGCGCGAGAGGCACGTAATCCACCAGCTTTATTCCTTCTTCGTCTTTAACAATCTCTTTGTCTTCTCGCTCTTCGCGGCCGTTTTCCGGTTCGTGACGATCGTGGTGGCACAAGCTCGCGCCGACGGAGGGTCCTTCCTGAACACGGTTCGAACCTATGACTATTTCGAGGTCGTCATGGTCTCTCTAAGCGATGTTTCTCCTTTCTGGGTGGGTTTTCGGCTCCTTCATGGTCTATACCTGGGATTGGAGGCTGACTGACATCTTTGTAGATCACATGGCTTGTGCAACGTAACTTGGGCGCAGCCATTGACTTAGCGCAGGTTGTAAATCTTGCGTGGGGCTCATTTTCGCGCAAATTCCTCAATCCAACACCTAGAGAGTTGATCAAGCGGACTGCTCCGCCCCCCTTTGACTATGCATCCTACTACAATTATTTTCTGTTCTACTCCACCGTCGCGCTGTGCTTCGCAGCTCTGCAACCCGTCACGCTCGTCGTCACGGCATTCTACTTCGCCATGGATGCCTCCATGAAGAAGTATCTGCTGCTGTAAGTTCGTCAGGTTTTGTGTCTCTGGATGCCACGGCTAATGTATGAAAAAGGTATGTTTTCTGCACAAAGAATGAATCTGGTGGGCTCTACTGGCGCGTCATATTCAATCGATTTCTCGTGGGCACTTTCCTTGCCAACTTGATCATCGCCTGCATGTGTGGGGCTCGAGGATTCGAGCAGAAATGGTACATGCTTGCTGCGATGATTCCGCTGGTACTTGGTCTCATTGCCTTCAAGCTGTATTGCAAGCGCGCATTCGATACGGAGATGAAGTATTACACAAAGGGTTCACTCGGCAAGGGAGCCGAGGCACCCGCACCTATTGACAAGGAGTCCCGTAAGAGGGACCGCGTTGCTGTCCGATTCGGTAACCCGGCCCTCTATCAGAAATTGACTGTGCCGATGGTACATAAGAAGAGTCAGCATCTGCTTGCTGAGATTTACAAGGGACGGTTGGACGGCGATCTCGGTACTACGGCCGGGTTCAGCGACATGTACAGCATGAAGCGGATGAGCAAGGAGACGCCTGGGAAAGCAGCCAGTGCGGGGCCGTTCGAGTTTGTCTCGGAGGCGGACATGGATTTCGAAAACTTTAAGAATCGGCCAGAGTTCAGCAACGAACATGGCGGAGAAGGCTCTGTATACGGCCACGTGAGCAGACCGGGGACACCGGCCGGTAGCGAGCGCGGGCGGTCGTCCTCGAGGGGCTCGGAACGGACCTACGCAGGGGACGAGATGGGTGTCACCTACCCGACCGGATACCACAATACGCCTTCGAATCTTCGCGAATACAGCCCGAGCCCTGAGCGCGGCGGTTTCGGGAGGATGGATAGCAATCAGAGCAATCCGAGCGATCCGTACCAGGTTAGGGACCATACAGCTCTGCTGGACGGAGCGGCGCCGATGGGCCATATGACGCCGACGCAGAGCTACACGCCGTATAGCCCGGAGAGGGAAGGCGGCTCGGACTATTTCCGGCCTGTCCGATAAGGTAGCGAGAGGAGGCGTGCGTGGATAGTAGAGGTGGTTTGACATGACATGGACTTTGAATCTCTCCCGCATTCCTTGGCGTTTTGCATTTCGGCTGGAAACTGGTTGTCGGGATCCTGGGGGCGTTCTCTTCAGCAGCCATTGTGGCGCTGCTTGCATATCTTTCTGGCGCAGGGGGAACGGGTATTAGATATGGTCAGGGCCAGACCCAGAAAGGAGTTGACAAGCATCTAGATGTATGTACGATTCACCGGCAAGCATTTTGCCTTGGGGTGGAAATCTTTCGAGATGGGGACATGTGTAGCAGCGGCGTCAAGACATGAGCCATGGCATGGACAAGCAGGAACACGGAATCACAAGGACAAGGCCACCCATGGTCTGGTAAAAAAAGAAGTAACCAATAGATGACGGTTCGGTATGTCTTCAAGCAGAGAGAGTCTCAAAGCTCCCGCTCTATCGTCTTTGAAGCTCCTCTAAGCATTACCAATGCCCCTTCTCTCGTTGCCTCCTACCAAGCCCCTGCCCGACAGGCCCCTCGATTCGAAGCTGGCTCTTCTCCCCCAGTTGGGCGGCTGCCTCTTGACAAAGGCGCCCACGCTGCCCAGATAGCCCTCGTGCCTGAGGAAGTAGGCCTGCTTGGTCCCCTTGCTCCAGAAATTGATGGCGTAGCTCAGCGTATGCATCGTCTGGCTATGCCCGCCGATGAAACTGCCGCCGAAGTAGACATCGCGCAGCCCATGCTTCTCGGCATGGAGGTAGGCGATTTGGCCAATGTTGTTGGAGACGGCGTACAGCAGGGAGCGGCTGATGTCCTCGGGGCGGAACATGCCGCTGTCTGGGTGGTGGAGGTCGTCGTGCAGGTTCCTGGCGTTGGCTCCCCTGTTCTCCTCCGCGGAGAACTTGTTCTTCCCCGAGCAGCCGTCCTCGGCCTTGCGCTCCGCCTCGCGCTTCATCTTGTACACCTTGCCCATGGATGAGGCAATGTGCGTCGCCTTGAGGCCGATCTTGTTGTACTCGCTTCCGTAGATGTCGCCGACGAGCAGGTCGACGGCGGCGTTGTCGCCGCTCTCCGAGAGGCGCAGCATGTCGTCGAAGCTGCGGGCTCCCGTGAGCAGGGAGAGGAGACCCCAGAGGGTGCCGCCGCCGAGCGAGGTGCCGCCTATGCGTTCGAACTGCCGGGGCCCCGAGACCTTGATCATGCTGACGCCGGAGCCAATGTTGACGAGGAGGTAGGGGTAGCTGTCGGAGGGGTTCTGCGGACGGGGCACGAAGCCCATGGGGCTGTCTTCGGTGTAGGTGAAGACCTCGTCGGGGATCTCGGTGATGAAGAAATCGAGGCCTGGATGGGTTTGTGAGTCTTGAGAGTGCTCGAGTGCCGTTGAGTCGGCCCTGTTGAGTGTGCGCGCACCTATGATCAGACACTCCATTTCGTCCTCGCGTATCACCTCGACGCCTAGTGCTTCTCTTATCCGGTCGTAGTATTTGAATGCGCCGCCTCCCGTCGCCATGACGCACAGATCCTCGGCCTTGTTGCCGTTGTGCTGCGCATACTTGGCCTGCAGGTTGCGCATAAAGTCTATACAGGCTTCGATGTTTGCCGTCTCGAACTTGACAAAGTTCAGTCGCCCGCCGTCGGACGCCGAGGTGGATTCCTGGGAGAAGTAGACAAGTTTGGCCAATGAGCCGCCAATCTGTAGATGTCTGTTAGTGTTTTTGAAAAGAGAGAAACAAGTCTCGTGGTCTAGGGGAAAGCCTACGTCAACGGCTATGTGGCTGACGACACCGGTATGGTTGGGCAGGCGTATGTCGTGCGGATCCTGGGTGTAATCCTCACTCCGCGGCGTGGTGGGCTCGTCGTCGGTGGAGATGAAGGCGCCCTGGACATTGATGCGGACGGCGCCCGGGTGCTGAATGGTCTCCTCGACGGCGCATTGGGAGGGAGTCTTGACGGACCGCGAGGGGAGTCTGCGCCGAGCGGATTGCCTTGGAGAGGAGGGTGCAGGTGCAGGTGCAGGTGCAGGTGTGGAAGAGGAGAAGGAGGAGGAGGACATGGCGCCGAGGGAGGATGACGATGACGACGAAGAGGGCGACGAGGGGGCTTGGGTTCTTGGCTGCAGCCTCACGCGCTGGCGTCGGTGCGTGGTTGGGGGAGCTCTGTGGAGGAAGAGGGGTGGATGGAAGGTCGCCGTCGCCGTCGCTGAGAATGAGGATGAGGAGGATGAGGATGATGATGTTGCTGCTTCCATTTGTCCTGGCTGCTTTTTTTGGTCGCTTTGAGGTGTCGGGTGGGCGTCGTGTGCGCTGCTTCAACGAGGGCAGACGTGATGAGGAGTTCGCCGGATTTCAAGGACCGACGGCGGCCGACTCGAGAGGATTCTTATGAAGACGGACATGGCGTGCGTACTCCGGCTAACGGACGCTGGGCCAGGCCAAATAAGCTCGGTATCGGTAACGGGGAAGTTGGTTTTGTGGTGGGTGTGGGTGTGGGGGAGCCGAGTGAGTGAGTGAATGTTGGGCTTTCGAGGAGTAATCAGTCCGAGAAGGACCTCGGAACTTTTTGGGACGTCTATCGGTAGTAAATATCTGTCACGCATATAAAGAGCTTGTTCTGCGTTGCAGATAGGTTAAACCTTTTGCGCGTGGTTCAGGCGTCAGTTTCATAGTATCAATATGGGACGGATCCCCTATTTTGCGCGGTGAATAACACAGTCATAAACAAGACTTGCACATTCCGATCAGGACAAAAGGGTATCTAGAATAACGAGCGCAGCCAACCAGGAGCCCCAAGATAGAAAATGCCAAAAACGCCTCCGCAAAAATGAACCCTCTGTTATCACCATTGAAAACCCGCAGCCAGCAATTCCAAGCCCTGCTTAGAGGTCGGACTAATGACGTCCTCGAATCCCGATGGAAGCCCCGTGCCAGACCTACAATTGTTAGTACAGCTCTTACGAGTCTTTCCAGAGTCAATGCCTTACTTGATGAAATTCATGGCCATGTTGCGCGCCTTGTCCTTCAGATTGAGTTGCGTCCGATGTTGAAGCACCTTGTGGCCCTCTGTCCTGTCGTACTCCAGAATCGATGCATACTTCCGTGGGAACCGTGCCATGTATTCCTCAAATGCTGCTACCTCCCTCCCTGTCCAATCTCGACGTTTTTGCCCTTCGTGCTGCCTGACGGCCCTGGCATTCCGACGTGCCAGTGCTTGAACATCAGAATACGTAGGTGCCGGTGCCTCTTCTGTCATCTCAGGCGCCTCAGTCTCCGAGATACTATCCTCTTGCTGCCCTGGGCTCGTCACGGGCGGTTGATGGCTAGGCAGTGCTCCTGAAGACGGTGGCTCCAATCGAACCTTCTTCGCTACAGGAGCCTGCTGCCTGCGTTCCGCTGCCCGCCCATCATCCTGTCGCGTTTCAAACCCTTCGTCCTCGTCCGCGTCCTCCTCCTCGAACAGGCGCCTATTGCGCCTCTGCACCGGCACCCGCTCCATTCTCTGGCGACGTTCCGGAGTCGGCTGGCTTGCCTCACCATCAAATCCGTCGCCAAACTCGATCCGTTGAGCCGTGGCTTGTCGAGCAAATATATCTCCCTGGTTCTCTTTGCCCTTATTTTGCGTCTGTTTGATGAGCTTGACGAACTCAGGACGAGTTTGAGGGGGTCCCGAGCTTGTGGGCCTCATCGAAGGGCCTTCCCCAGCGGATTGGGCACCTTCTCCTTCGATGCTTTCACGGATCTCTTCCTCTGCTTCGTCCCCATTCTGCACCAAATCATTGTCGTCTGCTATTGGTCTCAAGGGTTCGGGTTCCGTGAGGACTTCGTGGTCATTGACTAGGGTTTGCTCCGCATCTGTTCCGGACGATTGGATCTTCCCTCCCTCGTTACGTGCTCCTCCATGTGCTCGGACCTCGCCTGATGGATTGAGTTCTGTACCTCTCGCACCTGACTGTTGGTCTCCCTTGATCCTCGAAATCAGCAACCCCCAGATATCGTCCTTTGAGGCGCCGCCTAGACTGAGCCCGCCGCTTCGCCTTCTCTGCTCCTTCGTCCATGATGCGCGACTTCTTAGAGGTGACCGTCTTGACGCTGGGTCCGGTGCGCTGGAAGATGGCTCTGTCTTTCCCATCACGATATCGTTGATACTCTCAATTCCCCCAATGCTGGCAATCATTGCTTTAAGCTCGCGGTGTCGCATTCGTGCCCAAGCCAGAAGCTGCAGGACGACCGACTCCCACGGGAATTGGGATTCGAGTATATCGAGCCCGAGCCCACTATCAGCAACTAGGGCCAGCATCTTCTCTACATGGGCCTCGATTTGGGCGCGCCTCTCGTCCGAACAATGTTCAGCTTGCAGTCCAGGCACGTCCCATCCACGAAGCGTGGAGGTGAATTCGTCGTCCTCTCTCTCGTAGAATACTTCGCGGATAGAAAATTGCGGATCATAATCTGGTTCAGTCGATTCCCGCTTCAACACCAAGATAGCTAGTTGAGTTCGGAGTTCCAATGCCAGGCCAATCGTGGGACCGATGAGTGCGCTCTCACCTCTAAGAGCAGAGCCAGGCGCGACATTTGTTAGTCCTGGGAGAAAATATGAAGGGAAGTGTTTGTCCAGCTGACAGAGCGCATCGAACAGCTGCCGCGATCCCCTCTCGGAAGAACGCTCAGAAGTGATCATCTGCTTCACGAATATGAGCAGATTCGCAAGATACACAACCAGGTCCACGCCGAGCAGAGGTGCATTGTGATCGCGATCACGGTGTAGTGCTCGGCGCACCGCGCGAAGGTGAATGTACTGTTCGCCTTCACTTTTGAACAGAGCAAGGTTATTATTTAACTCAAGAGCCCTAAATTGCTTTAAGACTCTAGAGTCCGGCTTCCGTAGCTCTTGAATGCGGTTGTGGTCATTCTTAATTCCTCCGTCGTCAGGCAGCAGAAAGTCTAAGAACTTAGTCGATGTCCTGTATAGGTTCTCTATTGACACTTGAATAACGTCGGCATCAAGATGTTCAGCTTCGGTCATCGAGAAGGATGTGACTGCGGTTGTCCCAGAGATCTGGGAGAGTTGATCTGGGGAGGCATAGCGCTTGTCTGGACGCCGGCGAGGTGTGCTTTGAGGGACGGCTTTTAAGTCCATGTACGATTCGGCTTCCTCTACAGTAGAAAGATCTGCGGCAAGCAAGCAACATGGTCAGAATTTATTTTGCCAGAGAGGAATTCTGCCCTCAATCACACTAGGTGAAGCGGAGCGCCATGGCTGGGGTAGAACTCACCTCCAACTGCCTCCTTCGCAGGACGCAATTGGGGTCCATGGTGTTCTTGATCGGCTGCGACAGATGCGACACTAGCTTGCCGGCTGCTTCGGCGGAGGATTCTGGGTGGCGACGGTTTGGGGACTGCAATGTCGCGGCTTGCGCTTTTGGTCGCTCTCCGACGCGACCCACGCGTCGGTTGCGGAGTCGCGGCGGCGATGGCGGGCAGCGGCTGGGGTGTGGGAGTGAAGTGTCGACTGGAGGAACGCACCGCCCGGCGCTCTGCCATGGTGTCGTAGAAGTTGCTCTGGCGAGACGGCAATATCGTTGAATTGTTGGTAGACTGTGGAACACCTTTCACCTCAAACGAAAGGCATCCTCCCGCAGCTCTTGTTTGTTTGGCGGAAGCAACGGGGCCACCAGGGCTAGCCTCGATGAATTACGTAAGCCTGTCCGTGTCACGTGCAATATCGTCTCAACATGCATGTGAGAGTGTTGCTCTCCAGTGTTGACGCTTCAGCTAGTAGGAAGGTCCCCATGAGAAGGTGAATACTTGGGAACACGACCAACTCCCCAAAGCGACTTCGTTGCGCATCTTCTTTTTCACGGAGACCTTGGGCAAGGTGAATAACAAGCCCACGTCCAATCTGCCAATGTAATTGGCCGCAAAACTCACGGAGAGGAGATCTGGGCCGACCCCCTTGCGCCAATCTCCTAATACTGGTAAATACACGATTCCTGGCTGCCGCTTCAACACCATCTCCACTCCCATCTCGCACGCACTAATACCCCTTCTGCGAAGGATTCATCCTCCCCGCATCCTACGTCCCGCATCCTCAACCCGGCGCACCGTTGCAGTCACTGCTCTGGGTGGCTCATTGTTTCCACCCCAAGAATCATCCTTGCTCAGACTCGCTCCCCACAGAGACATGCGACTACGACCGCAGAGGGCACCGGCTCTCCTTCTCCTGCTCCCAACTCTCCATGTGCTCGCGTTAGCCACTACCGCCGATTCTGAAGATACCAACGTCGCACGAGCCGCACTTCCAGCGTACGGCGATGTCGACACGCCTCCCGCACCTCCTAGCCCCCCGATCAAAGCTACAAAGGATGCTCCCGTCGACGGCCTAGACGGGAAACCGCACGACGGGCCCTGGGTGGATGACCACCCGGTAGCCCCCAAGGACACATTGCAACCAGCCGTCGTCGAGGAGCTACGGCCTGGCGCATCCAAGTCGAGCTCCACCCACGAACTGACCAAGCAAGAATGGGCGGCCCTGGGTGCCGATGGAGACGGCGTCATGGATGACCCCAACAGGCAGGCACCCAAAGGCAATACGGGCACCGAAGGCGGCGTCTCGGCCAAGGACCAGGAAAGAAAAGAGCAGGAGGGCAAGACCGGAGCCAAGTTGGGACAGGTTCCGCAGCAGCCCAAGGAAGCGCCTCCCCATCCTCACACCGGACAGGAACCCTTGGAGGAAGAAGACGACCATCACGCCAAAAAGCGACCGGGGGCACAAGGCTTAGCTGTCAGTATCGCTGCATTCCTGCGCCATTTAATGTTGTTGACCTCTCTATAGAAGCCTACAGATTTGCCCGATACCCCACACGACATACCGCACCCTGTGCCTCCGTCTTTGCCAAAGGACGACCCTCTAGGCACATCGCCGCCCAGCACCCCCCCAAAACACAACGATGTATCCGACGACGACGACGAACATGACGGCGTCATTCAGCCGTTCCACTCTTTCATCCTTTCCTTGACAATGATCATATTTTCGGAGATTGGAGACAAGACGTTCCTGGTCGCCGCTCTGATGGCTATGAGGCACCCGCGCGTGGTCGTGTTCACGGCCGCCTTCAGTGCTCTCATTGCCATGACGGTTCTCTCAGCAGTGCTAGGCCACGCAGTACCAACACTGATTCCAGAGCGCTTCACCCATTTCGCGGCTGCCGTCCTCTTTGCAGTCTTCGGTGTCAAGCTTCTGCGTGAGGGGCTGGCAATGAGCCCTGAGGAGGGGGTAGGAGAGGAAATGAGAGAGGTAGAACAGGAGCTAGAGGAGAAGGAGCATCTAGCTGCCCGCCGGGGTGGCCGGAGAAAGTCCTCCATATCGCCATATGTTCTGGAGTCTGGCCGCGCCAGGCGGTCGAGGTCAAACTCGCGCCTACCAGCTCCTGCACGAAGCCCATCGTCCTCCCCTGCACGGTCGCCGTCGCCGAATGGTTCCAGTCTTTCTGGCATGATCGCGGGCTTAAATAACCTCTTTTCGCTTCTCCTGAGTCCTGCGTGGGTGCAGACCTTTGTCATGACGTTCCTTGGTGAATGGGGCGACCGCAGCCAGATCGCTACTATTGCTATGGCGGCCGGTTCTGACTATTGGTGGGTAACCAGCGGCGCCGTGGTAGGACATGGCTGCTGCACTGCGGTGGCTGTCCTGGGAGGCCGTGCCATCGCTGGTAAGGTCAGCATGCGAGTTGGTAAGTCAAACGTGAAAGCCAGGGCAGACAACCGAACTAACGCATTACAGTTACACTGGGTGGCGCTATTGCGTTCCTCATTTTCGCGATCATTTACTTTCTGGAATGCCTCTACCATGCTTAGGTTCTTTTTTCGATCACAGCATGGCATCCTCGCTACGTCTATATTTGTTTTAATCAGGCTTCTCTTAGTAAGCGGTTGGAACATCTTTGTATTCTATTTGTATATTGACGACACGGCTGCAAACATGGGGTCATAGGGAGTCTTGAAGGTCGTTGGGGTTTCGGGTTATCATGTGCTCAGGCATAGACTGCTGCTGCAGCGTTCCGTTATAGACGGCGAATCTGGTAATTCACTCGGGCGCTTTCCCGCGTAATGGCTGGAGCCAGTTGTCGGGTTGTGCTCTGCAAGGAAAACCCTCTTGTGTGTCCAGATCTATGGCCTTGCCGTCCGGTTCCCCCCACGACGCCTTCGGCCTCTCGTGACCATCTGGAATCGGCACCCAACGGGCTCGATGGCTTGGACACTGTCGCATTGTCAAGTAGTCTCCAGGCAGACTTCCTTTTACCTAGATTTCAAGTCCAAGATGAGCCAAACCCCGACGTCCTCGGCCAACTTCTCTTCGCTCGGTTATGGATCAAATGTTGTTTCCATCATTTTCCCAACTGCTAACCGAGTATTCCAACTCCCATCTGCAGGTACTATGCCGGAAGTCCGATTAATAAGACGTTGGCGATCGGCCTAGACTGAGGGATGATATGATTGGTAGATCACTCTTGGCATTGTTCTCAATGGTCCTTCCCAGCTCACAGTAAAGGCGTTTCGGCAAGTCTACCAACGCCCGCTTCATCAACCTTTCACATTCACCCTCATCTTCACCCTTCACTTACTTCCGCACACCTTTCCCAGTTGTTCGCGCGGCGCCTTCGACTTCCCCATGTACTATTCTCGAAACCTCTCTCAACCTCCGGCTTCCTACTCATAGAACTTGTCTCCCGGCGCGAGCTGGCCTCGCAAGCATTCTACTTAGTCCGTCGAACGTCTCGTGTCCGCAACAAATAATCCGCCATGGTCCCAACCGCTGCGAACGCCGGCGTTCCGCAGTACACTCCCCACGAAAGACCCCGCCCCCCTCCACCGGCCGTCGAAGCGGAAGAGGCGCAATGGATCTTTACCGAGGAGGAGCTTGAGCAGACACCCTCCATCTTGGATGGCATGTCGATTGCCGAAGAACGCCATCTGCGCCAGAAGGGCATCAACTTCCTGCAACAGGTTGGCATGATGCTGAAACTGCCAATGACGACGCTCAGCACGGCTGCCGTCTTCTTCAACCGGTTCCTGGTGCGCAACTCGTTGCAGGCCCGGCCTGGTTACAAGCCGTTGCACCACTATGTGAGTCCTTTCCCGTCGCAGGTCGTATCCGCTCATCCATGGATATGCGCTGACCGCCCTGGAAATCCGCAGCAAATCGCCGCTACCGCCCTCTTCCTCGCCACCAAGGTCGAAGAACAATGCCGCAAGATGAAGGAAATCGTCGTCGCTTGCGTGCGCGTCGCCCTCAAGGACCCCAACAAGCTCGTCGACGAGCAGACCAAGGATTTCTGGAAGTGGCGTGATACGATCCTCTACTCGGAAGATATCCTGCTCGAGAGCCTCTGTTTCGATCTGAGCGTCGAGGCTCCCCACCAGATCATGTATCGGATGCTGACGTACTACGGGATTCAGCACAACAAGAGAGTCCGCAATGCAGCGTGGGCCTTTCTGATGGACTCGCTGAATACCCTGCTTTGTCTGCAATTCAACGCACGGACAATCGCCGCAGCCAGCGTCTACTGCGGCGCGCGCATGGCCGACATCAAACTCCCGCACGTCGACGGCATGCCCTGGTGGGAGACGCAGTACGTCAAGTTGCGGGACATCCGCAAGGCGTGCAACATCATGGCGGACCTGTACGAGAATCTGCCACCCAAGGAGGGCGAGGAGCGCAACATGTACAGCGGCCTTAGGAGCCCCGAGGAGATTGACATGAGTTTCCAGACCCCGAGGAGTCTGGCGAATGGAGATGTGCCAGTCCTGCCGGCGTCGCAGGGGAGTGTTGGGGCTGCTGCTGAGGCTAGCAATGGGACAGGAGTTGCGAATGGAACTGCGGAGATGAACATGGATGTCGACGGCGGCACGAACGCTGCTAACTCTGCAAATGTCGCGAATGGACAGCAGAATGCTACCCCAGCAGGAGATGGCTCCGAAGAAGGCGAATTAAGTGGATAGGATTCGGGGGCCGGCTGTGCTGTGGAGTGCTCCGGATACGCGTGAAATCGGATCGAGGATATGAAGCCGTGAGAGAGAAGGTAGATGGAACAGTGGGTGCTTGGTTGGTGGTGGCGATGAAGGAAGAAATCAAGGGCATGGGAACAAGTCACTACTTGCTTCGTTGTTGCATTGACAGGCTTTAGGAGGAGTTTTTGGCTTCCTTGCTCTTTACACTTGATACCCTGGGACACGGGGGCCTGGATACTCCGTGACCACTACACACGAGGTAGACGAATGCATACGTTCTTTATCATTTGACAGGAGCACGCGAATGGCACATCCCACACTTATGCAAATCAACCCTCGATGTGTCAGGTATGGACGAAGAGAAATGTATGGGTATACGGCAACTACGCTGGGTATCTATATGTCAAACCCGACGCAAGAATTCAAAACCAACTCCTCCAACGGCCACGGCTTCATCCTCACAGCATCGGCCTGGCCTCCACCTCCCCCTCCACCAACTTCCCCTCAATCCTCTTCCTCCCCCTTCTCATCAAGTCGTCCACCTTCTCCTCGGTCAAATCCGTCAAGCCCGTCCGAACATCCACCTCCTGCCTCTTCAACGTCTTGGCCAGAATAAACTCCCCATTCGTCTTGACGCCCTCTTCTCCACCCCCCTTCTTCATCTCCACCACATCCCGACAAAACTTTGCGTACTCTGCGTAGTGCAGCCTCGACTCCCCCGTTCCCTCGAGCATCATGGCGAAGCAATGCGGCATGCATTCAAACTCCCTCCACACAACGGCGACGCCTTGCCGCGCCAGCCGCGAAGCCAGCACCGCGGCCTCATCCCTCAGCATCTCCTGGCCGAGGCTGAAAAACACGGGCGGCGAATTCGACCAGTCCTTCGCCGCCAGGGGGGATACGAGGGGGTGCAGCAACGCACTTCCCTCGCAGTACAGGTCTGCTCTGGGTGGGTCCGTGGGCCATGCCGGACAGGTCGGGAAGCGGGAAGCGTGGCTGGCAGAGGGCGGAGGCAGGTAGTCGTATTTGGCGAAGGCTTCCATGCTGGGGAGGGAGCGCGCGACGTCCAGCCAGGGGGAACTCAGGGCCAGCCCCGCGGGCAGCGGGAGGTCCCTGGCTTCGCCGTGGAAGCGGACCTTGGGCGTCGAGCCCGGGGTTGCGGAGCGGTGGATCTGCAGCAAGAGTTGGAGGAGAGCGGTGCACAGGTTTCCGCCTGCCGAGTCGCCGCCAAAGACGATCTCGTTGGCTGGAACGGGTGCGTGGGGTGCGCCGGGCGGCGGATACAGGAGCGTCAGGTATGCCATCAGCGCGTCCAGGAGGGCAGCGGGAAACGGGTTCTGCGGTGCGAGTCTGTACCGCACGCTGAAGACCCTCCCGCCCGTCTCTTTCGCCAGCCGCGATGTCACGTGGCGGTACGTAGCCGGGTCGAGCAGGTACATGGCTCCGCCGTGGAGGTACAGGATGGTGACTTTGGACGTCGTCTCCTTCATCAGCGCTTCGTACTTTTGCGGTTCCGAGAGTTGGGCCGGTTCCGGGGTCTGCGGCGTGGCTTCTTTTCTGTAACCCGTCCACTCGCCTTCGACGGGCGCCGCAAACGGTTCATCCCACTTTTCCTCGTCGCCGGTCCCCATCTCTTTGATGGCTCCGAACACCGTCTCCCGCACATGATCCTCGGGGGGCACATCGCATTTCAACTTGCTGATCCACACATTGCCCTTGACGCCTGGGTCCCTCGTCGTCAGGCGCTGCTGCTTCGTGATGGAAGTGGGCTTGGCGTTGGGCCCGCCCAGCATGTCGCGCAGGATGGTGATGGTGAGGGCGGTGCGGAAGTCCCATTTTGAGGCTGTGGGGGAGAGGGAGAGGGCGTGGGAGAGGGTCGTTTTGAGGATGAGCGGTGATTTGGGGAGGAGGATTTTGAGGAGCGTGGTTGCTGAGGCTTCCATCCTGAAGTGTAAAGGGGGTATGGGTAGGGGGAATAGCGGGCGAACGGACGGGGAGGAGAGAGAGGAGAGTTGGCGGATAGTAGTAGATGGAGTTGGATAGTGTCTCACGGATCTGGGTTAGCGTATACTCCCCCTGTTTAGCCTTCCATTCAACACCAATGAAGGTTTGGATGTGTACAGTAGGATATGCTTCACTCCAGCGGCCTCAGAAGTAGCAGTTGGGACTACAAGCGGTTCCTTTTTCGGCCCGCATTTCTCCTCACGGGGCCAGATTTCCTCTTCGGGTAATCCATCGCCTTGGTAAATATCGAATAAGCCTCTCTATCTATCACCGTTGCCACACCATCATACAATTAAAGACAACCCGTCCCACCCCACCACAATGAAAAGACTGCCAAAAGCATGGTATCACGATAATGCCTCCCTGTATTCCAGCGCAACCTTTACTCCTACAATCACTTCGGCAAATCACCCCTCCCCTTTCCCTTTCCAGACCTCCGCCTCCTTACCCCTGGCTCACCCGCATGACCACTCGCTACACTGGTCCCAATGCCCGAATCCGTGAACGCACGAGCCGCCGAGCTCGACGCCGGCTCCTCAGGTACAAAGTCGGCGTCCTCCTCCTCATTCTCCTCACCTTCGTCGTCTGCCTCCGCTCCCGTCCTCGCTGCAGCGGGAATATCTTCCAGCCCAGGCGTTACCCGCTCCTCTTTGGCTTTTCCTCCTCGACTGGGGCCGGGCCCGGCACCAGTGCTGAAATGGAGGGGTTGGTGAGACGGGAGAGCGGGAAAGGTGCGCGACGTATCCGAGAGTGGAGTCGTGGATGTGGACGATTCCTCGGATTTGAACATCAGTTTCTCGTCGCCTTCTTCCTCAACCTTCTTCACCGCGGCGTCCTCCTGGTATCCGGAGCCAGATCCCAGAGTCAACGTTGCCCATGTGATGAGAACAACGGCCATCTCCACCGCCCAGAACAAGCCTGTGAATACCCCGAAGCTGATGACCCAATGGTGGTACATGAGCCAACGCAGCCCCTCCAGGTTCGCTTCCAGGTGCACTGTGGCTCGATAGACGTCTAGGGGAGCACTGCTCCTGACCTCAAGCCGTAGACTGGACGGTATATTTTGCACTCCCTGTGCAAACTCCACATTCTCCATCATCGCGACCCGCACGGTTTCCGACTCGTGGCCCCAGCCTATAACATAGAGAGGCAGCCGCAGCAAACGGTGAGCCGCCTCAGTCACCCAGCTCCGGTAGGTCATGATGGCCGGTCTCCTCGATCTGGCCAGCACAAGCGGCTTTTCCGCTTTGATTCCCTCGTCCTCCTCGCAGGCCCTGGAGTTCTTTACAGCCCCGCCTGCAGCGGTGGGCCCGCGCAACTCGAGGCCCATCATCCAGTTCCCGGCATTGAGATTCTTCCGACTGCGCGGCATGACGAGTTCGGCGACGACCTTGTACTTCTGCCGGCTGACGAGGTTCTCTACGTTGGCGATGCCATAGGGGTGAGATGGAGGGGATGTGGCGACGCCAAATGCTGAGAGCGGTTGCGGGTGGTCGAATTGCAGATAGACGGGGACTGCGATTCCGCGTATGGGAATGTATGCGTGATAGAAGGTTAGATAGCCGATTACGGCTGCGCCGAAGAGGGCAATCGAGGTGATCAGGATAAGGGCAGTGCGAAGATAGGCGCGCAGCAGCGCTGGAGACAATGCAATGCGGATTGGGGCCAGCAGAGTGTCCTGTGCGACAAGGTCAGTCTGGGACATCTTCACAACAGGCATGCCCAATCTTTCGTTATGTGAGGTTCTTGTATTCTACTATTTTTCCAGAAGGCATGCTCCACGCAACACATTTATGCGTGGATATGGATGGATGGGTGGTGCAGCTTAAGGGAGGAACACGAACCTTAAGCCAGGCTGCCCCAAATGGTGCCTTTACATCTTCTTCCTCTTTAGCCATCCTGGCGGCCCCTTAGAGAAGGGGAGAACCCCGTGGTGCTGGCTGGCTGGGTGATGTCGTCTTCACGAAGAGGTGACGTTCTCCAAGACAAGGGAGCTTCGGCTTGGACCATGCGCCAAGATCCAGGGACCGGCGGGGTGGTGGCTGCAGATCTACAACGGGCCGCCCAATTTATTTATGTATGAGCAGACTAGAGGGGGTTTCACACGGCTCACCAGCCTACATACATAAAAGGAGTTTGGTGAGGGCGTTCCCTAGCTCAGCAATATAGTAGGCTCCTCTAACATAGCTCGAAGACAGGCATCCACAGCACTTTTGTATTTTCTACCAACCAGAACGATACCCTTCCGATAAGCAATACTTGCAATAAGCATCCCGCGCTCTTCCACCTCATCCATGTCCCCATGAACAGTATGACCAGTGACCCGCATAGCCCCTCGCATCGGAGAGCCATCTCCCCACATTGCGTGTAGCTCGAGTCTAAACCCAAACTCCGCCCATTCGTCAGTCTACCCCATAGGCACGCACATGGCATCATCCCAAGACCTGCGGACCCGGAAAAGGAAGAGGAATACTCATTGGAACGACCAAAGAAAAACATCAGCATGGAAACCGTTAGGGGATGACTATAGAAACAATTAGAAACTGCGGAAAGGAAACCAGGACCAAGCTCTGAGGCTTTCCGTCTAAGTCGGCGGGCGAATCAAGCGCCTTAGGCCGACATACTCTTGCCAAACATTGATGATCCATGTTCAGACAGAGTAAAAGACACACCGTCTAGGAGATAAGAAAGTAAGCGGCCGTAGACTCGTGACCTCATTGCAAACCTCTCCCACTTATCCCTGGCGGATATGTATCCACTGAGATTCTTCTACTTCATTCAGGAAAAAGTGCCCATAGGGGGGCCCTTCCCTTTTTTCTTCAACGACGACTGCAAGCGGTCGCTGGCTGTGTTGACACGAGCGAAGGGTGAGCCACCGATCTTCTTAGCTATCGAACTGCGCTTGCGCAGAGGAGACATCAGCGTGTCGGCGGACCTGCCGGATCGAATGGGACGCGACATGGAATGGCGGAGATTAGGATCATATGGCTGGCAGGCAATGTCACGGAATCGGTTCTGGTTGTTCCGGAAGGCGGTAACGCCTGCACGATCAAAGTGTTCCAGCATAGCATCGGTAGTGGTGTGTCTCCGCGGTACTGGAGTCTCGGCCATGGGCGTGGGTCGTGCCGGGGTCGATCCGTTGAGCGCAATCGTGGATGTAGCCGGCGTAGCTGGTACATCCGTCTCGTCATCATCATACTGCTGGTATTCCGTTTCATCGTCATCGGAACCCATCTCGAGGAAGTCTTCCAGTTTGATGTCGTCTTCAAAGTCTTCGTCATCCATAAAATCCTCATCGTCGGGTATGATCATACCATTTGCCACGCTGACGAAGGGAAAGAATGCTTCAGGAGGACCAATAGTCTGGCCCGTCGTCAGGAAGGATTCGGTGGGATCAAGGCCAAAGAAGCCCGTAAACATGATATCCGAGGTTGGTAGGAATATATTACCCAATACTCCGTTGTTGACCTCTCCATCGGAAGCGTTCAGTTGCTGCAGGGATGCGCGCGGACTGCTGTTTGCAGTGCTAGCGCTGCTACTGCGGGGGGTGAATTGTCCTTGCACCGGAGCTGCGCGGGGCCGGTAGAACGTGAGAGTCTTGGTTGTGCGGTTGGTCACGGCGATCGCTTCAGTGGTATCATCGTGGATGAAGATACCGCAGGCAGGGGGAGGTCCACGGGCAGACCCTGTCCCGCGAGCGGGAACAGGTGCTCGGGCTGATCGCTGGAATGGCTTAGGCGTGACTGCCCTGGAAGCAGGCGCGGAGGACGGGCAATGTAGGACGGACTTTGGGCGGGGTGTATGAGGCATGGTTCTGAATTCTCCATCAGAATCATCCTCCTCCGTTGTATCGCCAGTGTCAGCTGTAAACCACCGTTAGCTTTCATCCAATGGATAGTGACGAGTGCCAGCTTACTCCCGTCGCTCTCATAGCCACTGGAGCCGGCTTCGGATGACGCATATTCTGCCTCCATGTCACCGGTTCCATCATTCGAAGCCAAGCCGTGGCTCGCCTCGTAATAATCCTGATCGGAAGCATCCGACAGAGGGTCCTCGTCGGTTTCGTTGGTCATCTCCATAAGCTGGTGTACACTGGGGGGCAGCTTGTCTTGCTCCAAAAAGAGATCAGGGAAGAGGTCGTCCTCGGAATCAGAGGAAGACGAGCTGGACTCATTGGATTTCTGGACATCGTCGTCGAATCGTACGCGTTTAGTAGATGCATCTGAAAACTTTCTAGAGGGAGTAGGCTCGGGAGATGTGGGCTCCTCCTCAAACTCAAAGAACTGGCCGAAATTGATATCGGAATATGTCCCGAATATCTCGTCGCCCACATCAAACAAGCTTCCGGAACTCTCGAGGCCGTGTCTGCGTGCATCGCGAACGGCCTTGGCATACAGGTTCTCGGTCTGCTGTTGCTCCTCGTTGATGATGAAGCTCTCTTCTTCCTCCTCGATTTTATCGAGGTCCGATTCGTCTTCGAGGATCTCGGTCAGACCGGCATAGTCGTCGTCATCGTCGGTGATTGCCTTTTCAGCGCGCTCCTCGGTCTCATCGTCAGAGCTCATGATGGCGTTCTCGAGCCTGTTTGCATCGTCGTCTCCAGTGGCCTGGTAAGCCAGTAGCCCCGTCCCATTGGTGTGACTCAGTCTACGAGCGATCTTGGGACGAGGAAATGTGTGCGTGCTAGCATCATCATCGCCAAAGAGCAACGATGTGCTCGAGAGGTTGCTGAAGGTACGTTTCTTGTTGTTCAAGCCCAATTGGCCCTCACTCGGCTTACCGGCCTTTGGCGCCGTCTCACAGGATGTAGTCTCCTCGTCCGACTCATCATCGCAAGCGGGCTCGATGCGGATGGCCGGGCGTTTGCCTTTCCCTTTGCCTTTTCCTGACCCTCGAGACGGGGCTAAGGCGTCCTCATCTTCCTCGTCACCTTCTTGTTCATCTTCATGAGCATCGGAATCGTCCTCTTCGTCGCCTTCGTTTGTGAGTTCTTCCGAGGCAGATAGCCCACTGCCGGCGCCCTCGGTTGGACGTGTCGTGCCGAGGACGGGATCGTCTTTGGTTGAACGGGGATTGGTATGGTGAATGGCGCTGGGCTTACTGTGATGAAGGTTATGGTTGTGCAAATGATGTCCACCGAGGTCCGCCATGGTGGCTGCAGCGTGGGAGAAGTTTGTCATGATGTCCGGCTTGACGTTCCTCGGGCAATGAATAAATGCGCGACGAATCGGGTAAAGGTCGCGAGAGGGTAGGATGTGGGAGAGGGTCGGGGGTGGAATCGGGAGGAGAGAAGGATGGGTGACGGGGAAGGAGAAGGAAGAGAGGGATCAGAGCGTTCAGTTGAGCGGGTTGGTGTGGGGATCGGTGCAGGACTCTAAACTATGTCGAGCCCAAAGCGAGGTGTCGAATGTTCGGTGCAGAATTGCAGCAGAACCAACAATGCAAATCTTGGCGGAGCAGGCCGGGCAGTGGATGGATGGATCGATACGTCGACTGCAAGCAGGACGGCTGGCAATCGGGAAGCTGTATCGTCGTTTCTTTGGGCGGTGTATGAATACTCGCGAGCTGGCCGGCTGGGAGAAGTCGCAAGGGCAGCGACCCTCCCAGAAGGGATTTAGAGCTCGGCGATGGCCTGCGGCATTGTCTCGACGAAGAGAAGTCTGAATTGATTTGGATGAAGGGTCTCTGTAGGACTTGTAGGTCGACTTCGTTGTCTTTTTGGGGGGGTTGAATGGAGGAGGGAGGAAGGAAGGCGGGCGGGGGAAGGATGGTTATGGATGAAATTTAGCTTGTGGCGCTAGTCCTCTTTGGGTGGGTAGATGGGCGGTGAGCCCAGCAGAACGGGCGGGCGTCACAACAGTCACGGATTGTCGTGTGCCTCTTCTAATCGTACTCTCTGGACAGAGCTATTCAGACAGATTATAATAACTGCATGTCTATCGAGTGTCTCGTCCGCCTGCTTTCCTCTGCTGCTCTGGCACTCTGGCTCTCCGGCCCTTCTATCACAGTGTGTGTCTCTTTGCACCGTCACCTTGTAATCATTCCGCCCCACCCAACTACGTTAGGAGAGCGGAGCGGCGCGGCCAAATCCTACTAATCGGCTAGTACAGTAGTCGAAGAGAACATCACCACCTGGGCACAGCGGCAAAATCCAGTCACGGGCGCCAAGTAAAACAGCCTGCTCTCTCTCGCTCCCTCTCTCTGTCCCCATTGTTTTGATACGTCCTCGACTGACGGTGCTGGCGCCAACTTATATAATAAAAGGCGGTGTGGTTGCGCAGTCTGCCTTTGTACCACAGTACATACTGTGTAGACTACAGCGGCCCCGCGCGGGGTGCTTCTGACTGGCCATCGAAGGTTGATATCCGTGGTTCCTAACCGTCCGGCCTTTTTGGGAGACTCGTCTCATAACGCGAGGCTCTCTATTTTGGTTTCCCTCTTCCGATGACTTTCTCTTTCCCTTCACCAACCCTCTCGGAACCTGGCCGACGCTGGCTGCAGAGGACTGTGACCTCCTGCTGCATGCAGCCTACATAACCATGTCCCGCTCCCCGGAATATCTGAATAATATTGCGCGCCAACTTGCTCCTCTTCGACGTGTCAATTTCTGCGCCGATGCCCATTGGTCTCCTTCCCCTGCAGGCGCCGCAACATGCTGGCTTCCTGGAACTTTGGAATCCCTTCAATTCTTTCACCTGGCCGGTGGCACCGGGGCCTGGCACGTGCTCAAGTCGGATTTCTCCTCAAGCTGTAAAGATGCATAGTCTGCTTACCTACTGTGCATTTATTATTACACACTATGTGCACGGTTTCTGTCTAGGCTACGGTTCGCTTGGCTAACGTACCGTGTACTGTGCCTCTCAAAGGGAAACCTTCACTGCTCGATGCTCAGAGACAAATTCATTGGTAGACTAGCCGTCGAGGACATCATTGATCGAGCATGAGTCACACCAACTTGTGAGTCGTAATGAGTCGTCGAGTCAGAGTCAAGAGCCAACATCAAGGCCCTGAGGCAAATGCTAGTCTTCCACATTTCATCCAACATGGCAAGCCCGCCGGTACCCAGTCTTCAGACCTCTCTGACTTCTATGGGTGCCCGTCATCATCTACTGACGGTCCACGAAGCAGTTCGGCAAACACGTCACCAAGGCCGCCCAATTGTCGGACAATGTCATCAACTTCCAAGCCCAGATGATACAGAAAATTGCCCGCCCAACGTAAAGTCTGGAGCAGCTCCTCTCGTTGCTCGCCTGTCAACTCCCTGCCCTCTGTCTTCCTTTGCTCGTGTTCCTGCTCCATCTTGCGTACAATCGCCCATATCGTCTGTCGGTTGGCATGCACTCGCCCCTGCATTACTAGCTCGGCCCCGGATCCATCTCCGACCTGTATATCTTCAGGTCGGTTTTCCAAATCATCTGCTCTACTCTTGCGAAACCGCGGCATCTTGGGTATCCCACCTGGCGCTCTGTTTGGACTCTGGCCTTGTGACATCGTGTGACACCAAGTATCCACCAAGCTCTTCCCCCTGACGCTATCGTAGCCGTCGAGCACCCCAGCGAGCAACGTGTTGAAGTCCGCCGTGGATAGCTTCACTTCATGCTTTCGCGCACCTTGGAGGAACTGGACACAGTATTCCCTCCACTGATCGTCAACCGTGGAGAGCATGGCCAGGATGCAATAAAGATCGTCACTCGAGTGCGTCAGGAGCAACTCCTCCCAGGCGAACAGAAGATCGGCGAAGGCTTCGCAAGCCTGCCTCTTCAGAGAGTCTTCTAAAGCCACTTCTTCTGGAGAGAGCCGAACAAGTTCTGCGGCAAAGGTAGCTAATACCGAGGTTCTGGGCCGGTACGCAGGGTTGCTAGCGACGAAGTCTCGCATGCTCCGAACCTTCTCCCACCGGTGCAGCTGTACCTGACTTTGCAGCAAGGTTGTCAGGAGCCTATTCGGTATCCGATGAGCTTGTTGACTGCCGCTCCAAAAGCCTGTTCGCTTGAGAACCTTCATGACTAGGTCATTCTCGCCGGCCATTGTCCCAAAATGAACAATCGATGCCGCCATGTCCGGATGAGCATACATGTCGGCGGTGATGAGGGGTCCATCCAAGTCTTCCGACATCAGTAGCCAACGCCCTAGGTGGAACGACTTTGTCACCGTGGCCAGGTCGAGTAATTTCGCCAAAAGCGGCACCGGGACCTGAGGTTCGAAAGCTGGGAAGTCAATCGGTGGTGCTAAGCTGGTGAAGAGTCCATCCCGTTGCCGTTTAACTACTTTGATCGCCTCAAAGAATTGTTCAAGAGATCGCTGTTTGTTGCAGTCAGTATGCTGTACGAGGCGATCTAATGTCTTTGTAGCCCCCGTGATGTCTCCATTCTCAATGAACGAGCGCATGGTCCTATGGAGAACGCTGATTGATATAGTAGATGGCTCAAAATAATAAGGAGCCTTGCCGTGCGATCCGGGAATGGGTACAGCATTGACGGAAGCCACCTCTGTGCCAAAATCAGCTGCAAGGTTTGCCAGAGCGAACATAACCTCCGGTCTCTTCTCGGGAACCACGCCTCCTGACTCGAGAAAACGAACGATGATGGAGTCCCAGGTGGCAGAACCTAGACTATGGCCATCTCGGTCTAGCAACCCTTTTAGCTTCCTTATATGATCTACCAGATCCTCGGGGGAAGTGCCACGATCGCCAACACCCAGGCGCATCAGGTTGACTAAGCCGTCAATGTATGCAGTCACTGCCTCGCTACTGATAGTCTTGCGAGTCCGCGCCAGAGCCCCGGGGTTGGAGTTGTTGCCGGCCCCTCGGCCGAATATGCGCCAACCGCTTGATGGAGACGATGTAGCAGGGGCTGTCTCTTCATCGTGATAGAGCTGACGTGAGTCCATCACCCTCCAGGCTTCATTTCCTTGCTTCGACAGGATATGCTCCAGGATTGCCGTTCCATCCAGCACCCAGGGACCGTGCACGCAGGACCATAAGAGCAACTCAAGCCACAGCTCAGGCGTCAGTCCGGATACGTGAACCTTGTAGCGCGAGCCGGGTATCTCACGGCCTAGGAAGTATGACGCATTCAGCTTCTCTCTGGGATCTTTAACGGTAGCCTCGCGCGCCGTCATAGCCGCGTCCGACAGAGCCCTCATGATAGTAGAAGATAGAAGATGCAACGTTGGGGGCTGTTGAAGAGCGTGATCTTGCGGTGCGGGAGAGTCATAGTAAACAGAGTCTGGAATCCAACCAGTATGGTGAAGGTATGCTATGATTTCCAGCACGTGAGACATGATGGCGGCCTCTGCGGTAGAGTCCTCGGCCGCCCTGACGATCAAAACCCCGAGAGTGCGCCATACTTGGCCCATTGCTCGTTGGATGGCGATCTTCTCGTGGTCTATCGACTCTGGGATGGATGTCGAATTCTCCAATGTCTCACGTAGCGGTGTTGACTGACGGAGTCGATGAGCTACAATGGGCGCATTTGTCAAGTCCTTGAGAGAGGTGCTCTCCGGCCAGATCACGTTGGCAGTCGGCTCAAGTTTGGCAGTATGGTCCATGGCAGGTGGGCCTCCATCTGCAATTTTGTAGATGATCCATTTCGTGGTTTCCCATCGCTGCTCTACCCAGCCTAGATAACCCAGAAGGTCGTCCGAAGCTTGTTGTGCATCCAGCAGCAAGCAGGCAAAGTCAATCGCAGTTGTGCGCTGCTCTGTGTCCGAAGAAGGGTCCGGCGACTGCTGGAGATGCGGTGGGAGGAAAGGGTCGAGGGCAGATATCCATGCGCCGATATCCTTTCGGCTTGTCAGTGTGGGCAGAGGAATACGCGTTGACGGCAGCGCCGGTCTACCAGGGCGCCGAAGTTCAGGGTGGTGCGCCTGTACACGGTCTGCTCGTCGACTTGCCGATGGGGGACGGAACAGCTGGCGAGCCAGCGCCGGTGCCAGAAAATCAGGAACAGAGAGCGGACGTAAGCTCTGAAGTGGAATCAGGGCGCTGCGAGTGCAGGAGAGGCAGGAGGAGCGGGCAGCGCGCATACGGATTGTTTCGCTCCCAGTGCGGAGGCTGGGAGAGCTGGGAGGGCGTCGGAGGTGTGAATGGCCAAGGCGGGCCGCAACTTTTCCCGGCGATCCCGTCTGATCTAACCAAATCTGGATGCGATGACGTCCTGCGTTTCGGTTTCCTGAGGACGCGTGGGGACTCGTGTTCACGTGGACACGCGTAGCTAGACGCGCCCGGCCCGGGCGATCTCAAGCTTCAGGAAGGAAGCCCTGGAGCTCCCACCAGAATCACAGTGCTAGCCAATTCCTCCGTGCAACTTCTATTCTCCCTTTCCCACGACTCTCCGTCTTCTACTTCCTCGCCCGAACGCTGGATCTTCCTTTGTTACCTTTTCCAAGAGTTGTTGAAGCCTGCTTGCCAACCATGCCTACGGGCTACCGCATCGGTATGTGATGACTAGCAGTCTTGTCTCCTAAAGTGCACACAGTATGTCCCGCCCGCAGACGCTGACGTCAACCATTAGAGCTGTCGCCCAATGCCCGGGCCATGTGCAAGAACAAGGAGTGCAAGGATGCAGGCGTCAAAATCCAAAAGGGTGAGCTGCGGTTCGGCACCCTTGTCACCATCGAGGAACACACAAGCTGGACGTACAAGCATTGGTAAGACAACACAAAACCAGTTGAGACCGGTCCAATGATTGATTGCATCGTAGGGGATGTGTTACCCCGGAACAGATCAAGAATGTGCAGAGCTTCATCGACGGAGACATGGACCTGTTGGAAGGCTACGAGGAGCTGCCCCAAGAGGAGAAGGACAAGGTAGACTTCGCCATCAAGAACGGCCATGTCCCTGACGAAGACTGGAAAGGCGTATGTACCGCTTCGCTTGTACAGCAATCATTGCAGCTAATCGAAGAGGGAAGGATATCGAGAAGAACCGACCAGGCATGAAGGGCTTTCGCGTGAATGCACCAAGGAAGAAGAAGGGTACCAGGAAAGACAAAGAGGAAGGGGAGCAAGAGGAGGAAGAGGAGGAGACAGGGAAGCCTCAGAAAAAACGAGGCCGTCCCGCTAAAGACGAGGGCGAGGCGGAGGCTCCGGCTGCAAAGAAACGTGGACGTCCTGCCAAAGAGACTGGGAGAAAGAAGGCCACGAAGAAAGAGGAGACCAGCGACGGTGGGTATGGGCAAGATCTTGTTGAGGAAACTGCCGCACCACCCAAGAAAGCGAGAGGCAAAAAGGCAGCTGCCCCAAAGATGGAGAGCGACGACGAAGCCGACCGCCCAGAGCCGAAGAAGCCAAGGGGTAGGAAGGCTGCCGCGAAGGAGAAGGATAACCAGGAAGCGGAATCCAAGCCCTCCAAAGCCCGAGGTCGCAAGCCTGCAGCCAAGGCATCATATGCAGAGGAAGCCACCGACGAAGAGGAGCAGGAGGAACTTGGTATTGCCAAACCCAAGCGCGGGCGCAAGAAGACCGCGGCTTGAAGGGGACGGGGCCATCCGTTACGTACAAGAAAACGAGGTATCATCTGTGGTAGAATACCCACGCCCCAAGCTCACTTCTTCAGAGTCGGAAGGAGAACACACGTGCGATACGAATAGGGGCCCGACAGTGCTGCATGCGAGACTGGTATCATATATATAGGCTGCGAAGTCTATTAAAGAAGTTTTGGTCTCTGACACGGTTTCCGCAGCGGTGTAATGAGCGCATTGAACGCGGCTGAGGCCACGAAACGGGGTGGATTGCATGTTATTCAGCGCCAGATGCACACCATAGGCCCTCCATGCGCCTAGTATCAGATACGAAATTAACGCTTTCTCATGATTGGAATTCGTAAACAACAACTTCGAGCTTCGATTCTTCATAGTACTTCTCTTGTAATGCAGCAAATCTCGATGCCCGCGAATATGGACGGGGTGACCGAAAACTGTCCGTTTAGTTTCATGACCTTTGGAAAACCGTTCCTTTTCTTGCTCCTACTCCCGTACGGAAATTTAACCACCTACGGCGTACCTAGGTCTAGCGCCAGGTTCTGACCTCCAGATGTAGGGGATTGATATCTACCCAAACTCGGAATCCACATCACCAGAAATCGCCCTATGCGATTAGCAATTCTTTTCCCGTACTTCCTGACAGCCTCTGTTCCTCGTGGCCGTCGCAGATCTGGCATTTGCATTACCAGCGTTCCGGGATGGACATCTCGGTCGCTCACACAGCAAGAAGCGCCTAATCTTGAGCCAAGCATTGGGAATTCTAGGCTGAATCTTTACCAACCGCATCCGGGCCGTATCTTGCTCCGATGTCAAAAGCATTGGCCGATGCATGTCTTCATATTCGATGTGACGACGCTGCTGTATAGCAAGCCACCTCATAGCCTAATCAGAAGTGTGCTCCTTGGGGCACAGATCAGATAGAGCAACGAGTCTAGACTGGTTCAAAGGCAGAGAACCATTCTGTGATGCCAGAAGCGGTCACTGACGTTAATCGCACGTGACATCCCTTTCCCCACCCTAATTCAGCATGACGTACGGGTCAAGTCATGAATATATTTAAAAGCAGTTTGACGGATACCACACCATCGGACGCAACCAAGCTTCACCTTGAATTAAAACCGCCCAACAGTGCTGCTTTCATTACTACACTCTGAGAAGACCTCGCTTTATAAACACAATGAATCCCGACGACAAGTACGAACAGGAGAATGACTTTGCCGAGGGCCCCACCGGAATGAAGAGTGACAATGACTATGTCAGCCGCCAGGGAGAATCTTACATTCCGGTTCAGAAGGACGAAGCTCCTGTTGAAGATCCCCTTGATGCCTCCATTGCCGATTCGGACCAGCAGCTAGGTATCTTAAGTCTTATTCCTACATCTCTGGTATCGAGCTCACGAGGTGAATAGAGCGTGATGAGAAGGAGGCTATCAACACGAAGAATATCATGAAGGGTCGCACCAGAGGGGCCACCAAGCAGAAGGGCGTCTATGCTGAGCCTGGTGACGAGGAGGGACTTCCCGGTCCAGACGAGGGAAGATCTTCTACTCGCTAGGTGTAAGCCGATCATGGGATGGGAGAAGACAATCGTTTTCTCCGAAATGTGGGGTTTATGGCAGGAGTGTATTATTATTTTCCGAAGGTTGTGATTCTCTGCAAATCGTCGGCGATATCTGGGAACGGGGATGAAGTGTGCTTTATGTTAATGATGGCACAAGCTCTTACTTGAATGTCCCATACGCGCATGAGATATATAATGGCGCATATAAGGTTCTTGCACGTCAGTGTTTCTATGCAGTGTCTGGAGGACAACTAAGGAATCGAGAAGGCGGCAAACGGATCCGTTTGCATTCACTCGCGAAGTCCGATGGTGTTGCTGGCGCAGTGGATCGTTGCTGTTTACGCTGCTTCATCTCGAAACTACTGATTGATTTCGCTTTTTCCGCTCGCAATCCAGGCGTCATCTACACTGAACTGAGTACCCGCTTACCTAGTGATCGTTTCCTGTCCTCCAAAGCTTAGTTGGAGATCGAACAAAGAGTGCCAAAACTATCGAGATTCAGTTGCGGAGGCACAACCCAAACGTGTGTGGGTGAAAGATACCTACCCGGTGGAGAGCGTCACGTGGTAGAGAACGCGCTCTACAAACAACGCCTAAAACCTCAACCCAAACCATGATCCAGGCATTCAGTCGTCTCCAGTCGCAACCGCTCCCGCCGGCCGACGCGATGGCGAGAGGCAAGAGATCCGACGAATTGGCCGCCGAGGTTGTCAAGCCGGAGCAAGCCGACAAGATGCTTGTTCACATCCAAGGCTTCAGCGGCCTTCATCCAATTCGGACTGGCATCGCGTATTGGTGAGTATTTACTTTTCTTAAGTCTGGATGCGGAGATTGAACGCCCAGGTACCGAGGCCGATACCTGTATGGATCCATTGGCAATCCCATCGAGCCTCAGCCATTTGCAACGAAGGGCAAGTTGGTGCTTAGCGGTAGTGTGTGCGAAACGGCCCCCAAGTACGATGAGCAGGACCCGACTTTGAAACCAGAGTATACTGTCGGAGCGTTGTACAAAGCCATGTGGGACCAAGGGTACTTTGCTCCGCCATCGCATGATCTGGGAGAGTCGGATGTGAAGAACGAGGACGAAGTTGTTGCTATTGGTGACAAAGCGCCTGCTGTAGCAACGGCGATCGATCAACAGTTGGACGGGTACGACTCCGCTTATGGAGGAAAAAGTAAGGACAGCACGTAATGGTGATGGCACCAGGACGCTGACCCTCCCACAGCGACGGCGCACCCGCAAGTTCAGCTGCCGGTGGGAACTGGGCGCCCCAACATCAGAACGGAAAGCAGCGAAATGCCTGGATACTTGACGGCATCAAACTCTGCGCTGAGCTTGAACCAGCTTCTCTTCCGTTACCCACACGATGCAAGCCACTTCCTCGCCGCATCAGCCCCAGGCTCGCGATTCGGGTCTCGCAATGTCTCCGCTCTACCCACTCCTATGGCTTCCCCGGTGCTAACTCCCTTAGAGGAACAATCAGGCTTTCAGTTTACTGTATCAAGCCCTCATTCTCGCCGCGCGTCTCGATCCGGTGTTACGTTTATGCACTCTCACTCCAGACAGGCATCCATACACTCTCGTCATGCCTCGAACCATTCTGGGCGCGGCTCGCGCCAGTCTTCAGGCTACTCTTCTGGACAGATATCTTGCCCCTTCTCGGGGACCCGTTCGGTACAGGAAGCCAGAAACGGATGTGGAAACGATCGAGACCACAATCCAGAGCCTCGCTCCCTACACGAACTGGTGCGATCATCTGTCCCGGCAAGTCCCTTTCAGCCACGCGATAACTCTTTACCAAACGTCTCTTTGCCCAGCTCGCCGAACGTCTCTAGAGCAGTTTCGCCAGTGGGCTACGGTGCGCCGAGCACTTTCAACCCCGGCATGCGTACGCTGCTCCGCTCTCGCATGGATCAGTGGGCCGGCGTAGGCGAAAAACATCCTCTGCAGCCTGGCATTTCAAGCTTGAAGCAATATAGCACTAAACCCCCTTCGATCGAAGCTGGATCTCGCAGTGGTAGTGTTCTTGGGTCTGCAGGCTTTCTGGCACCACCTTCCATTCACACTTCTGAACATCGCGGTATTGGCTCTCAGCGTTCCCTCACATCGACTCCGTTACCGCGCCGTGAACGAAGTAAGCTCGCCTACGAAGCCTCTAAACTCAGCCCCTATCTCCTCCCTCGCCGCTCATCCTCCTACGGCGGCAGCAGCACCATCACGGACGGCTCCCTCCGCGACAAAGCCAGCCTTGCCCTCAACGAGGCATACAATGCTGCACGTGTGACCAAGTGCCCGCTCCATGGCGAGGACTGCGACGGCGCGACTGTGACGAGCACGCATCTGACGGAGCAGACTCGTCTGACGCTGGGGTTCAGGGATTTGTACCCGTCAAAGGAGCAGATGGGCCGCATGATGATTGACTGGGAGAGGATTTTCAAGGAGGAGAAGGATGCCATGGAGGTGGCTGCGAAAAGAATGGGGATGAGGAGGATCTAATGGAAGCCGACGAAGACAAGCGAAGGGAATGGGGTTGATATTGAATACCGAAGCTCATGGCTTGCTTCAGGTAGATGGTTGTTACAGCGTCGATGGACCTGTCAGAATAACTGGGAGAAAAAATGGACTTGAGATGACAAGCTAAGACGGGATGGGGAGGCAATCAATCAATGAGCACGGACTAGATGGAGAGGGCAAGGATTAACAAGGAGAGGAAAGATAATCGGACGCTTAATGGACATCTGCGCAGGAGAGTTTCTGACGGGGCTTGTCACGGCAGATTTCCTGAATAGTACTCTGGAACTACGGAGTACCGCCCTTCCTGGAAGCTCTGGGACCGATGGTTAGTATAGCGGCTCACCGACTTCGGCGTCACATTTCACTAAGACGCAGAGACAGACGCACCTGGGTAGCAAACTTAACACAATAGATCATCAATATTTAAAGCTTGCTCAATTCTCACATGCGGTTCAAGTCGGAGCAGTGGATCAAGGAGACGTGATCCCCAGACTTCACATGTCAGTAACGCCAATCCGTCACAATCGGAGGTATGATATCAGCACCCGGATGAGAGAAGAGTGAAGTTGAACTGCGGTAGATGGTCGTTTTGACGTCGAAATAGGGCTCAGCCTGACCTTGGGACGTTGAGCTTCAGACGCTAAACCCAGAACGCACAAGCGTCAAAGAGCTCCTGTCTCCTCATGACAGCACGTACAAACTCGTTTTGAGTCGAGTTGGGAACAAAGACGTCTCCCTGAACCTTCGCCGAAGATGCCAAAGCCCGCGAACAAAGTCGCGAAGGCCCAATCGAAAGCAATTATCCCCGCGCCCTTTACCGCTGCGCCCGCCGAGCTCCTTCCCCTCCTCTCCAGCTTCGACAAAAAATCCGTCTACATAGCGCATGTCGACCAACACCCTGCATGGTTCAAAAAAGGCATCTACTCGGTCCCTGTTGTACTCAACGTTGCCATTGGGCTGTTGGTGATATGGCGCCTGTACGTTCAGGTACCGTGGTATTGGATGCTCTTGATGTCGATCATGGGCAATGCGAATGAAACGACGATCTACTTCGCGAAGCTGACATGGGGAAAGCTCATCGCAAAGGTGTTCTGGCGGGCACTTACTTTTCTCTTCGATTTCCTCCTCATCACCGTCATAGCGCCATGGCCTTATACCTTCTTCCTCGAACGGCCGGGCAATCCAGTGCTCTGGAGACTTAGGATCGGATTCCGCGATGAGGAGATATATGTGCGGCAGAGCAGGGGGTGGGGTGCCGAGGATCTTCTCGGTGAAGCCGAAGGCTCAAGCGGAAAAGCTGGAGCAGACAGCCCATTCTTCAAGACGAGGGTACTGCCCGCGATTGATGCCGGGAGATTGCGGGCAAAGACGGGGTATCTGCTCATGGACAAGGACTACGACTTGGAGTTTGCGGCCATGGTGAGAGCCACAGAGCTTGTGGACAAGAAAGAGCTGGATCTCGATATGCTCCGCAAAACGGTATTTGTCTGGGTGGGTCCTGAGGAATCTGGACAGTGGGCAATGTGGGATTGTTGGAAGCTGGATGAGGGCTCGGAGACGGAAGCCAGAAAGAAGATCGTGCTGTTCAAGGACCGACTCACCGCCATGGGCAAGGAGAATCTCTTCTTCAAGTGGGTTGAGCTGGTGCAGTACGAAAGCAGTGCACCTGGCGGATTCACGCACGACAGGCAGATGGCAACAGCACAAAAAGCTAAAGAACTTTTCGAAGCACAAGGCGTGGATTTCGACACATTTGTCAAGGAAATTGGGGGGTTGGAGGGGATGCCAGGCATGGACTGAGTGTTCGAAACCTGTCTCAAAGTCTCCTGGGCTTTATAAGTCTGGTCGCCAACTCAATTGCCGCTTCATATCCATACACACCAAGCCCGCAAATAACCGCTTACGCCTTCTCGCTCGAATAGCTACGATGTCGAAACGCTTCGCTCTTGGTATCTACTGATATGGACCTCCGGGAGTGGCATGCCGAGGGATAGCTGCGCATCTCTCATTGCTACGCTCGTATGAGCAACACCAGGATCTGTTATTCCCGCGTCAGTTTCTCATGCCTCGTCAACGAGAATGCGTTCGTAGTTGGACTGTATGAACTGTAAGCGGGTAGAGTGCGAGGGACACTGTTCTTCGGCACCGGAGACGACTTGTAGGAGCGTAGCCGTGCCGTATGTGGCCGGCTCGCGTGTTTCGAGGGTTAAGATTGCGTGCGTTTATCAGGAGGATGGATCGGATCATAAGCGCAGATGGTTTGAGATACTGTATGTTGCGTACAACGTAAAAGAGGCGCAATTATAGGAGCGGGACGGGCAAAATAACAGCCATGGGCCCGACTTCAGAGGCCACGCTTCACTCGACACCGTTTCCGACTTCACTGTCGCCGCCGGTGCGGTTGAGCCCACAAAAGCTTCCGGAAGAGAGATTCCCCGTCACGTGCGCATGCTATGCACATGTGGACAGCCATCTGGCACGGTCCTCATGCATCCGGCACAGATTCTCATTCAAACAGTTTGGCCCAGACTACATACTAGCCGAACCTATGTTTTTGCCGATCAAATTCAGCAGAACTGCGGGACATATATCATTGAAAGCTGCAGTGCTGAGTAGGAGAGACGATGGTGCCCATTTTGAGCATGATGACACGTCAAGGAGGTGAAAGGGGTTGATCTTGTCACTGGGGCACATGGGGGTGGGTTATGCACGATGCGGATATGTTGCAGAAAACCACGTCGGACGATTTTGTTTGGCTCCTGAGATGTGCATTTCTTAAAACATTTAAAGAGGACGGGATCACAAGCAAAAGCCTCAATTACATGTCAGTATTGCTCATCTGCATCGACATATCCCAGTCTGGTCAAATCAAGGGACAGTGCGAAAGGATCTCAATTCTACGAGGACAACGAAGTGTCGATCTACCCAAAATCTTTAGCTAAGACATCGTTCAAGTTTGCATCAGGTGCGAAACCAAGATTCTCCATGAATCGTCGGCGGGTTTCCAGGCTTTTGGCGCCGTCCAAGGAGGTAAGCTCGTCGAAGAAGCTTTCCATATCGTGACCTACGCCTGGACTCAGAGGGTCCATCACAGTTCGATTGACGGGATTGTTCACTTGAGGGCCAATGAAGCGCTGCGAGGACTGGTGCGGATCGAAATGGGATTGGGAGTAGTGCGCGGTTGGTTCAACATGCGGCACACGGGCATCCATGACTGTGGGCGTCATACTGTTAGCGAGGTCAGCGAACCGCTTGACGTTGACTCAGGTGGTTCCTGGCCTGTAGAGAAATCTTGAAACAGGTGTGTCCTACCTTACTCTACCACCGAACTGGTGAGAAGGATGAAGCTGAGGCTGCATCGACTCTGGAGTTGCGAGCTCCATGGCTGAATTTAGCTGTGATGGACCACTGGCAGCTATTGCCACCAGAGATGAATTGTGGTGGTCCTCAGTCCCTTCTTTGTTACTTTCTTGACTCTTTGCGAAATCATAGCCCAAGTGGAGATTCCGGAGGCGAGCGTTGAGCCCTTCATCCGCTAGGAATGCTGTACTCCTTTTGAGGATACCCATTAGACAATGGACAATTGGTGGCATGGCAATCCGGCCAAATTGCTTGATGATATGCTCCAAGACTTCAAGGAAGCGTTCTACCCAAGTACGACATGGAAGGGTGACAATGCAAGCGCAACAATACACCGTCCGGAGCAACAAAGCAGGTGGTGCAGCAGCAATAGGGAGATGATCCGACAGCACCTGTCTCTGCTGCACTGGTAATCTGCTCTTCCATGCATCCAACTTCGCAGCTGACTCGCTCGCTGGGATTGTTGAAGATGCAATAATGCTCATTACGCCGACCAGGTCAACTAAGCAATTGTATGTGCTGAGACTGAGCGCTGGCGCTCTCGGAAGGGAGTTCACATGTTGAGGTTTCATACATCCGCTCCATGGTTGATACTCCTCTAATCCTTCTTCTTCAACCCTGCCCACGCGTTCAATGTCTGAAAGCTGGAGATATGGTGCCCGCCCAATCTGCATCGAAACAAGGTGATCCAGCAAAACGCATCCTGATGTTACATGCTCAAGCTTGGAGACTTGAGAAGGCTGCTGGGCCAATGCAATTGCAATCCTAGAAGCGCGGCCCAACGACATCCAGGCAACATCTGGCTCCGACCGGGTTACGTGGAAAAGAGACAACAGAAGGAGTGTTCTCGCGTGACCAATCTGCGAGGATGTCGGATCTGAAACGAGTGATTGGGCGATGTCGTAAGCTCGCTTTGCGTTAGAAGCAGAGCCTCCAAACGTATTGGCACCATGGCAGTGTTCCTGAAGTGACGCCAGAGCTAATATACCCCATAACTCAGCGTGGTCTCCAGAGTCCAGCATGTTTGGCCGCAGGCGCAGGCCCACTTCGGGATAAGAGTGTGAGAGCTTGAGGACACGAAACTTCTCGCAAATCGGGAACCAACTATGAGTGTAGGAGAAGTAGATGTCGAACAATCGCCAAAAGTTGGAAGGTAGCGAGATAGTCTGACCATGGTGGTCACTGGAAGCTTCCGAGCATCGGTCGCGATAATGCGTTTGATGACGCCCCTGCTGCTCCGGGATATGGAAAGCTGCAATATCTCCTTGAGTGGGATGTGTCGTCAAGGGAGTCTGCCGGGTGTGGTCAAGCGCAGTAGACTCCAGATGAAGAGATGTTCCCGCGTTTGATTCTTGGTCGTCACTATCTGGGCTGGGAGACCTGGCGGATCCTTCAAGATTTTCTCCTCTAGAAAGCAATGCATTCACATCTCTGCAGAATTTGCTTTTCCTCCAGCTTTTGTGTAGTCGGTTTGATTCCTTTGAGTCCCTCTGTAACAGGACCGAAGCTGTTCCTTTCTCAGACAGTTCTCTGTTCAGAACTGACTCCGCATCGGAGTGATTGAATAGCCATGTTAACGCAAGCTCCAATGTCCGGATATATCCTGGCTGGATGCCTCGCTTCTTCGGGTTTGCTGTATATGAACAAGCCCTTTGAGACAGGGCGCAAGAGGAACAGGGAGTTTTCCCATCACATTTTTCACGCGCTATTCGGCATTGATCGCACGCTCGGGAGACCCGGGACCGTTTGGAAGGTAGGCCGTTGTTCCCTGGGGCTGTGGTATCTTCTGCTCCGCGCTTGCTCATTCCTCGGTTTTGCACCAGAATTTGACAGCGATATGGAGACAGGAGAGTTGTAGCCCCTATGCAACTACCGATATTTTGTCGGGTTATGGCGATGTGCACAGCCCTGCGGGCTTCATTCACTGCCGAAAATGCCGAGGAGAGGGCCAAATTATCTCTCGTCTTCTGCAATGCTACCGGAATTATGCTCCCAGAAATATGTAAAAGACAGTCAGTTTAGGTGGGTTTTGGCTTGGTACGGTAGTTTCAAGGCTTGCTGGATGCTCTAGATCTGTCAACGTCCAGCGACAGGCTTATAGGCTGGAACGGGTTCGGAACATCCAGCAGGAGACCTATTCAAGGGTCAATTTTCTGCCTCAAAAATAGCCACCAATCAAAAATGTATTTGACCTTTGACCACCGCGCTTCTTATGAGTGTTGAGGTTGAGGGTGTGAGGTATCGTCCGGGAAAAGTCTTAAGCGGAATCACGTGAATGGCGACTATATTCCAACATCTCGTGCTTGCCTTCCACATCTTCCGTAATGACCACTACGCTATACGAAGATAAGTCGACATGGATTGGGATACTAAATTGCTTATTCCATTGGATTGCACGCACCGATCATGATGTCGTCCAATATGGCCGCAGGGGCCAATAATGGAGGCAGTGCAGCAATGCACGAGATACCTCCTGTAAATTTACAGCGTCTGGAAACCTCCACCTTGCAAAGATATTCTGCTGCCCCACGACGTGTATGGGCCACCGATATCACAGCTTCCCTGTCTCAAAATGGGGAAATACATGCGTCAAAACCGGTCCATTGCCGTCGCGCCTTCGAGAGCGACGCGTCCATCGTTCTCATCGGTATGCAAGGAAGCGGCAAGTCTACACTGGCAGTCATTGCTTCTGGAGCCTGCCGAAAGCGCGTTGTCGACATGGAAAGCCTTTTCCAAGAAGCGACTGGATTTTCCACAGCGAAGTATCGGAAGCAATTTGGAGCCTCGAATCACATGCTTCGCCAGGAAGAGATTCTTCGAAATGCGCTGCAAACGTACGACAAAGGTGCCATTCTGGTTTGCAATGGCACTTCTTTAGAGAGGACTGGTCAGACGCTCCTCGAAGAGTTCTCAAGGACGCATCCTGTCATTCACATCGTGCGGGACCTTCGCAGCATCCACCAATACCTGGAGGTAGTGGACATGTCGAAGCTGCAAGGTTTGGTTGAATTCAGTGGGCCTCTATTCCGACGCTGTTCGAACTATGAGTTTTATAACCTCACCGAGAATAAAGCGCCTTCCTGCATCGCTCCCGCAAACCAACCATCGGTTCCCGTTTTCCTCACATTAAAGCGGACTGAGAGAGCTTTCTTGAATTTTTTGTCTCTGATAACTACTACGGAAACGGGGCAAGGTAAGCTAGGTTCACTGGAAGCCGATTTGCCCCTTTCCGAGGTCGCTACTGAACTACGCAACCATACATGCGCAGTTCAAGCGCCTCTCGCTGTGCTGCAGTCCGAGGATGTGGACATCGAAGAAATCGCAATGGGCTCCGACGCTTTCGAGATCGTCGTGGATCCGGGTGAAGTGGAGTTCACTCCGCCGGGTCTGCCCTCTGACAGAGCTGATCTGATCACGCGTGTTATAGCCAGAGTTCGCAGAGTCACTGTTGTCCCTATCATCTACCACGTTATACCCGTGCCCGAACAGGATCCGAGATGGACGTCCTATCTTGAGCATGTGTTCCATGGTTTGAGATCCGCTCCAGATTTTCTGACGGTGGATATGTCCCTGGATGACGAGGCCATTGCGGAAGTGGTGCGGGTGAGGGGATCTACAAAAATCATCGGACACATGCATTCGCCTCTGAACTGGTCTAATACATTCTGGGTGCAGAAGTGCGATGCTGCCGTACGGTTAGGTTGTACTGTCGTGCGCTTCACTCGGCCAGCGCAATTCATGGACGACCGTGCTATGATCCAGTGCTTCCGGAACAACATCAAACAACACTTCCCCACGACCCCCCTCATATGTTTCAACACCGGCCGCGCTGGGCGCCAATCCGCATGCTTTAACTCGGTTCTCACGAGCGTTATTCCTCCCAGTCTGAGGGAAAGCGACCAATTCTCTGCGTTGGTCGAGCGCAACCTGGAAACTTCATGGCTTACAATTGATGAAGCTACTCATGCTCTCTATGCGACCTTCACCCATGAACCCATGAAATTCTACATCATCGGTGCCAGCGACGAGCACAACATCTCATCTGCGATGCACAATGCTGCTTTTGAGGCATGCTGCATGCCTCACACCTTCCAGAATATCCAAACCTCGAATCTGAGTCGCCTACAGGACCTTGTGCGGGATACCACCTTTGGGGGTACGGCTATCACGCGGCCGTTCAAGATCGAGGTTATCTCATTGACGCACTCGCTAAGCAAACATGCGCGCGCCATTGGAGCCGTCAATACTCTTATACCTGTTCGACACTTAAATGAGGACGGTAGCATACCGGATGCTCTGGGACTTTTCAAGGAACGCAATCAAGCAGGAACGATCAAGGCTCTGTATGGCGACAATACGGACTGGATAGGCATTCGGGCCTGCATACGGCGCGGACTTTCACCAGCCAATGCCGTCTGCCATAGCACTTGTGGTTTAGTCCTAGGAGCAGGGAGTATGGCACGTGCAGCCGTATATGCCCTGCTGAAATTAGGAGTGCGGAACATATTGATCTACAACCGCACGCTTGCCAACGCGGAGAATCTGGTCAACCACTTTACGCGCCTTGTCTCATTTCCAAACACTCCATTCTCACCCTCGATTACTACGTCAAACCGCGTTCCTGCCTTTCGCATTCTGAACTCGAAAGACGACCCGTGGCCTGCCGACCTGCCTCCGCCAACCATCATCCTATCGTGTGCTCCTATCGATGCCATGGGCGACAGTTTAGCACCAGACTTCACGCTCCCCAAACAATGGTTACTATCTCCCACCGGAGGTGTCATCGTAGAAGTAGCTTACCGCACCCTCGACGATCCCCTGACGGAAGAAGTCCGCGAGAAAGCAGGCCAGTCGTGGGTCTGTTTTGATGGGCTGGACGTCCTGCTCGAGCAGGGATTCGCGCAGTTTGAGTTGTTTACTGGGAAGCGGGCGCCGCGGAGGATTATGCGGGAAGCGGTGCTCAGCTCTGTGGGGAGTCAGGGGGAAAAGGAGGATCAGGGGATAGTGAGGTCGAGGTTGGACAATGTGGTGGATTTGGACCCTTGAGCTACATGCCAATTGCAATTCATGTCCACCTGTTTGCATTCTATGTTGTAGGCCACAGTCTCAATGCACTGGCTGTTCGTTTCCACCCCTCGCCCAACGTATTTCCATTCGCTGCAAACCGCGAAGTCCACGAGGAAAATGCCTCGTTGGCTTGTGGGCTTCAGAGTTCCCAAGGGTTGAGGATATCGGAGAAAGCCTCGTCGGGTGGAGCGAGGATGGTGAAGTTCCGCACGGAGCTCAGGGCCTCGGGGAGCTGGGAATTGGCCGTGACAAGGCTGGTCAAGTGGGAAAGGTTTGGGTTAGATGAGAGGACTTCAGTGAGGAGATGTCTGCCATTAGAGTCCTGAGCGGCGACCGATGCCAGCCAAAGCCAAAAGGGAAATGTGCTTATACTGCATTATGATGCCTAGAAAGGAGGTGACTGCTCAATTGACAACATTATGAATGACAAAAGGGAATGAATGGGTGACAGGTGACATCAAGCTCGCTCTGGAGTAGCGGTAGAAGAATCGATGTGCATATACCACGACACCGAGGCGAGGACACCAGCTTCTATCAGATAGTGTTTCTCATGGCGTTGCCCGGCTCCCGCCTCACCAGAATTCTGTGAACAAGACATGGCAAAGCCACTCGAACAGTTACAATCCGAGCATTGGAAGAGACTCGACGCGCATCAGACTCCACCTGCCCACTCTGCGGATCCGAAATGAGGTCCGAGCCACCTCAGTGTATCGAACCATGTATCGGTAATCGATCTTGAGACGTTAACTCTGCCGAGAATTGGTGAAGCATATGGACAGTGGCCGTCGTGAGGGCAAAGTCCTTGCATTCGCAACGGAGAAGAAATGGTACAGAACATTGCTTCGACGCATCCATGTAGAACAGGTTTGATGCTTGTTGTTGTTCAGGCAGAACCCCGTCTCGGCCTCCCCGTGGCATTGGAGTGTCCAGCGAGCACATGAAATGCAGAGTGAAAGACTCTCGTTGGATGCTGCCGTACCTTAGAAAGTCCATATTGAGTTGGCCCAAAGCCTAGACATGCACCGCCATTGAAATCTTGGCTGCCGCTCCACTCCACCATTTGATACAACTTCTCTTTGCCCTTGTGTACAATTTCTTAGCTAATTCGTGGACTTTGTATCCGGGTTACGTAGTTCCACTCACGATCGGCATACGCGCTTGATATTGTGCCCACTCCTGGTGAATTCACGGCCCAGATCGGGATTCTGCTTCTTCAAACGGATCTTGCTTTGAACCGCATCGCCTTTTCTGCCGCCTTTCCCACGTGGCACCATCAAGAATCATTCCTGACCCTGTACACGGCAATGCACGTGCCTGCAACAGGACACGTGAAAACCCGCATGCCCCGAGCTTCTTTCTCCAACGCTATCCAATAATGAATGGAAAACAATATAAGCGCCAAAGCATTCCCAGGACCTGACGGAGTATCCAAGACTCCCGACTCCCGACTCCTCGCTACCCTGACCGTAGAACCAACAGATGCTGCTATACAAGACAACCCAAAGCGATCAAGCCAAATGGACACAATCCGCTAGATGATTTCATCATCGCCCATGCTGAGATCCGGCTCAAACGTTTCCCCCGTGTATCTCTGCCTGAAAATCCTCGTTGCAGCTCTCCCGGCTGTGGCTGTCGCGTGCTCCTTAACTGCTTCGTCTTCATACAGCCATGCTATCAGGTTCCATATCGGCGCCCCAACCGGTCGGACCAAATTGCGCCAAAGTAATGTCGGCAGGACAAACGGATAGCGCGGCGCGTCCCAGACGACTCCATATCCGACCATCTCGGACGCGTAGAGTTTGTGGCAGTACCTCTCACTGGCTGCGATTAGTAATCATCCAGGGGCCATGTGGCCCAGCCACGGAACGAGCGGGTGCTTACCAAGCCAAATTCTCCGAGATGAACCAGATCCAAAAGGTAATCAGCGCAATGCTCAGCCACGTGAGTCCATGACGTCCCGGATGTTCCGGTTTGTAGAATAACCGCTTGAAGCCCTTCCAGGTACTTCCCCAGAGGCTGCGGGCGTCCACGAGTTCGCGTTGGACGACCTTGGTCCTCTCCCCTTCCCCTTCAATGTGCTCGACCTGGTGCTCAACGCGCCTTATCCCACGGCTGGCGTCTCGAATGCTCGTTCGAGCCGCCCTCAGTCTCTGGTTCATCTTGTGGAGCTGAGCCAGTTCCTTCTGTCGCTGCCGTTCTGCCTCGTTCTTTGGAGGTTCCGTAGGCAGCTGTAAGCCTTGCAACGTGTCTTCATCCAAATCACCAGTGTGTTCCTCTCTGCCACATTCTATCAACTCTTCTAGGGAATCGATTGTGGAATCTCCCAACTCGTCATCTTGTTGCCCTCCTCCACCCTTGCCCTTGCCCCTAGCTCCCTCGACCAAGGCTTGTAATGCAGAGCTTGGGAGTGTAGGATGAGTCACTGCAATGGGAGCTGCTGGCTGGGTAGGCGATTTCGCCTCCTCGATCCCTCTTCCCGTTTGCGGAGATCCCTTGGACGGACTGTCTTTTTCGGCAGGTTTTGCATGGGGCTGCGACGTCTCCCCCGCCGGTCGACGGATGGTTCTAGGGCCTGGAGTATCAATCCAGGCACCCGTTACCACGGGAGTCTTGACATATCGTGCTGACGACTCTGCCGGTGCAGGCGTCATTTCAGCGGCATTGATTACAGGTTGTTGGTCGGAACCTGATGCAGTTCTCGCCTCCAACTGGTTCTCGGCGCCACCTGGTTCTCCATGAGTAGACCGCAGAACGAGACTCTTCGATATTTCAGAGGCTCCGCTCGGTGGGTGATCGGTTTGGGCTGACTTGGTCGCTGGCCGTCTAGTCTCCGGCAGCGCTGGAACTGATTGGCTACCATGGTTGGGGATCCTTCCAGGACTAGGCGTATTGCTCGAGGCTCTCGCGAGTCGCCGGAGTAGATTGTGGGAGTCTTCTTGGGTTGACAGGGGCTTCGGTGTTCGAGATTCTACTCGTCCGGTATCGGCCACGCCCAGACTCTCCGGCCTCCTCCTCGCTGTCAATACAGGTGAAAGGGACAGGCGCAACTCCGCACACGCCGCGATTTCAGTGGGCGGTTTGGGCTCTGTGACCATGGGCCGCAGGTGGGATGCCTCCTCAGGGGAACTTTCACGCATCTCCGCAGGCCGGCTTTTGTTTACCACCTGCTCCCTCAGGCTCTCAATTTCCCTCTGGCGAATGTCGTCCAATGTAGGATTGCGCGGGACGTAGGGGGTCGAAGCAATGAGAGATGCCTCATTGAAGTCCATGGTAAAGTCGAAATCAGGCTCCTGTTCCAAATCCAGAGTCTTCCGGCGCGAGTGCACAGGCGTCCCTTTTTGAGAGCTCTTGTGCGAAAGGGGACTGTCTTCAACCGACCTTCGTGGTATGTCCGCAGCATCTGTCGGTCGCGGGGTTGCGCCTGCGGTGTCCCGACCCATCTCTTCTGCCTGAGAGATCTGTCCTCCTTCAGAGTCAGCCGTGATTGTCTGCAGCCAGTTCCTTCTAACTCTGGCTTTGCGACCCCATTCCAGCGGCGGCCGCACCGCTGGATCTGATCCTCCACTGCTGCTTGACGGGCCCTTGATACCCACAGCTCCATTCGTATGGCCCGCATGTCTCTCCAAATTCTCCATAGTCAACCCAACGCGAGGGTGCGTTCGAGCATTTCGGAAGGGCTGGACATTGCCCCGCAGCGCGTCGCGAAGTCGTCGCTCGTCGCGCGCATTCTGTAGGATTAACCGATCGAGGTCGTCGACCTCCGCGTCCTCTTCATTTTCAAGAGAGGTGAGTCCGGATATGATGGAGAGATCTTCTTCCTCGCGCTCGGGTCCAGACGTATGCGTTGCCTTCGCTCCTGTATAGCTGCTGGATGGCGAGGAAGGCGGCCGGTGGGATTGGCGCGCACTCATGGGCGTTCTTTATGTGCGCTTTCATATGCGCATGGCACTATGAGTGCGACGCTTTGTCGGTCCTATCGGTAGACTGAGATGGCCGGTGGGTTCGGTGGGCATTTGCGCGTTGTTTTGGATCGCCCACGCGTCGTCGTCAAGGGCGAGGTCAATGAGTGACCGTGCACCAGCTGCACCTGGCCAAGACCGGGGTTCCCGCCAAGGCACTATAACGATCGGTACAGGGTCTAGACTACGGAGTACATAGTAAATCCATCTCGGATTCACATTGAGCTCGTCGAGGTCATCTTCCTTCGGACCTTCTTACCTCCACTGCAATCTTGATATCCCCAAGTTTCGAAATGTGATGGGCACTAAAGACATAGAGCAATGGCTCCGGTCTGCACTGTTGGTAGGTTAGGGTAAACCATACACACAGCTACTCCGAGCTTCTCCGCTCCATCAACAAAACAACGCATGCGCTAAACCAGAAATCGAATGGCTTTCGCGATGCGAAAAGCTAGTGTACAAACCGGATTTACACCATCATGCTTCGATAAAGGATGATTCCCACTATCCTCACTGATGCGCCATCCAGGACAGCAAGTAACTCCTACTTCGGTGTCGTCACTACCCCCTCGTACTCTCTGCTGGCAATGTAGTCGAGCGTGCGTTGGAAATGTTTCCTCGGGTTCTCCAACGATGCAGCGTTTTCGTTGGACTGGAGATTCGAGTGGATGAGTTCGATCAAGCCGTTGAGATATTTGGTGGTGACCTTTTCCAAATCAGTGAAGAGCTCAATCATGGACTAGCTGTAAGATACGCACCGCCTCGTTTTCTTGGTCGAAATAATAGACGTAGCGATTCAGTATCTCCACAAACAATTCGACCGACACGGCCGCGTCCATGCAGGCATCAGCGACCCTGAGGGCCCGCTGCAGACACTCCAGCACTCTCTTGCCGTCGCGATACAGCTGTTTCATGTTAGCAACTTATCATCACATGCATACGCCAAGAAACGCACATCTTTCGAATCATCCTCCTCAAGCGCCCGTATCTCTGTTGCCCACCACAAGTGGCTCGCCAAGTACACTGCGCGACACTGATCGGGCTTCTTGAGCAGCTTGCTGCCATGTAACGCGCACTTCGTAATCAAAGTGTCGTAATTCTCCTTTCCAAAGTTGCGCGTTGTATGAAGTGCGCCGGCAATCACACAGACCGCCTGGAACTGTGCTCTTGAATCGCTGATGCTTTCCTCGTATATCGTAAATGCCTGGGCGAAATACTCGTATGCAACTTCCTCGAAACCGTTCTGGTCTGCGATCTGGCCGCAGCCGACAAAGAGCCTGAGACAAAGGTCTGCGGATCCAGTGACGCGAGTGTATAGCGTTGAGATGGCGCTATGCATGAATTTGTACAGTGCCGATGATTGAGAGGACCAATTGTCTTCGAAATGCTCACGGGCCTTATAGCGGCGCGCAAGCTTCTGCGAAGCAGTAATGAGCGCCGGTGTTGTGTATCTCACGCGCTCGTTACCGTCTTGGAACGCCTTGCGAGCGGTTTGGAGAAGCTGTCATGAAGTTAGCCATGTTGAATGATGGGTCACTCCCACGCTTACCTTGAACTGAGTGTCATTATCGGGTCCTTTAAGGAGATGTACTATCCGCGCCAACCAGCCCTGTTCCTCTATCGTCTCTTCAGTTTCCATGGCCTTTCTCTGTATTGGTCCGCCAGGATAACCCGTAGCTTGCTGGATACCCTCTCTGATGAGGACTTTGAGAATTTCTAGAACGCTCTCAAGGTTCTCCACTGAGGTAATGGGGGTCTGGTTCCTTATCAGGCTCCGTGCTATTTCGCCAGCGACGGCTCTTCGAGTGGGGTATGGTTGTGAGTGTAACAGCGGAATGAAATTTGGCAGCGCTAGTGCGGTGAAAAGAGAAAGATAGGTTTTGATGGGTGCGAGGAGAAGACTGAGAATCTGGCTTTGTGTTGCCTGCGAATGCAGATCTGCGCTATTGGCAAACTCCGAGACTTTTTGATTTGCAAATCCTAGAACCTGGTCGACGTAATCTAAGCGCTCGGGGTAAATCGTACTGACTACATTAGCTGAATGCGCGGTACGCTCGGCGTATACTTACAGTGCAAGATTAGAGAGAGACACCAGTAATGCTATAGTGTCTTGGATGGTCAATCGCTGCATCTTGACAAGAGTGGCAACTTGTTCGTGGAATATCTCAAACAACTTGATGTTGCTGGGAATACCTCGCCGTTTCTCCACGTCAGTATCGACCGCTGTCTGGCTCGTGTCCTCAGGCTCGCCTGAAGCCGGAGCCGTGGTGGCTATCTCCGACCCATTCACTTCTGCGCCGGGTTGAGCGTCTTCTGACGTCTCCCTCTCCCCATTCTCCCGCGTTGCTGCCTCGGTGCTTTTCTTCGCCTTATCGATCTTCAGCTGCTCTAATAGTCTGGAAATGGATTCTTCTTCCATTTTCTGACGCTGTTCCGGACTTTCTTCCTCTGATTCTCTCTGCGCATAAGCGGATAAGCGATCCATCAGACCAACAACAATGGCCTTCACGTTGACATGCGGATTCAGGCGAGCAGTCGCAGAAAGGAATTGATCCAGGGTGTGCAAGTGAAACTCATCGGGAAAGACCTGAGTAACAACTTCAAGAAGGTACTCTTGCGCCAGAACGTCTCGGCATTGGACGATTTGCTCAAGCAAGGGGTTCAGAATCTTCTTGTAATTCTCCAAATCCACAAGCTGGCTCAAGCGCACTAGATTGCTGCCCACAAGGAGCTGAAGTTCTTGACGCTCTTTCATCCTCTGCTCCCGTTCCCTCGAGTGCCCCTGATGTTGCAGCCGCACCCAGAGCTTGTTCATCTCGACGAAGTTGGTCAGGATGAAGCTGATTGAATCCTGGAGGTTGCCCTCCGGGCCGTCACCGTCACCGGTGGGCAAGTGGTCCCGGGCCTGTCCGGCGAGGTAATACCGGAGGAAGAGTCCGCGGATTGGATGTTGTACGCCGCGGCTCATCTCCATCATGTCCTTCATGATTTCCTTGACCGGCGCATCCTCAATGGACATGTATACCGTGCCGACGGTTATCATTAGGTAAAGGCGCGGAATGATATTTCCAGCATATTGTACCAGCTCGTATAGATCGGCGAGGTGATTGACCGGGTGGTTATCGCGAAGGTAGACGGCGAGGTGACGGAGAGCATCGAATACGGACATGTATAGTTCGTAATACTGTTTCGGTCCTAAGCTGCTTGTCCGCAGCTCGGACACCAGGGTAGAGCTGCACAGTCACATAAGCATATATATAATTTAGAGCAGGTGGAACTATCCATAATCGTCGGGCAGCATGCGCGTACCTGCACTTAAGAGCATCCATGAGCTTGCCTGGAGTTTCGAGACAACGGCGCATGAGCATGGTCTGCTGGCGCACCACACCGAGAGCATCTTCCAACAGGCGAGCCTGGTCTTCCACCGGTGTAGGCGACGCCATTGCGTATGTGAAGCGAACGAATACCGAAGATCAGGAGAGCTGGTGGAGGGGACTGTTGTGGAGAGCGGAAGCGTGAGGTCGGAGAACGGAGTGTGGCTGTTGTGGCTGGTGCCGAGGCTGGCTACAGTCCAAACATGGGATGGGACGTCTCGAGGTCGAAGCAGACAGAAGTGATCGTGGAGCTTTTATAGCTAAATCATAAGCACTTTCTACTCTATAGACACTGAAATCATTCAACTGATATTATTTACGAGCATAAAAGATGCCAGCCCCGGGTCAGGGTAGATGGAGCAAGTCTCAATTAGAACTGACCAACTACAAGTCTCTAGCTAAAGTCGTATGTAGCAAAGGAAAAAAAATAAAAGACGAAGAACGGAGAGAATAATAGCGCCTTCCCAATGCATCGTATTTCCAAGCCCATGTAATCCAATAATGCGGTTGCCCTGCCGTCCATTCATAATTCGTGCTCCGTTAGATACCCTCCGTGAAAGTCGTGTCATTGATCTTTCGATTTGGGCAGGCCAGAGAACACTACTCTTTCCCTACGTATGTGGTTCCTCCGATCGTGGTGGTGCTGACAGTCTGGTTGTTGAAGTGAACCAGTGGAGGCGTCACCACTGGGCCGGGGACGCCAGCCCCTTTCCTCGAAGTGGAAGAGGAAGTAAGAGCAGGAACAGCATCTCCAAAGTATTTGACAGGATAACGCGTATGCCACATTCCGTCGTCGTAGAATTCCGTCGGCTGGGCTGTTTCGGTGACAATGACGGTGACAATATTGGATGTTTTTGTTACCGGACTTGGCGGTGGCCGTTCCTCAGCTGGTGTTGGGATGGAGGTTGAAGAGGCCTTGGTAGTCGAAGCTGGTGTTGACGTGGTGCTGGTAGGATGGAGTAGTGCCGTGGTGGTTACCTCCGCAAGGGCCGTAGACCCGCCATCCACATTGACGACGGCGTAGGATCTGGTGCGTTGTACTAGGTTTCGAGGGCTCGGAGCGCCATTCAAGGGCAGACAACGGGCCAGAGGTGTGAGGGAAAGCGCCAAAGCCAGATATCGACTGCCGAAGACCATCGTGGGGCGTGTCAGGGTGGAAAGAAGTATTTAATGTTCGCTGACAGACATTCAGTGCACCGTGAGGCAGCTGCGAGAGTGGCCATTGTGGATATATCCTCGCGTGTGTCCACCCTTTGCGATGGCAGGAGATGGCTGGTGTTGCGGATGGGATGAAATGCAGTGGCTGGGTGGTCCGTGCGCAATTCACCATTTGAACTCCTACGGAGTACTCCGTAGTCTTATGACCATCGCGACAATTCAACCTAACCCTCACTCCCACTGTTTGCAGAGGAGGGGATAACTGGGCAGCACGCTCCATTTCTTGTATTGAGCTGGCTGATAGTATGAGTAGTCATTTGCAAGTTAATGGACTGGTCGCGGGGATTCCCAATCGCCTGGTTGGGTTCTCTCAACTCGCGTCGATATCCGATACCCTGTCCATCTCTCGTAGGAACTGATGTGCTAACAGAGACGCTTTCGGGGCGATGGTTGGTCAATACTGCCTCCAGCTTTACCAATGCTCTGCTGACCATGTTATCCTCCTTCTATAAGGCCGACTACATTGAACTTGAAGACCAGGTGTTCAAGGCAGTGTGGCAAATGAGAACAGCACCTTGAGGATGGTCCAAACACTCACAACATTCAAATCAGCTCTGGAAAGTGCAGGTTGGCGCTTCGATTTGGCAGAGACGCTTTCAATCTCCGCTGCATGAAAGATGTTGCGCCTCATCCAGGTGGATTCCCAAGTTGCATCAAGAACTGCCCCCCATGCCCAGAACACGCTCCGGGATTTATAACGACCCAAAGTCATAAGCGGCGTGGTGGTCACCCTTCTGGAACATTTCCCACCACACGCCGCCTTTAATTTACATCTACGCGTGATGGCGTGAACGTCATGTGCAACCTGATTCAAAAAGAAGGACTCTGTATGCTCGAAGCCCCTGCATGTGCGGCTACCAGGCCGACGAGGAGGACTGCAGACGCCGTCGCCGGTGCCAGATTTCCAATGGCATGTGAGCAACTTGAGAACGGCCCTAATGAATGGATTCAGTGTGTGGTCATATCCCAAAGGATTTCACTGTCCCCATCCTCTCATTATGAAATGATGCTTTGCTGTCGGGGATCGAGATCCAGATGCTCACATGGATTCTTTCTCTTTGTTTTTCAGGAAAATAAGCGCCGTAAAATTGGGGCGACATTAGGCTCATTCAGAACCAAGCCTTCTGTGATCCCATAGAAGGGGTGTCTAACAACGGGTCCGCATATTGTTACAACTGATACTACAGAATCAGCAATGATGTTAAACTCACATTAGATTGTTTCGCCGGAAATGGAATGTTATATTTACCAGCCAGAGTTGTCCTCTTTCATTGCGATCCGAGCAACATCTTCCACCAACAGTACACGCGTCAGTACTTTTTGACAACCCGGGCAACGAAGCTTCCGGGGTCACTACGTACGCACAGGAAGTCCTCTCCGTACTGTGCTACGGAGGAGCGATCCAAGGGGTTTATGGTAGTTCAGAGTAAGTTTTGACTAGAATCCCGTACTGTCCTGCGTAGACAATCAGGAGGCTCACTATGTGAGTACAGTCCTCCTGTTCCGTTACGGTACGGTGATGAGTTGACTACAGATGATGTGAAAGAGGTGAAGAGGCCGCGGTGAACGCCACTGAGCGGTCGTTGGAGTTTCACCGCCACACCGCTACTCCAACGTCAAGGAAAAGTCTGCCTATTTGCCTGCAGCACTGGCCACCTCCAAACGCCCGTAGCTACTCTTACTTGGGACTTCCTCAAATCTCTTCTTCTACTTCATACGACACCCACCTACTTCTTTCCAAGGTTGAAAATACCCTATCTAGTGACAACCCATTTCCATGGGCTCGCCTCGCTAACATGGCACTCTCACCTCTTCTATACGACACGTATCGGCGCTACAAAGCGGGAACGAAGAAAATTGTGCAGTGGCTTGCATCAACCGCGAGGGAAACAGGCACCGTTGATGATATCTTCCTAAGAGTGGGCAAGGGGCCGACAGGGAAGAGTAGATCCAAAGAAGATCCACAGGTGCCGGTTCACACTCTCTCACCGAAAGCTCTCCTCCGGCTTGCGGATGCCGTAGTCACGAAAGGAATAACGATCCCCCACCCCATCCTGGCCATCTTGCAAGATGTTATCGACTCGAGGAAGGAGTGTGCGCGATGGTTCAGGGCCAATAAGAAAGATGCAACACCCTCTGTAAAAAAAAGAAAACGAGGCCCATTGGCATTTCATCTCTATCCTGGAAGAAGTCTTGGAGAGACTTAAATCTGGAAGAAGGGAGAAGGACGCTAAAGGCAACGCCCCAGTTCCGGAAGACAAGGACACTGAACAAAGTCGGCTCAGTAATCTGTTCGAGTACCTGAATGTTGAGGAACTCCTCGATTCCGATGCAGATTCCCCGCAATCGTCGCAGCCGGTGTCGTCGCAGCCGGTGTCGTCGAAGCCGTTGAAGGTGCCGCCCAGACCTTCCGTTACATATGAGATGGAGAAATCGGAGGATGATACTGTGTTTGCCATTTTCTGTTACTTCAAAGATGTAACGGATGTCCGACTCTTCATTCGCAGGACTTGGATACTTTTCAAACAGGGCCAGCTCACCTTGGAAACGGCTGCGCTGACCATGAGTTCGGGTATTGGGCTCATCAAGCGCCTATATGACGACTTCGTGAAGAGATATCCGCGGTTCGAAACGCACGTTGAGATATGGGCCTACCTGACTGACGGATATTTTAATCCCGACAAGACCAATGCTTCGCCGGCATTTATTGCCTATGCGGCCGATGGACAAGAACTAAGCTATATGACTGTTAGCTGCGAGCCCGTCATAACTCTTATCCATATGTTCGTGCTCCAGAAACAGGATATAACCGATTATGATCTCACACCGGACGAAATTCTTCTAGTAAATTGCCTGCTTCAGATGAAGGACCTCGCTCTATCCGGGGACGATACATATCGTGCGAGGGATCCAGTCCAGAAGGCTATGCGGTCAATTTTAATGGAAAATAAAACGCCGTCCTGGGCTGTCTTCGCAATCCAAGTCTTTTGGGACACCCAGCGAGAGTTGGCCAAGAATTTTAAAGACGTCCTCATCAATGCACGAAATACGGCATCCTGGGTGAGAGAATCAATGGAAGAGCTCATCGCTTGGGAAGAGGATGGGGGACATGGAACAAGGAACGCAACGCGTCGCTCCGAACTCCTGCGCTTCGCCAGCTTGGTCAAGAGCAAGCAAGAGATTTTCGACTCACGTATCGGCCAGTTATCTAAAAATGGTGCAGTACCAGAGGATATGTTTGCTCACCATCCAATGCTCAGTGGAATTACGACTCAAGAATTGATCGCTCTGCATCAGGTTGTTGCCTTTGAACAAATACCTATTCATGGGGTTATTATGGGCTCAGCCCACTTGTACAACGCTGTAGCACAAGCCGGTCTTCTCCCTCGAGGTGTCGTGTGGAAAGATATGGATTGGGTCATACAAAACCAAGGCGAAGCCCACATGTATGTGGGAAGACGTCCGCGACTGGAAAAAGAGAAGGACTTTACGATCCACTACGGGCTGGTAATGGGGTTTAGCCTTACCCAACTTTTGAAGTCGAAAGACACGAGGGACCCTACTTGGTTGTTGCCGAGAGACGACGGATATATGAAGCCGAGGTTACCAAATCGCAAACTCAAGTATCCGTCTATTTTCCTGAAGGTGTCTACCACTGCGCGGGACGACGGAAAAGGGTCCACATACTCGAGTGCGACTCTAGTCGATACAGTATTACTAGATCGTATTGTGCAGGAACATATCGAAGACACCGTCAAAAATAACCACACAAAAAAGACCAAGATCTGCCGTACGTCTACGTTGAGTCCAGTTGCGATGCTGACATTATTACGGGATACCCTTCAAAAAGACGAATTTCCGCTCCGCTTCAACACTCCGGAATTGTACATGGGCTGTGTGAAGATGCTTCGACGCATCCGGCAACTTGTCGTCACGAAGGCGCCTCACGATTATCGCGAGGACACTTGTGTCAGGGGGGAGGGAATCGAAATGTGCGTGTTTGGTCTCGCGACAGAACTGGACGGACGTCCATTGATCGACGAACCCCAGTTGCCTGAAGCTGCAAGAATTCTTCGTGAGTTTATCGAGGAAGAAGGGGAAGAAGTGTGCCAGAAAACCATTGCTCGCACGCCGCAGAGAACGGGAAATACGAAGGCCAGTACAGAGAAAGAAGCCAGTTTTGAAAGCCCGGCGACGGACTACATTTCCCCGCCTGTGAGAAAGCTGTTTTTCGATTCGTTTGGATTAAACGACATTCATGAACTCCAGCTCTTCCTCCGCGACAAGAGCTGGGTGTAGCTCTGAATCTCGGGCCGTGCATATAGCATCAGCAGAATTGAAAGTGGGCTGGGTTATGTCTGCCTGTTATATGTTCCGCAGTAGGTTTCGAGTTCCCCGGACTTTAGAAGTTATTGGATCTGTGCCGTTAGCACCTAATACAATGAGAAGCATACAAGCCTTACTCTGCTGTATCTATTTCTTTACAGTGCATATGTCTAAGTCTCATCGCTACAAGCAGTACGGGAATAATGAGTCCAGCTCGAGAGACTGGCGATGGAGAAAGGCCCATGGTGGTTTACATAGCAGCTACTTAACCTTTACCGGGGAGTGCTCATGCTGAAGTGTGATGTACACGGCATCTGCTATAAAAAGATTATGCGGTGAACTCTGGTTCCACGTTCCGAAATCTATCATGTATTTAACAATATACTGCTCCATGGCCCTAGCCCCGAAATCTGTTTCCTTTAATCGTATGAATTCACAGTGGTCCGAACTTCACGTTACACTGGTTCTAACACATGGCCCGCGATAAGAGCGGCGGTGAAGCCAAAATATCCGTTATTTGGGCCATAATGTACCGACCCACTTGCTTTCGAGGTTTACTTCGAAAACTGGTCAACTCTTTTCCCACCAGTTTCTCCTCTGTCATTGCACTATCTTTCCTCTCAAAGACTGGCATTCATTGTCATCGCCCTGTACCTCCTCTCAGCAACGAGCAGTCTCCTCGCTCAAGAAGACGGTTCTCCTTCCAGTATTAGCTGATACATACTTTCAATACAAGCGGAGCACAGAGAAATGTATCCAACGGCGTCCCAGGATTAGATCCGCTGCGAAGCTTACTAGGTCCGTCAACGCCATCTCTAAAAGCAGCCGGATAAGCACCACAGAACGGCGGCTGTGGAAGAAGGAAGGGGAAAGCGCGAAGTAAGCGCAAGAACGAGATTCAGTCTCAAAAAGTCTCTATCAAAGCGGTTTCTCGGCTTGCTCGCGCTGTTGTTGTCTCCAATGGTGTCCGTGTTCTAGGTTCAAATTTAGAGATCCTCAAACACGCAATCAACGCCCGGAATGAATGCGCCGAATGGCCATGGATTCTTCTCAAAAGAAGAAATAACTGCCAGCACACTCCATTTGCTATACTCTGTTGTGCTGATCGTGCGAGTAGTCCTTTTGCATGAGTTATTTAGCACATCGACGTTGCGCTGCCTCTTTTCTCGTCCGACTGAACAGGACCGTGTGCGTAAGGGCTATTGACCTTCGAGATCGGCTTCTTTTGCTTCTTGACACGCCTCGTCCAGATATACTCAGAATAAAAACGCCGTGCTCTAGTAGCGTAATCAGGATGTGACCAATTGAATTGTTTGTAAGGGAGAATCTAACTTGGAGCAGAAGGACAGGCGGGTGTTCAGTCAGACGTAGAAGGAAGCGGTAGTTTGTATAGCGGTCAATCTTAGTGGCTATTAGTTACAGAGTTCTTATTCTCTACTGAGAATTAGCGACCACAACCAAACAGCCGCTCTAATTGCAATTGCCCTTCGTGGCATCTTGAGCCCTGAGAAGTCGCCTCATGTCTTTGATGGCCCGGTTGGAGTAGGGAGCCCCTTTGTCGTCGACGAGCTTGCCATCATTAGAAACCTGCTCCAACTCCTGCTCAGAGCGCAGATTGTGACGTGCAAACAACTGCGCAATGTGCCGATTCCGTTTCTCGAGGCGCGTGCTGTCTTCGTTCCCACGCTTGCGTTTTTGGACCCTCTGGTCCCCAGGGTCCACAGGGTCGTTGCCAGGTACTGTAGTTATGGTCACCGACGCGACAAGTATAAGGTTGGCCATCTTAGTATAGAAGGCGGACGAGGTCGGAACCCGGGGATTGTCGCCGAAGATGGCCTGCTCTATGTCTACGGAGCTGACAATGTCGCCCTTGACGTAATGGCTGGCAACCAAGGACCTGAAGGCAGCTAAACGATGATGAGCAAACTTGCCCTTTGTCCCGTAGGTATAGCTTAGGTCCATAGCCCAGCACCAGCCCGCGAAGTTCCCTACGGTACTCTGGAACCATCTCGACCGGGAGTTCTGGACGCGCAGCGCGTAAGGATCGGCGATAAAGGACAGGCCCTTAACTGCGCTATCGCGACTGTTGACGACGAGAGAGACTAGCCCAATGCACAGTTCGTTGCTTTGCATGCCGAAGGTAGTTGCGACCTTGACATCGAGCCCCCGCTCCAGCAGCATCTCCCTGATCAAGTCTTTCTGGCCCTTGTAGGGAGTCATGATGCCAATGTGCCATGGACGCACCTTCTTGCCTCCGTAGGGTGGGTCGTAGTCGAGGAGCGCTTTAGTAAGGTTGGCTACCATCTCAGCTTCCCGTGCGTTGCAGAAGCTAGTGGTCTCAAGGTACTTCTCCGAGGAGACCCCGTCGCCGCTAACGTCAATCGCCATCCGGCAGCGATCATTCTTCGCCGCACCAAGGCGCTGGCGGAAAAACTCGGACACCGTTCTCTGGACAGGGTGGATCTGCAGCGTCAACGGGGCATGTTGTAAGGTGCCATGGTAGAACTCGCTGGACACCCATTCCATGATATCCGGGTGCAAGCGATACAGCTGAATGGGTTGATAGACCTGGGACTGGGCCTCTTCATCGCTCACGAGGGTGTCCACCTCCGAGCGCTCGGGCATGTCGGGCCCAGCCAGTGCCATTGTCGCCGCCGTGGCGCGATTGCTGGCGGTAGGATTTTCGACTAACTCCACGCTGTCTTCGACCATCTTGTCTGCATTGCGTCGCCGCAGCCGGGCAGCTATGGCGGCCATAGGATTGACCACGGATTCCTCTTCAGTCGGATCTGCTGCTGGCAAGGCTGCAGAAGCCAAATCATCGCGGCCGTCAGGGACGGACATCTTGCGCTCAAGGGAGTCGAAGGCGTTGCCTTTAAGGGACCTAAATGGCAAAGCCATTAGTCAAAAACCAGATTTGCAAGTCACCTATAAGCTGACCTGGTAAGACCGGCTAAAGCAGCCGAAACGCCCTCTACACTGAAGTGGACGGGCGAAATTGGGGAACTCACGGGCCTTAACCACACGTGCAGAAAGGAGGGACGAGACCTCGGGAGAAGAGAGCCCTGGAGCTGTAGGGGAGAAAGAGGGAGAGGATTGAGACGGGGAAAGAGGGAAAAGAGAAAGAGAGGAAGAGAGGAAGTGAGAGAGGAAAGAGCGTGGTGAGGATGAGTAGGGCTAGAGAGGTGGTCCGTGCGGAGCTTAGTAGGCGTTGGCAAACAGCATGAGGAATCAGGGTAGAGAGGGAAGATGGAGCATTACAAGACTCTTGTTATATGGTAGTGCAGGAAGCTCACGGAGGAGCAGCAGGGGAATTATATCTTGATATCGAAGCTCGTGCCGCAGCCGCAACTACTCGTCGCGCCGGGAATGCCCGTAACCTTGAACTGACTCCCGATCAACTCCATGGTGTAATCAACGGTGCTCCCGTTCAACAGTTCCAAACTCGCCTCATCGATGATGACCTTGGCGCCCTTGTCCCCCTCAAACAAGACATCGTCCTCCGCAACCGGCTTCTCCGATAGATCTTCCAGGTTCATGAGATATTGGAATCCGTGACAGCCTCCGCTCTCTATTGATACGCGTAATGCGAGGTTCGGGTTCTTGTCGCCTTCGCATATTGCGGACAGACGACTGGCTGCACGGGGGGCGATGGATATGAGCATCGGTTTACCTTCGTCATCGGTTCGAGGATTCTGTATTGCGCGGGCGAGGTATGGTGAGGATTGTGGAGACGGCGGCGCCTGCTCTTCTGCGGACGGGGTGGCAGCAGTGGTGGCGGTTGCGAGGTTCCGACGTGCAGGAGGATGGCGAGCGAGCATCCACGTAGGCGATTGCCGGAATGTAGTTACTGCCACTCGATTATGTCGAAGTGTAGGAGCCAGGAAGTCTAGGTAGAGTGGCTGAGCTGGTGAAGGTGCCGTATGGCATGCTCGGGAAGAGGTTGGGAAGCTCCGAAGCGGCAACTGGCTTTCACCTGCTGCTCTACGCATCGAGCGCAAGCATCCCCTGCATAATGTTGTCGAAGCTGCCATTTCGATTGTGCCGGGTCGAGGTATACTGTGAGTAGGTGTGGGAGTGTCGTCGTACTGTGTATATTGAAGTTTGATGGACGTTGAAAGCCAAGCCGACGACTTGGCTGACGAAGCAGACGAAGCAGACCGGGCGGCCATTAGCGGCAGTTGCTGCCCTGAAGTGGCCCGTGCATTTCTGCTGCTGGAGCGCGTTTTCCCGGCGATATGCGGCCGAGTCAGTAGCCCCCCGCAGAGAACCTCTCTGGCCTCCCCAATACAAACATCCAAACTTCTCTCTTTGGATTCTATAGCTCTCATAAACAACATTCGCATACCTTCAATCTTCTGTCGCACTTTTGAGTTGATATGACAAACTTTCAAAATTCCTTCCTGCAAGTCGAGGACGCGGAGCTTCTTTCCGAGGACTATGCCCGCCAGTTGGACCAGCAGGACGAGCTGAGTAAACTGCGGAGCGAATTTATCATCCCAACAAAAGGGGATTTGAGGAACAAGAGATATGGATTTGCGGCATCGAAATCGACTCAAGATGGACCCATCTCCGGGGAAAGTCCTGACGACTCCGATGAGTCAATCTACTTTTGTGGAAACTCGCTGGGCCTGCAACCTCGCCGGACACGCACGTATATCCAGAAATACCTGGACACATGGGCGTCCAAGGGAGTATTTGGCCATTTCATGAAGTGGGACGAGGGTTTGCCTCCTTGGCTACATATGGATGATGCTACCAAAGAGCAGACGGCCAAGCTTGTTGGTGCATGGCCGAGTGAGGTCGTGCTTATGGAAACCTTGACGGCAAACTTGCACTTGCTGATGGCGAGTTTCTACCGACCTTCCAAGGACCGGTATAAGATTATCATTGAGACTAAGGCATTCCCTAGCGACCACGTAAGTAGCATCGAGTCCCTGCGTACATGACACAAGCTCAAGTGGACAGTATGCCGCCGAATCCCAGCTTGCTCTCCACAACGTCCCTCCCGACGCGTTGATCACCATAACGCCTGAGTCGTCCGATTCACCCTACCTCTCCACCGCGCACATTCTTTCGGTCATCGACAAGCATGCAGACACCACCGCCCTGGTACTCCTTCCCGGAATCCAGTACTACTCTGGCCAGTTCTTCGACATTGCTTCGATAACGCGTCACTGCCACGCTCTGGGCATTGTCATTGGCTGGGATTTGGCTCACGCAGTTGGCAACGTGCCACTCAAACTCCACGATTGGGACGTCGATTTCGCCGCCTGGTGCAACTACAAGTACATGAATGGCGGTCCCGGCGTCATCGGCGGCACCTTCGTGCACCAGCGTCATGGAAAAGTCACCAAGGCCTCCGACGCAGACCCACAAGGTGACGAAGGATACCCCGACAGCCCCTCTTTCCCTCCAAGAGGAAACGACCAACTCGTTTACCGCCCACGCCTCAGCGGCTGGTGGGGCAACGACAAGAGCAGCCGGTTCCGGATGGATAACAACTTCGTCCCCATTCCCGGTGCCAGCGGTTTCCAAGTCAGCAATCCGAGCGCCGTGGATATGACTTCCGTATTAGCATCCCTCGACGTCTTCAGTCTAACCACCATGGAAGCCTTACGCGCCCGCAGTCTCCGCTTGACGGGCTATCTGGAAGCGCGGCTCCTGCGCTGGAAGGACAGCGAACAGCCGCCTTACAAGATCATCACGCCCTCCAACCCCGACGAGCGAGGCGCACAGCTCAGCGTGCTCCTGAATCCCGGTTTGCTGGACACGGTGCAAGCATACCTTGAGGACAACGGCGCAGTCGTCGACGAGAGGAAACCCGATGTGCTGAGAGTGGCCCCTGCGCCGCTGTACAATTCTTTCTGGGATATTCATCGATTTATGATTCTGTTCCACGATGGGTGTCGAAGGGCGTTGAAGGTGAAGGCGGAGAGGGGTGGGGATGAGGCGGTTAGTGTTAAGGAAGAGGGTGTCGCGGCGCCTGAGTAGATGAGCGGGGGTATCAGAAAGTTGCAAGGTATCATTAGGATGATGGATGGGAGGGTATGCGTTGCTCTGTCGGCATTGTTATCGTTACACTTCTTCATGAACAGCGCGTCAAAGGAAGATGATTTGTGCCGTAAGCAGGTCTTTTGGAGCGTATACCCAACTCGAGATAGGGGTTTAGAATAAGCAAGCCCACTGGTATCAATCAAAAGGTATCCAATTCCATCAGAAACGAGCTATAATTGAACCTCGACGCCTTGTCCCCCATCCGGCATTATCATAAGGAACTAAAACTTCATCAACCTTGAGCGCCTACCATGCTCACCAACTTGCATGTCATCCAACAGAAAAGCCCAAAGTTTCGTTACTCGCTCCCTCTACTCCTTCCTGGCAAACGCAAACAAACTATCCATCTGCACCCACTGCCGTCCATTCCTCTCCAACCACCTCCCCACACTATCCCTCACGGTGCCGAACCGCTGGCGATTCACCTCCGCGATCACCTTCATCTTCTCTCTCGCCTCGCTCTCAGAGCCGGCCTGCTGCTGCGGCTGCTGCTGCCCCGCATTACCACTACCCTTAACCACTCTGTCCACATCGAACAGACTCTGATAGTACAGCAATTGATTCCAGACATCCTTCTCGCGGACCTCCCACTGCATCTTCCCTAGACAACCCGTCGCCAGCCCCTTGGGACCGAGACATCGGTGTCCATAGACGGACATCTGCCGAGTGCGGTTCCCGCACGCAGGGTCGTCGCAGACGAGCCAGCCAGCGTAGTACCGGGCCAGGAGTTGGCGGATCGCCGAGTCCAGCTGCGCGACCACGGACAGGGTGGTGAGGACATGCCCGCAAGACGGGTGGGGACACTTGATGCCCTGATGTGAGAGCGTAGCCATTGCCGAAGGGGAGGAAGACTTGACGCCCGAGAAGGGGAAAACGGATGTACACACTCGACAACGGAGATATAGCCGTGAGCAATTCTGGAAGCGGACCGAGTCTGGGATCTGGGACTCCAGCGGCTGGATCTCCGTATCCTGAGCCGCGCCTGCGCCGGACGACAGGGACGAGACGCGGTACTTGGAGGTGTCGAGACCCAGACAAGCGGCCAGCAGGGTGACGTTTGTGCCTGATATAGGGGCGCACAGACGCTCCACGGGCGGGAGGATCTGCTTGTGAAGGTAGTAGTCGATGTCGGGTTTGAGGCCTGAGTCGGGCTTGAGGACTTCGTCAACGGGAAAGGCGTTCTTGGCGGCCTCCTCAGCTGAACCGGATGACGAGCCCGTGATGATGAAAGACATTACGTCTTTGGCTTTGACGTGTTTACCCTTCGCCATGAGGCGGAGGGCGACTTGGACAGAGGGCATCGAGTTGCCGTTCGGGTAGTCCTTGGGGTTCTTGCCAAGCTGCGTGAAGATGGTGTATTTGCGGGTGGGGATGGAGAACTCGCGCATCTTCTGGGCGAGGTCGCGGAGGTAGTCGTGAATTTTCTCGACGACGGTATCGGAATCCTCGCCCGAGAGGAGGAAGTTGAGGAGGTCGGTGGAGGTCTCTTTAGAGAGGGCGCAGTATTCCCTTCGGCGCATGTCGAGACCCTTGACTTCGAGCTTCTCAATGTATTTGCCGTCTACCGGCACCATGTTGATGGCTGCGTACTTCTTCTTGGCGTGAAGAAGGATCCGTTTGAATACATTGTCGATATCGATTTCTAGGAGTTTGTAGCTGTCGTTGACCTCGCGCTTGAACTCATTACCCAGCTTCAATGCGTCGTGGATATTGTCGACGTTCGTGTTGATCATGACGGAGTCCGTGTCACCATAGATAACCCGCAGCATCTTTGCTTCGGCCATGTCCTTGGTGCGGAGCAGAATCTCACGGCCCTTATACGTGGTGAGCATAGCCAGAGGGCGAGCATAGAATCGAGATTTCGTGTAGCCCAGACAGCCGTACATGGAGTTGGCAGTCAACTTCAGGGCCAGCTGCTTGATGTCCCACGTTGCAAGTTGGTCAGCCGAAGCGGAGGGGCTTTTCATGAGCTTCTTGACCTCTCGCCGCTTGTTGACGAGGTTGGCGATAAGACGGGGTAGAATGCCCTGATCTTTGTCCTCGCTCGGCACCTCAGGGACCTTGTCGTCATCCTCGCCCTGTGAAGTTGTTAGCTGCGAGTTGCAGTCAGATTGGGTGTACGTACGAGGTCGGATCGATCTACTGTGGTAAAGCAGATGTTGTACTCCTGAATGATGCTAGGGTACAAACTGTTAAAGTCCATTACGAGGATGAACTTGTCATAGAGACCCTTTTCGGGCTCGAAGACAAGACCACCCTTATACTTGTCCTTCTTCTTTGCATCTACACCCTCTTCACCCTCGGCAGTTTCTTCCTCAACCTTGGACTTTCCCTTGCCCACAACCTTGTCTGGGCAGATGTACTTGTTCTTGTGAAATTCGTGAAGCAGAATGTATTCGTTCCGTTCAGCTCGAGTGCCGCTTAACGTCCGCGCCCACGAGTTACCAGCAAGATTCGTCAGGACCTTGGTGAGCGGAAGCATCTGTACCTTGATCGATATGGCGGCAATGAAGAATGCATCCGCCTGGCAGTGCTTCACATAGTTCATGAGGCCGTCTTTAGTAGTCGCCCACGTCTTCAGTGCAACTTCGTTGTCCAGCTCCTGGCGAGGTTTTCCAAGAACTAGCTGACACATTTCTTCCAGGCTCCAAGACTGACATTTGGTCATGAGAGACTTGCCCAAATCGTTGGCAAGGTCGCAGAGCAAGCGTCCCGCCGCTAATTGTCTTTCGACGAAGAAGCTTCCCCCTCCTTTACCCAGGTTCTTTGGCCACTCACTTCTTCGTAAACGCCCAATGCGGTGCCAACCTGGCGTCCTCCTCTCCCTCATGCGGTTCAGCAAGACACTGTAGTCGACATCATCAAGTCTATGTCCGATAAGCACATCCGGGTCGTGTCGCTGGAACATAGCCATGAGATAGCTGAGCAGTTCCAATTCGGTTTTCCTGAGCACGATGCTGCCTTTCTGCTTCTCGCATTCCATCTTAAACCCGGTTGGGAAGGAGTCTCCATTCGGACGCAGCAGGGTGAAGCTTTTGCAAGGAAGTTTTTCTGCAGGGGTGGTATCCGTCAGCGAGAAGTTTTCGTAGACCATGGCACTAGCGGCAAGGATTTCCTGCTTGTTGTCCTTCGGGTTGAACGTAGTGCGGAGGGACAGGCTCATCAGAGTCAGAGGGGGAGCTTCTAGATTGTCCGAATTCCCAAGAGTGGTGATGAGGTTGGGCTTCTGGACCTGCAGCTCAAGTTTACACCATGATGCGTTGTTGACACCTGAGAAATCCGGACTCTCGATCTTCAGCCAACACGGACCCATGATATTCTTCCACAGAACGAACTGCTCGAAAAGAGAAGTGTTGGCGCCGAATACGTGCGAAAAGGTCTCGCCAGTCAGGTCGGTAGAAAGAGGCACATTCTGATAGCTGTAGAGAAGCTTGAGGTAGTCTGCTTCTTTTGGTATGTCCGGGAGCTCGAAGGCGTACTTCCTCGAGCAAGGTTTGACCCTGTGCTCCTTGACGTTATGTCTCCTCATGATGATATCGACTTCATCCGAAACGTCGCTTAGCTCAACTTCCTCGTCAGTTGGCCTCCCATTCCTATGGCGGTGCTCTCGGGGAAGGAAATACAGCTTGCGCATGATGTTGTCGACCTTGACGAAGCAACTGGCATAGTTTCCGGTCGTCTTATCCTTGACCTTGCCAAACAAGCAGAGGCTACCGTTCACCTCGACGTAATCGAACCAAAACATCCGGATGCTGCCATCCTCTTCCACCGCACATTCGGGCCTCAGTTTGCCCACGTTCGTCGTAAGAGGAGCTGGGCTGCTGGCGACATTGAGGCCGCTTGTTACTTCAGTCCAAGAAGAAGGGTCCACAAAGGGTGCAGAGGACGCAGCTGGCGGGGAGGAGCTTGCGGGGGTAGGATAATCCGCTTTCTTTATCTTCGGAACAGGCCGCCTGCCAGCCATGTTGACGCTGGTTGAGTTCACACCGGTATGTCCGATGGGTTGAGCCACTTCCAGCATATCATCCTCCTCCTGCTCCTCCGTCTTCACAGCAGGGTTTGCCTTTCTCTCCAGGGCGTTTGTCACGGGAGAAGAAGGCAGAGGCAAATCGCTCATCTGCATATCGTCATCAGCAGCAGGCGGAATTCCGTCGTCGTCGGACGCGTTCACTGGTGGAGGCGTGTCGAGCATGTATGCGTCCGAGCCGCTGTCCTTCTGCTTGCTCGTTGCGGGCCGGGTTTCGACGGGAGGAGACAAGACGCGCGTCTTGCGCCTGGTTTCCGACTTGACTGGTTGCATGCGTGGAGCGGAGCGGCGCGGGATATTCATGTCGACTTCGCCCAAGAGGTCAGCCATGAAGGCATCATCGGCGGCCGTAACGGTAGGCTACACATGGCGTTAGTGGAGAGTCCTTGTGGATGGAAGCTGATTGTGTACCTTGGGCTTCGGCGCTTTGGTTGCGGCCTTCGCGTTGAAATACTTGCTAATGCCGTTGTTGATCTTCTCCTGCTTCTCTCTCTCTTCTTCCCGTTTCCTCTTCGCTATAACGCGTCAGTAACGTCGCGCCTAAGGGACCCAGATAGACATACCGGCTTTGCCCTTAGCGGGGCGCTCTTCCTCTTCACTTTCCGTGTCGACATACCGATAGCCTGGGTGGCCGCCGTCCCAGTCCTCTCTGCCGTCGTCGGCGTAGCCCTCGCCATTGTCGTCGACAATGAAGTCGTCCTGGTCCAGGCGACTCCGGACAACCTTCTTGTATCCTTCTTCGTCCACCTCATCGTACAGTTGCTCCTCTTCTTCGACCTGGTAAGTGGAAAGGCGCGTTTTGCCGGCGGCGCGGAGAGCGCGAAGCTCGGCCAGCTTCGCTGCGCGAGACATGATTGCGATAACAGAATAAGCCGGTGTGCAAGATGATGTTAAAAAAGGGACGAGAAAACAGTGGGATATCAAAACTTGGAAATGCCGCGTGAGGCGGCTTGTCTTGTTGGACTGTGTGTAGGAGAAGTAGGTGAAGGGAGACCGACGCGTCGTCGCGTGTATAATAAAGTGGTTTCTTAGCGCGACGCGAGTAGGCGAGCACAGACCTCCGGGGAACCACATTGCTCTCCGCCCACCTCCCGCTTCACCTTGCCGCGCCACAGCACCACTTGACTATTTCTTGTCCACACCTTTCACTGCTCCCATTTGGGACATCGAGCCTTTATCCATTCACTCGACCGCCACAATGGCGTCCAAGGATCCCATCGTCTGGATCGATTGCGAAGTAACAAAATGCCATCATCAGTCATCCCCCTCCCAGCTGACCCCCACTTCCAGATGACAGGATTGGATGCGGAGCAAGACACCATCCTGTCTATTGCTTGCTTCGTCACCGATTCCGACCTGAACCTTCTCGATGACCACGGATTCGAGGCCGTCATCCATCACAGCCAGCACGAGCTGGACAAGATGGGTGAATGGTGCACCAAGCACCACCGCGAATCAGGCCTAACCCAGGCCTGCATCAACTCTACCACCACAGCTACCGAAGCTGCCGAGAGCTTGCTAGCTTATATCAAAAAGTATGTTCCCACAGCCCGCACAGCGTTGTTGGCCGGGAACTCTGTCCATGCGGATAGGGCCTTCCTCGTGAAGCAGCCATACAAGCCCGTCATCGACCATTTGCACTACCGAATTCTCGATGTGAGCTCCATCAAAGAGGCGGCAAGAAGGTGGGCATCCGCCGAGCATCTCAAACGACTTCCTAGGAAGAAAATGCTGCACGAAGCACGTCCCGACATCTTGGAAAGCATCGAAGAGGCCAAGTTCTATCGCACAACCTTCTTTCTGCGCCAATCCTAATGGCGCCTTACCTGTATCGTCATACAAGCAGTTTTCTTGATGACAAAACGGGACGGTGCCACTTTAACAGCGTAACTTCATGGAAGCACTTTGCCTGATTGTCTCTGCTGCCACTGGCCCTTCCGTCGGTTCCTCCCTACGCCACTTTTCTCAACCTGGGAACCTCCTCCACCAATATTTGCGCCTCCACTCGCGGACTCGCCAACACTACCTTCAATGTCTCATAAACCCTCACCTGAGTGACCTCTGCTCTATCAACTCGACAGTCACAACGGCTATTCCTTCGACATCGTGATGTCGGCTTCCAGTCTCCATTACTATCATGTTGTAGTATGCTCAGCATTATCAGCGTCTGAGTCCGCAGCGCTTCTACCTAGACACAGAGTGCCCATCTAAGCAGCTTGGAGCTTACGCCCGTTGCGAGCTGGATTGTGCAAGTTCGCCGTGGAAGTTAATACGCCGCTTATCCCGATTAAAACAAGGTCGACACAGCTGGGTATGACTCCACAGAACAGCTCAGGCAAGTCACAACGATACCGGTCGAGAACGGGTCTGCATGTCAAAACCTGTCGTTGCACACTTCCGGACCGTCAGGTTAGGCAACTTTGACCACAAACCAAACGCTTTACCGGACGGTGGTTTTCTTTGTTCTCTAGCTACGGAGTACTTACCTCTTCATTACATGTCCGACTATGCAGCTCGAGCAATGTTAGACAAAGCAGCCTGAGGACTCTGAGCAGCCAGTTGGCCATGGATGCCCGGATACCGCCTCTCCGTGTTACCTTCTTCATGGGGCATCTAATGATTGCGGACCAAGTTCTTCATAGCGCCAGCGATAGGTTCGACGAGCGCGACCAGATACTTTATATCTATCAGCTTTGTTAGCAGGCTGCCGCAAACGACCACTCAATGGTGGGATGATGTCGTTTTCGGGGGAGCGTACCATCTGTAACCCAAGGACAACGCTATTTTAATAAACCATACAACCCACCATATCGCTCTTCCGGTAGCTGCCGTCCGTGGCACAGGAAATTCTTCCCTAGCGCTTCAACAGTATATTCATCCGCGACCTTACGCCCCTCAGAGACGTGAGATCTGCAGCCAGTTGCTTTAGCGGGCGTGCAGGCGCGTTAGCCTAAGTCTAATGGCTTATTGGCCGCAATATCAGCACTCCAAGCTGGCTGAGCACGGTCTCGAACCCTCCTAAGTATCTGGTGGCGAAGTGTTTACGCCCAGTCAGGCGTGCTTGCTTCTGCGGGTCTCACCGAGTAGATTCATCAATGAATGCGAGTAAGCTTCTCAGCCTGGAAGTATATAAGCGTCTCAGCGGTCGCATCGCCCATTTGCAACTCTACAACAGTCACGATAGTGCAATTACCATCAAATACGGTCCTAATTTCCTCCAGAGTCTGACGACTCCCCTAACCAATACCAGTCACCGTGCGACAAGACGTGCAAGAAGCATGTCCCCGTTCAGGGCCGTTTTATGGCTCACACTCATATACCTCGCTCGTCATACTTCAGCTCGACCCGATGAACCGCCGGAGTTCGATGCTTGGAGCTACAAGAAGGACCAGATCATTGATCGAGATGTCGCCATAATTGGAGGTGGCTCCGCTGGTAGCTCTCCACTCTGTCGCCCAACGAGTGGCGTCGCTCTAATCATGGTCCAGGTATCTATTCGGCAATCAGCTTGAAGGACAAAGGCAAGAGCGTGATTGTGGTTGAGAGGAAGGCCAGAATTGGCGGGCACACGGAGACGTATACGGATCCCGTCAGCGGCATGCCAATCGACATCGGCGTCATAGTCTGGCACGACACCCCTATCGTGAGGGCCTACTTCGAGAGACTCAACGTCCCCCTCATCAAAGCAGGGTCCGACATCGATCCCAGTGCTCCTCCTCCACGGTCGGGGGACTACGATTTCAGGACCGGGCAGAGTGTCAATATCACACCGCTCAGTCCTGAGGCAGTCGGCGCTGCGTTCGCAGGCTACACCCAACAGATTCTCAAGTACCCTCGGCTGAGCGATGGAATGTTTCTTCCCAATCCCGTCCCTGACGACCTCGTCATGCCGTTCGGCGAGTTCGTCCAGAAATACAACCTCGAGGCCGTGCTGCCGACCATGTTTCAATACGACCCCGGACTAGGAGACATCCTGACCGTTCCCACGGTAGAAATCATGCGCTACTTCGGCCTGAGCCTCGTCCAGCAGCTGCAAACCGGCGGCTTCCTCACCACTCAGCGCCACAACAACAGCGAACTCTACGCCAACGCCCAAGCCGAGCTTCTCTCCACCTCCAGCCTGCTCCTCTCCTCCGAAGTCCAGCTCGCTCTCCGCCCATCCCGCAACACCCCGCCAGTCCACCTCGTAGTTCGCACCCCCTCGGGCAGGAGACTCATCCGCGCGAAGAAGCTCCTCATTACCATTCCCCCGAAACTCGACTTTCTGGGCCCCTTCGCCCCCAACGACGAAGAGCTCAGCGTCTTCGGCCGCCTCATCAAGGGGGGTTACTGCACCAGCGTTGTGAAGAACACGGGTATCTCCGACGACCTCTCCGTCCTCAACAGGAAACAAGACACGCCGTACCATTTCCCCGAACTGCCCGCCGTGTACGAGATCCAGCGTTCGCCGGCTCCAGGGCTCCACATCGCCTTTTACGGCACCCCGCGCTCGACCCTGTCCCAACCCGTTCCTGACAGCCAAGTCCAATCGGATATCATTGCAGGGATCAAGCAGCTCCAGGCCGCCAACCCGGAGACGTTCAACCAGACAGAGCCGGAGTTCGTGGAGTTCTCGTCGCACTTGCCCTTTTACGTTCAATTCGCGCCCGAGGATACCAGGAATGGGTACTACGGGAAGATGTACGCGCTGCAGGGGAAGAGGAATACATTCTGGACTGGGGCGAGCTGGCGGACGCAGGACAGTAGTGAGATTTGGAGGTTTACGGAGCAGGAGGTGCTGCCCGGGTTGTTGGCGGCCCTGGGGTAGGAGTAGAAGACATTCTTCTGCTTCGGCTTGACTTCAGGAGCGGGGAGAGATGTTGGCTAGGAGGAGGAGGATGTCGTAATTGCCTTTCGGTGCGGTTAATTATATAAGTTCCGTTTCTCCGTTCGGAGTCGTTTAGCATGATTATTTTCAATGCGTGGCACTCATTAGCCTGGTTTGCTCTAGATATGAGCTCTCGTAAATAACCAAGTCTGCGCCTTCTGCTGGTTCTTTCAGGGAAATTTTATGAGGGATCGAGACGGTGAAAGTACGTGTATGTAAACATCGTAACTAAGTGAGTTTTGACTATTCAGAGAAATAAAAGCCTTAAACGATCAAGTTGCAAACTAGTCCATCCTGCAGGTATATATATCACTTGTCCCCTTTTTCCTTCTTTCCCCTTTTAATTTTTTTCTCCTTTCTCTATTATTCTCTTTCCCCTTTGTCTCTCCCTCCTTCCTCTTCCGTTTCGTTTTCTTTCCCCTAATCTCCTCTTCCCCTTCCCCCCCCCGGTTCTCTCTCCCGCCTCCTGAAACTAACGCCAATCGACAATAATAATAAAACGGGATACAACAAAAATACCTTGACGACTACGTAGCGTGAAACGGTGTCTGTATCAACCCATACTCATCAAGAGCGTAGCCAGCGTCCAGCTCGCGTGTCCAGTACACGCTTCCGACAGCCATCCAGGAGCGGGATAAAATCCAACTAACCACTGTACTATACAGAAGGAAGGGATCCGTATTCCCAACGATTGTTCCTAACTAGTCCCCTGTGCCTTTAACTTTTCGTCCAGGAAACAGATATATATAAACAGACTCTAACATTATCTGTTTTCGGCAATTACATAGTAACCTTGCAAATAGGAAATTCTCCTATCTACACTTGTACGATTTCTAGTAATGTAAATTTGTATAAGACTTCTCTATTTTAGAATCATTTATATGGATTTTAGTTATAATTGCTGTATTGCTGTATATAGCTAGTCTCCTGTTTTTGAAAGTACGGTATCGTATGAAAAGGGGTAGCTGTACGTACGGACGGAGCGATATACTGAGTGCGGACTGTATATATGGTCGGGACACTGTCGTACTAACGAAAGCGTTGGTCCAATGTCTGATATCCAATGTCTAGTGTCTAGTGTCTAGTATCTAGAGTCTACAGTGTCGTGTCTCGTATACAACGAAGAACCCATGATAAAAAAAACAGGAGGGATATAGATATCCTACGCAAGTATACCACCATTACAACACTCTAGCACTACAGCACTGCGCAAATAGAGCACTCCAGAAACACCGCAGTACTACACCTAACCACCCCCTACAAAAAAGATCTACAGAGCCAGCCGTGCATGCTGCACGTCTAATTACTGTTTCCAACCTGCAAATACGCTAGGCACACGATTCCATTTACTGGGCAGGGCAGGTACTTGGTATCCTAAACTCCGCATTACCTCTGAACCTGTACGCGCCTTTTTTTTCTTTCCTTTTCTTCTTCTTCATTTCCGCGGATCCTGACTGCTGTGTTTTGCTTTAACAGTCCTTACCAGCCAACCTTAACACCCATGTTCCCATTCCAAGAACAGACGCTGGGCTGGGACCTCGACTTGTTACCACTGATCGGTTGGTTGTCTTCGGGGTCCAGTTCATCCAGTTCTGCTTTTGTTTACGCTCAAGGGTCGATACACGTGCTAATGTAGGTCGATGCCACGGCTCCAGCTAACCCCGGATCTGAGAAGTGGGAGTGCGCAAGCTGGTAAGGCAAGGGTATCATTTCCGCAGTGAACAATCTTATGGTTATACCGTTCGACTACGGTGTCAGTATTCGTCCCCCTCGTCCTCCATCTCATCCACATCTCGTCTCCTCCCACCACCACCACCACCACAACCGCCGCCGCCGCCGCCGCCGCTCGACACCCGTCCATTCGACACCCTCCCTCCTACTCCACCTGATATTCTCCCACCACTCCCACCACCACCAGCACCCACAACCGCACGCGGACCTACATAACAATCCCCCGTCCACTCGGTCCTACAACTCGGACACCTCGCCGCATTCCCACCCTCCTCCCCTCCCCCCCTCCTCCTCCCAAAATACTGCCCCGCACACCCATCATGAAACCTGACTCCGCAATCCCGCCTGGCGCATCTCAGACCCCACGTAACAATCTCCCTGCAACCTTCACAATCCCTGATCCTCACCACCCTTTCCTCGTCATCCTCGTCTTCATCATCCCCATCCTCGCCAGCGGGGGCATCATTATACATCTCCTTTAGATAACTCCTCAGTTCCATGATGCCCCTCGGCGCAAGACTGAACCACTGCACGCCCCCGAGCTTCTGCTTGCGGAAGAAACCCTGGTCGACGAGGGTGGACAGCACCGCATCGGCGGTAGCGAGATCGATGCCTTTGATCACCGGTGCAGCAGCAGCAGCAGAGGCCTCTCCATCCGCCCCTCCTCCTCCTCCTCCTTCCGCACCGTCACCATCTCCATTCAAATGCATCTGCATCTGGGACATTGTTGTCCTCCCCGCGCTCCGCACTTTGGCCAACCGGCGCGCCTCCATCGCTTCCACGGCCATGACTTCCTTGCCCCTCTTCTTGCCCGCCTCAAACATGGTGTCTAGCACCCTCTTCACGAACGCGATTTCCTCGGCCGAGAATTCCGTCGCCAGCTGCGTGAGGGCGTCGGACGCCGTGTTGACGAGCGCGTACACGTAGTCGTTGGCGGGGGCGGACATGGAGGACGAGGAGGAGGAGGCGGATCGGGAAAGGGATTGTTGTTGGTCGCGGGTGGACCGGATCTCGTAGTCTAGGGGTGCGAGGCGCGCGTTGATGGTTTGGAGCATGTGGGTGAGGAGCGGGGTGGTGATGTCGTTGGGGTGCGTGGGGCGGGAGGGATCTGGGTCTGGTTAGTTTGGCGTCTCGCTGTGGTGTGTATCCTTTCTTTGCACAGTCTAGCATATAACAAAACAAGACCACAAACACACACCCCAAAGGCAACCAAAGCAAAAAAAGACGTACCGGCCGCCCCCATGACCCTCGCCAATACCGCCCTCACCTCCTCCCCACTCATGACCGACCGCGCCAGAAACGCCTGCAAGAAGGCGCGATGTACGTTGCTGTAACCCCCTCCTTCTGCTTCAGCATCGTCGCCCATGCCCGCGTCCCCCTGCCCGCGATCACCGTGACCATTAGAATAGGCGTGCCGGGTCGACGTGTCATCGACATCCATATCTCTGTCTCTATGTCGTCGGGCCATTTCTCCGTGGAGAGTTGGAGAAGGGCGCGGATGCGGAATGTGAGAAGTATTGACAATGTGGCCCGTCCAGCACGGTGGGCTCTCTTGGTTGGTTATACAATGCGCACGGATTGTGAGGTGAAGATGAAGGTGAAGGTGAAGGCGAGGACATGAAGGTGCAGGTGGATAAGAAACGCGGGGTGTGCTTCTCACAAGAACACGGGCTTGGGTACGCCCGCGCGCGCTCAAGTACGCGTGTCCACGTGACCTACAGAAACCCCTCCCACCTGTTACAATTGACCTGCGAGCGATGGACTGGCGGTATACCTCCGAGATGGACAAGCTAATGATGCCGAGGTAACCTCGATTTCAAACAAGGATATAATTCCAACTGCCATCTTTAAATTTGTACAGAGTACATCGTAGCTTGCTCTCCGATCCCCCACAACCAACATCGGAAACGCCAAACGCCTCCCTCCCCATCCCATCAAAAGTAGGGTATGCAGAAACAGCGCGTCCAATCGTCTAGATACACACAGACACCACAATGCTTGCCTTTGATAAAAGAGAGAGAAAAAGGAAAAGGAAAATCTGAAAAGAAGAAGACGATATAGTAAGAAGAAGAGAGAGGAGGAAGAAGGAGAGGAAGAAGAAGAAGAGGAGGAGACGAGGAGAAGAGAACGACACCACGCTATGCAACCGATGGACCGACCCTCGAGAGTCTTCCTACCCAAGAGTGTGCATCCATATCCTCGTCAAAATCCAACATATCCAAGGAATGCACAATATGCAGGAATGCAAGCAACGTCTCTATCTTACCTCTACGCCCTAAGCCACTGACGCCGGCCGTGACATGGCGCACCTACGCAGACTTCGGATGCTGCTCCACAAGCCACTCCAACACACACTCATAACACAGCACAAACTGCCTCAGGCTCTGCACCATGCTGAGCCGCTGCGCGCGGAAATCCTCCACCGTCTTCTCGATCAGATCCACGTCGTCTCGCAGCGTCCAATTGCCTTCCACGCCGCCGGAATCCGAAGATGAAGGCGGCTGATCCGCGACCTCCACGCCAGCACTGCTGCGGGCCTGGCGAGCATTGCGCGCTTGCCGTTGTCGCTTCAGCATGTCGATGACCGAGTCCACCGTGCAGAAAGTTCCGGTACGTCCACAGCCGGCGGAGCAGTGCACGAGAACGGGTCTCGTATTCGGAGGGTCGGGTTGCGACGCTGATCCGCCATTGACTTGCCGCACGACGGCGTCACACTGCTCAATCAGGCCCAACAGATGGGCTGGATGTGCGGGAGCGCCGAAATCAGGCCAGTGCGAATACTGGAGCTGCGTGATCTCGCGCATCCGCTCAAACGGCTCGTCCGAGTTCGACAGCGTGAACTTTCGCACCGTGACGTAGGGCTGCTCCGTAGTCTGGGAGGAGGAATGGCTCGCCTCCCTGGAGAGATTCGTGGGTTTGGGAGGATTCGTCGACCGTCGCTGCCCCGGCATTGCCCGTGATGGGTCTCGATTTCTCCGTATCCTGTGTGGCTCGAGAGACGCCCTATGTTCTCCCAGTGGATTCAGGAACAGGTGGCCGTACTGCCGCTCAGACCAGTAATTGTGAGCTTTCGCCTGGCCGCCTTCCTGCTCGGCGGTCAGCATGACAATGACGCGAACGTCTTGTTGCCAGACGACATTCCAAAAGTCCTGATTCCATTAGTATCACGGTCGGACGGAGCCAAAAATCGGCGGGATCGCCTTACGTTGAAGGTTGCAGGAAGGGGTCCCTGCGTAGCTATGTAACGCTTGTTGGAGAGGCTAGGTTTGATGTAGTTGGCATTGACGTAGTCGCAGTCACCTTTCGCGACACCTTCCAGCTTGACGCGCGAGTGCTCATATGGCCATATATTGTTGTACCGGTTCTTGGAGCCCTTCTCGAGCCCTGCGATTTGAATCCGCTCGACGTGTTCTGCCCTGTTGTCGGCACCGGACGAATACACGACATTTCCAAACGCCTCCTGCATGCGCTTCTGTTCGCGCTTCTCGATGTGCAGGAACTTGTCCGACACCAGCTTGCCGCGGTCCTTCTCATCGGCTGCGCCCTTCAGCCACTGGGGCAGCTCCTCTTCTACCGACTTTGTCATGCCTGCGGGCTGCTTGATGGCCATCTGGCCCACGCCGCCGATGAGGTCCATGTTTTGGCGAATATTGCCAAAGAAAGGATTCGCGGCACTCTGCGCGGCGGGCATGGGACATCCACCGACGACAGGGGCAACAGCGGGCCGATCCGAACCAATCTGTAACGAGGAAGACGGTGAAGCTGAGCCATTGGACGAGCCCTGTGTGACCCAGCAGGGGAAGGTTGCGGAGAATTCGGTGAAGCCACCACGTATGATATAGGAACCGCCGGTCCAGCCTTCGTTGATGAATTTCTTGAGAGTGTTGGTGCACGTCATGGCATCTTTGATGTGGGACGAATTGGCGTCATAGACGATGATGGATTTGCAACTTCGCCAACGTTCAAACCTGTCTCTATCCTCTTCATTCTTGAAAGTCTCTGCCAGTTTGCTGACATTGAAAGACGCCCGTTTCAACAGTGTCGTGGGTATGCATAAACTCAGGGCGCCGTTGATGTGTGACTTGGCGTAATGGGTGGACACGCGTAAATCAAGTAGCAGGACTTGCTCTTGCGCGGATTCGAGTATGTTCACCACGTGTTGCGGGGAAGCCAGCGTTGGGCCTGGACCGCTGCCCTGGTCTGGGGTTGCCGGGAGGGTATCGGCTCGGCATTTGCTGACGCTGCGGAGGATGGCAGGGCAACTTGGCGGTGGGAGCGACGAGGTAGCATGGCGGGTGTCGGCGAACTGGGCGACCTCATCCGTGCGACCAAACCCTTCCTGATCTAGAAAGCTCGCGGGAGATTCTCTTCGGGGGTGGTCGGTGAGGAGTTGGGGTTCGGTCGAGGAGAGGAGACGTTTGGGAGAACGCTGTGGTTTGGGCGCCTCGACGCAATCGGGGGATACTTGGGGCGACGGAGTGACGGGTTTCGACGGGTTTGGGGTTGCAATGGGTTGGAAGAAGGGACCCTTGGGCAACGTCGAGGGCGTCGCACGAGAGAAGTCAAAGCCACCCAAAGCAAAGCCCTTGTTGGCCTCGGATTGTCTCTTGAAGGCCTTGAACTCTGGATTATGGTCGACGGGGATGATTCGAGGCGAGGCGGCAGCGATGGAGCGAACGTTTGGAGAAAAGCACCAGTTGGAATTGACATGATGAGCGGTGCCCGAGGCAAAGTGATCGGATCCATCTACTCTGACGCCGAAGTAGCTGGGGCTGGCTGCGCATGGATCGTCGGCGACTGGAGCAGGCGTCCTGGGATCTTTTATGTGCGGCGACGAGTGCGATGAGGCTTCTCTAAGTAAAGGGGCCGACATGGCGCTATTGGCACCTGGGCAAGGTGTTGGGGACTGGTGGAGGTAGAGGAAAGGTTCTGAGGGTGAATGGAAATGACATCACAGCCGGTTTCCTGCACAACAGCAAAGTTCAGACGTCAGCGAGTCGCGTGCGGCTAGCGTGTGGCGGCAGCGGCTGGAAGGGTCCACCAACAATGAACAGAGTACTCCGTAATAATAGTATACAACTGAGGCAATAGGGAGGGAGCACCGGTGAAGACCAATAAGTAAGAGTCAACGGGAGGGGCAGCGGCTGAAGAGGAAGAGGGAGCGTCGGGAAAAGGAGGGAATAATGATACTGTGAAGGAGCAGAATCGTGCCCTTCTGGCCCTTCTCCTTTTTCCAAGGTTGGTTCCCTGTTTCGCTGGGCTGGGCACTTGGGCGCTAGGGCATGGATAGTTTACATGAACGTGGGATGTTATGAACGAGCCGGTATTGAACTTGCTTACGGATATCTACCGGACACGGTCTACACAGTATACTGTGTATGCGTGTTGCAAATAGTTGAAGAGAGGGGAGAGTAGAAGCTAGCCTTACTGTGTACCTGTAAGTATCTAGTACTCTGCTGCCTAACTGTGTACTTGCCGTTACTCAGTTAGCTCGCGGCTGCAATTACTAATAACATTCTAAATCGTTACAAACAGTAGCACGTTTCCAGCCCTACTGCACCTGGTATTATTCTTAGCCATTTCTAGCAAGCCATGACGCCACGTTCCAGACCCTGCATGACCCTTCTTGCAGGTGGTGCCTGAACGTCTTCCCGCCCTGTGACAGAAGTGTGCCTCCTAACAGAGTATTGTGTAGGAACCTCCTGATCAAAAACATGATGGATGAGTGACCTTTGCCCCCTCACGAGATGCATCCCACAGCTATTGCTGGTCCATGACCACTACAGTAGCATACCTTCTCCAAGCTCGACGTCACCGGCTCCAAATCTCGCTATCCATTGTAACAGTACATCATCAATATCATCATCATCATCGTGAAATCACTACCCCGTCTGTCTAGCAGAGCAGGAAGCCCTCCTGAAAGCCCCCCTTCTCCCTATGCATACTCCTTGCCGCTGGTCCTGCCAAACTCCCAGATACTAAAAGGAAAAGCATCATGCTGCAGCTTATGTGCAGACCCGACATGGAATCCACTCCTTTCCCAAAACGCCAACCATGGACGACGACCTGGCCCTTTTTCCCCGCCAGACGCCATGGTAATCATTGTTGAACACCGAATGCATTTTCCCAACCAAAGCATACCCCTTGCCCTCCCCACCTCAACTCGATCTTTCCCTCGCTGGCCCCTCTACGATACTGCCCGTAACCTCCGCAGCACGTTCAGACTGAGCCGAAGGAATCGCCCCCGTAGCCGCAGGCGACGGCGTCATGGTTGCATCCTGCTCCTCCTCCGCCCGCTCCTCTCCTCGAGCCTCCCGAGACTCCTGGCGCTCCTGGCGCTCCTGCGACCCATGCTGCCGCCTCGTCCGCGAGCTGAAAACGTCGCTCAAACGTGCACTTAACCTTCTGCTCCGTCGTTGGTCGGCTGTCCCCACTTCCGCGCTGCTTTGCGTGTTTGCCTGCTCGACGCGACGTTGGTCCCGCAGACGGCGAAGGGCAGAGATGCGCTCCTCGGCGGAGGCATGGGGCCGGTTGCGGAAGAGCACAATGTCCCGCAGCCCCGACCTCCGCCGGTGCGCACCATCCCCATCGTCGGGCTGCAATGGAGGTGCCAGCCCATCCTGGTCCGTATCCCCATGCCCGTTCGAGCTGCGCGACGTGCTTGGACGCAAATCGACCCGGCTGGTTGAGTTAGCTCCGGTTCCAGACCAAAACTTCGACAGCGAGCAGTCTACTCACCACATGGGACATGTTCCAGAGACATTCAAGAGCCAGGGATCGACACATTCGGGGTGGAACTTGTGCCCGCAAGGCAGCACCCGGAGGTCCTGCCCCTTCACAAAGTCGTCGGTGCATATAGCGCATCCCAGGCTCTCTTCCTCTGCAGCGCCTTCCCTCGTCGCCCCCATAGACTCGGCGGGTGCAATACCGGATCGTTCCTCCGAAACATTCCCCTCTCGGGCCTGTTCGGGTTCTCCAGGGCTGGCCGTTCTACCAGCAGGTTCGGGGGTTTGAGCGTTTCCTTGATTCCGGGCTTGATCTGGCTCTGTCATCACACCCTCGACAGGCTCCGCGTCGCTTACCTCCCGTCTTGGTCCCATCTCGACATCGGTCGGCTTTTGGGGCTCGCGCTCGCCAAACTTGACAATCGGTATCGTGTCCAGAATGGCCCTTCCCAGCCCTCGGGCCCTACTCTGCCGGGGGCGTCCAAGGATATCTCGTGGGCCATAGCGTTCGGGATGACGATGGGCCCTTACGGCACCTGCGACGATGATGACGAGGAACAAGGAGGTAACGAGCCCCGTGATGGAATATAGGATAATCATGGCGACGGCGGTCGAAGGAGAGGGCCCCAGCGGATTGTTTGGTTGCGACTCCTGGCGACGCTCGATGCTGCGGATGTGCACCAGATAGATGAGGGCCGGGTTGATGTCGTTGACTACCCTCAGCACATCAGCCGAGACATTGCGGTCCGTCATGGAGTAGACGGGGAACTCGTGCGGGAGCACAGGGACTTCGGTGTAGCTGCAGAAGTTGTGCGTGGTGCTGAAGAAGACAGCTGCCGAGAGGTTCACGGCGTCCATGGCGCGCTTCAACATGTCGAGAGCGGGATCGGCGCTGTTGGTAGGGTAATGCTCGAGGTCGCAGCTGATGTAGGCGACATGGCGGTCACGAAGGGATGTCAGCGTGGATGCGTTGAGGTAGACCAAGTCACCTTCCAGAGGTGATTTCTGCGGGTCATGGTGGTTAGTCGAGGCTTTGGCAGCGAAGATGCAGGGTACCAACGTTGCGCAGCAAAGCGTCGCGGGTCAGAGGAATCAGCTCTGATACGTTTTGCTTCGAGTTCAGATCTTGCATCATGTATCTGCCCTCATAGATCGAGATGGCTCTGGGGGCGTCTGTGGCGATGATACTCGCGCCGGCCATGGCGAAGAGCGTCCATATCAGAGGCCAAGCCATGGGTGCGTACGGTGTCTTCTGCTGTGTACGGATGTAGTAGTACAGTGGTAAACGTGGTAAACACCGAGCCGGAGTAGCAATGGACGGGATGGACGGGGCCGAATCGTGGCGGAAAGTGCGAGGAGCTCAAGCCACTGCGAAGGAAGGTTTGGAGTGGGCGGCAGCCATGGTGGAGAGTGCGCGGGCTACAACAGCGAGGACAAACGCCAGCGTTCGACTGCGAAGTAGATTGTGAGGGGGGGTTTAAGGTGGGTGGAGGTTGTCGTGTTACAGGTGATGATGGGTTGGATGGATGAATCCATGGCGCAGATGGATCGATGGATCGACGACGTCGCCAGTCGGATCCGGAATGGCCCGTCGCTATTTAGCGTCACACTAGCAGGGATCCAGCTTCTCCCCACACTTCCACGGTTCCAAGGTTAACCCAAGTCGGCGCTCGGAACCATCACCTTACCGCGCAACATGAAAGGCCTGCTCATATGTACTGCTTCTCTCCACATATATAGATCCGTCTGAACGCCCCTCTGTACTCCGTACCTCGTCTGTACTGCTGTTTTTAACGTCCAATTCAGCACCTAACAGGGCGCAGCAATATAGCATGTCTTGCAATTCGCTTTGTAGCTGCCCCTGTATCTAGGTATACTAACTTCACAAACAGAGCTCTACCTGTAGCATGATTGGGTTGTAGCTAATGGGACTTGCGCTGGGTAGGTAAGTCCTCCTACAGAGGAATTGCAGCGGCGTGTCCAATTGGACGTGGGAAGCCGCAGTGCGTCCTCTGAAACCGTCGTCAGCATTCCATTCACCACGAATCATCTACCAGGGAGAGCGATGGAGTGGAACATTGCGGGCTCAGCAATCCCCATGTCCAGTGCTAGACAGCTCCAGTTGTTGCAAGGTACTGTACTTGGGTGAGACGCCACACAGGACGCGTGTTGCTGCTGCGCCCCGTTGTAGAAGACATTGGTAATCAGAACCTCGACCTGGATACCTCTTCAGCTGCCGTCGTTCATAACCTAGTCAAAAGGCGAGGACGAATAGCTCCTAAAATTGACCGCTATACAAATCACAACGTCGATGCGCCAATATTAATGACTCTTGTGCTATGCGCCATGAAATGCCACGACTGTACAATAAAACGCTGAGAAGTATACTTGCAACCCTCTGCTCTACAAGACCCAAATCGCGCGACACCCCACTATCCACAACCCACCCCCTTCTATATACACCCACCCCGCTCGCCATGTCCCTTGCGTCATCACAGCTCTTTATGAGACAACCCTTGCAGTTGCCGATTCACCCGACTCCCCACCGCCAGAGTATCGGAGATATTGACCCCCTTGGTTGTAAAGTCGTCGAAGCCCGAGAGGAAGAAGCCGACGACCACCACAATGTACGACAGAATCAGAATCGAGCCCTTGAAGTAGTTGCTCTTCCCCTCGCCGTACATGTACGAGAGGAGGAACACGCAAAGAATCACCGTCACCATGTCCCACTGCGGGAAGATCAAGGCTGTCTCACTGTCAGTCGCTGCGCTGCAATCCCAGTGTCAACAGGCGCGGATGGGCTTACTGAAGGTGTGGTTGAGGATCTGGTCCGGCTTCAGCGTATTCCCATAGATGGCACTGAACAGCACGACGGCGGGTATCTGAAGGAGCAAGACCTGCAGCGCGTATGCAGAACCAATCTCCATGGACAAAGCAATGTTCCCATTCATTGCAAAAGAGATGGCGTTCTGGACAAGAGGTCAGCCAAATGTGGTCCGGGCCACACGTCCGAAATGCGCATAACATACCAGGAATTCCGTAGTGTTGGGGACAAGCGCGAAAAGCGTAATCCCTAGGAACTTTTCGTCGATGTGAGAACCCTCCAGAACCACATCTACCGTGTTGACGAGAATCTCTGCAATGACTGCGTATGCCAGCGTCGCGGTTAGCAGGATGACAGCGCTCTTGGTTCGACTCCAGTTGGGCGCATCGTGCCCGCCCGATGTGTGACCTGGGGGAGTCTCTTCCGCCTCTCCAATGTGAGTCGCGGCCTTGTGATGATGCGGCCGTTCACCATGTCTTCTAGCATGCGTGTGTGCCATCTGCGAAGCCTTGTGTGGCGCCTTGGTCGCATCTCGAGCGGCTATGGCCGATGTAGTAGCCGCGATCTCAGTAATCTGTCGAGCTAGCGACTGATTGGCCTCCTCGGAAAGACCTTGTACTTGGAAGCCGCTTGCTGCATGTTCCACCTCTGCATCCTTGGGAGGCACCACATGCGGTGTTCGCTCCCCCGACCTCGATCCCGATTGCTCTTGTGATGGCGCTTCTCCATGAGGTCCGAGACCTATTTGCTGGTAGGATTGACCCACAATCCGCTTATACAACTGGCTGTTTCGGATATCCGTCTTGGGCAACGGATGGCTGGTCCCTTGTCGAGAGAGTGAATGAGGATGATGCTGTTCTGTGTGTGTGCTGCTACTGAGGTGACTTGATGTTAGATGTTCCCCTTTTTTCTCATCAATCTCGCTACTCCAAATGACCGCCGCATGCGTTCTAAGTGTAAACAGCAGACCGATCACGTAGGAGCAGAATAGAAGTCCGGAAGCAAGGAACGTATAGGGCCGAACTGCCTTCTTGTAGAACTTGTCGTCCACTGCAGGCGTCTGTGAAAAGTAGCATTGCCGACAATCCCGCTCCAGAGGATCACCAAAAGTGGAATTGCAGTCGCGGCAGATGAGCTCATGCTTAACAGCGTCAGTGAGACCGCGTATCGAGTCTGCGGGAAGGAACTTACACTGCCGTAAATCTGATAGAAGAGCGTCGGCCCAAAAGCACCAATAACGGCAAACAAGAGCATGGTCGACGTTACACCGGCGGATTTGACATTGAAGCGTTGCGTCTTCCTCTTGACCGCCCCGAAGCACATCGACAAGCCAGGAAGGAAAAGAATGCCTGCAAAAATACTGCCGATGATGCTGCCTTCCACCAACTGTGCCTTGCCCTCCTTCAAAGCGACGCAATAAAGAAATACCTCTACGACAGTGGAGAAAAAGGCATTGACGGTTGCGCCTACGCCCATGGAGGACTGTGCGGAAATGGATGCCACGGCTTGGCCGATAAAATACGCCAGAGGTATAATGGATAACAGGCCAAGCGTGAAAACAAAGAATTGATCCGTGATTCCAATCTTGAGGCCAAGGAACTCGTCGAGGATCCAGTAGTCAAAAATCGTGAAGGCTACCAGTCCGAGAAGGTTGATGAGGAAGATGTTGGTGCCATCGACGGTGTATTTCCAGTACTTCAAACCCACAGCTCTGTACGTGCATACCAGGATGGACGATGACTCTCCTGGACGGCGTACATCGCCTCTGTCTGAATGGAAGGATAATGCTAGAGGATGCCTCCGAAGGTGGTGGAACAAGAGGAGCGTGACCTTGCCCATTGGTATGGTGAAGACGAAGAACCAGCAGAGCCCGCATACCAGAAACAACGCCGGCGTAAAAATCCCGTAGAAGAATACAAAGAAAATGACGCGGCCAAGAGTCCACTTTCCGCGACCAAACAACCTCCTCTTGGTTCTCGCCGTGTCTTGATGGGAAAGGCTGCTGCGACTGTCCCGTCCTAACAGACTGGTCGTCTCGTCGGTCGAGTCTATACTATTCCTCCGCCGTCCGACAAGACCACGGGTATCTGGGGGTCCAAAGAACAAGCGTCCCTCTTCAATGTCTCCACTCTGCCATTGCTCATATTCGCTAATGCTTCGACCCTCGCCCTCATCTTCCTCCGCGTATGCTTCATCCTGCATCAACTTGACATATTTGCCGAAAGGATAGAACAGGTAACCCGCAAGATGGAATAGCAGATGGGCGTGTTCGATACAGCTGTCGTTGTATCCGATAAGTGCGAGTACCACGCCCCCGGCTGCGGTAAGGGCCGCAAGCCACCAGCCAAAAACCAGGGTCCAGGAAATATTAAAGAGCAGAAGCCAATTGCTCACAAACAACCCCGGTGATGAATGGATATCTCCTTCCGCAGTCCGTTGCACAGACCGGCTCTTCTTATATAGAGCGGGCTTCCAGATCCTGATACCGAAAGGATGTGTCACGTTGATAGCTTCCTGTCGGTCCTTGAGAGTGAAGCTCTCCGCATCGCTGTGGTCGGCCTCATCCTCGCCCGTGGTCGCGCTACCCTCATCTCCATTTGGCAGAGTTTCTTCGCTGCTTTCCGACCCTTGCGCGGCCGAAGCCGTAGGGGCACCTCCGGCGACCTGTTCTGTGGCGTCCTCTTCGTTGGACTCTACTGTCGTGAGCTTGGGGGCCTGGGCAGCCGTCCTTCGCCTTATAGTCGATGGTTTCCGCCGCAGAGACTGCGAAGCATTCGAAGCTTGCTGCTGTTGCTGCTCCGTCAGATCCTTGTCTACCTCTTCCTGTGCATCATCTACAGAAAATTCTTGTCCCTTCTTCGGGATGTTGGAGGAGGTGGTTCGCCGGCTCATCGGGGGTTTCTTCGATCTGACGATGGGGCGCTCCGGAGAGGACGGATTCTGTTGCGGGCGGTTGATGGGTGATGTTATTGACCCTGTGTTATTTTGTAAGTGGCTGCTCGAAGCTCACTACAAGCTGTAGAAATGGAGACAGGCCTGACTCCGGAAACAGACTCACCATACTCGGTCTGTATTGCCTGAGGCCTCCAGCGCGGGTCAGAGCTCGATCCACTGGTGTTCTGCGCAGGCGTCGGAGTGCTGGTGCCGGAACTCGAACTCGGCGCGATTAGCCTCGACGAAGGGGTGTCTTTTGCGCCCGCGCTGCTTGGGCGGTCGTCCTCCGTCATGACAGGCACTTGATTCTGCGAAGAGCTGCAGTTGTCCGATCAAGTTTTGAGCTGTCTCGTTTTTGATGCCAGGATCTAAGACTCTAGTTGGCCGCCATGGGGTGGTAGGTCGTCTGCAGCAACGACGGATATCCCACACAAGGATGCCGCATGGGATATTTGGGTTGAGGGCACCGGGCGCGAGAGGAGTCTCTCCAGGAATGTGGTGGTGCAGATGACACTTGAGCGATCAGCATGCGCCCATAACAAGCATAGCAAGGCACCGCGACGGGCTTCGGCTGACGCGACGCCGCCCGACGATATGTCGCAATCGGGGCGCACTCACAAGAAACAGCCAGTGCAGCAAAAGAATAAGGCCCTTGGTGATGGTTGTGGTTGTAAGGCTATCTTCTTCAAAAAAGTTCGCCTTCCTGTACCACTATGTCCCTTCAAATTGACATGGCGGGCGGGGAAGCTCATGAGACACCCTTGCAAATACGCCTTTCCTTTTCTGGCGTGGCTTGATTACGGACAGAAGTTGATCCAGCGCCGAGAAGCTTCGACCAGTTCACCGCGGTGCATGTGTTTGTACATACACCTACCTAGGTATACACATTACCTTCATTCTGCTTTCATCCCCCCTTACACTCTGTCTCTACGCCTCTACACTTCAAATCGCCATCCTCGTATTACCCGACCGCAGTTTGCCCCGCAGTCAAACCCCCCGTAGCCGTCACCTCCGCTGGGCACGCCTCGCAGTCTTACCTCCGCCACCACCATGGCGCTCGACACCTTTTTCCACAACAAGATCGAGAGCATGAAACTCGAGATCATACAAGGGCAGGCAGTGCTCCGACGGTTAGAAGCTCAGCGGAACGACTACAACTCACGGGTGCGGCTGTTACGGGAGGAGCTCGGTCTGCTCCAGCAGCCCGGGTCCTATGTCGGTGAAGTCGTGAAGGTGATGGGCACAAAGAAGGTGCTCGTCAAGGTGCATCCAGAGGGCAAATATGGTGCGACATCTACGCTCATTCGATATCTCTCCGAACCTCATACTGACCTGTGCCGTCAGTTGTTGACATCTCCGACAACGTCGACATCAGCAAGCTCACCCCCGGCAAGCGCGTCACCCTCTTGAGCGACTCCTACAAACTCGAGAAGATGCTCCCCTCCTCCGTCGACCCGCTAGTGTCCCTCATGATGGTGGAAAAGGTTCCGGATAGCACGTATGACATGATCGGCGGGCTGGACCAGCAAATCAAGGAGATTAAGGAGGTCATTGAGCTAGGCCTTCAGCACCCAGAACTCTTCGAATCCCTCGGTATAGCGCAACCAAAGGGCGTGCTACTCTACGGCCCGCCCGGGACTGGCAAAACGCTCCTTGCGCGTGCGGTGGCGCATCACGCCGACTGCAAATTCATCCGCGTGTCTGGCAGCGAGCTCGTCCAGAAGTACATTGGCGAAGGCAGCCGCATGGTCCGCGAACTCTTCGTCATGGCCCGTGAACACGCCCCGAGCATCATTTTCATGGACGAAATCGACAGCATCGGGTCCAGCCGCGTCGAAGGCTCGTCCGGCGGCGACTCCGAAGTCCAGCGCACCATGCTGGAACTCCTCAACCAGCTCGACGGCTTCGAGCCGACCAAGAACATCAAGATCATCATGGCGACGAACCGTCTCGATATTCTGGACCCGGCCCTGCTCCGTCCCGGCCGCATCGACCGCAAGATCGAGTTCCCGCCGCCGAGCGTGGAGGCCCGAGCGGATATCCTACGCATCCACTCGCGCAGCATGAATCTCACGCGCGGGATCAATCTGACCAAGATTGCGGAGAAGATGAATGGGTGTTCGGGCGCCGAGCTGAAGGGCGTGTGCACCGAGGCGGGCATGTACGCTCTGCGCGAGAGGAGGGTGCACGTCACGCAGGAGGATTTTGATCTCGCGACGGCAAAGGTGCTGAACAAGCACGATGACAAGGCGATGAGTTTGAGCAAGCTGTGGAAGTGAGCGCTTGCTTGGTGGTTTGGAGGGAGATGGATCATCTAGACAAGAGCGTCTTCATCTCGTGTGCCAATGTACGATCTATTCATTGCCGCATTTGATGTACCTCGCTTTCCGCACGCATTATGAATATAGACGCATATTCTCTTCATCTCATTGATATACTGTGACATCCACACGCAGGTCCTGGACTTTGAAGAATTCCAACGGCGCCTTCATGCTTATTTATGTATGCATCACACAAGAGGTCGCCCTTTCAACACTCCACGTATTCCAATTTTCTGCAACGACTATTTGTTTATAGGTCATCACACTATGGCATCAGTATGTAGCCAGCCGCCATGCCATTAGACGCGGCATCTCCAGTCTAGTGTATGAAAGCAACGCTTGCATCCCGCCCATTCCAGCCCAGCCCAGCGCCAAAAGACGCCGATATGTAAGGTTCTGTGCCCTATGCCACTGCACCGTTTCCCTTTCGCAAACTATCCAGGCAAGGGGAGACGAGAAAAAGGGGTAATGTAGAGGACGTAAAAGAAAAGCTCCTCGTTTCGGTCTGCAGTGGAGCCGTGGGGGTATCAAATTGGATGCCAAAAGGGGCACCCACAGAAAGGGACAAAAGGAGACAAAGAAAGAACTTGAGGACGATTTAACAGTCTTGCACGATCCCTACCCTAAAATGCACGATAACGCAGCCGTCCAAGAGGCACAGGAAGAGGCTATGTTGTCTTGCCTGCTCTCGATGATGAAGAAAAGACATCCCTTGTCTGTTTCAGATTAGGCGGGCGGGATGCGCGATCGATCCGCCCCTCTGGGTAACCAGCTGTCGTCGATGATCTTGTCCACGGCCTGGTAGAGCAGCTTGTAGGCCGTGCGGATGGTCCCGTCGCTGACGTCGACCGCTTGGCCAATTTCCTTCGGCGAAGTAGGATGGCCCATGAGATGTGCGACCAGGTAGATGCAAGCCCCGGTGATGGAGAGGGGTGAACGTCCAGCGGCGACGCCCAAGTCGGCGACGCGAACGGCAGCCTCTTGAGCGGTGATGCCGACGCTGGCAGGAAGTCCAAGATTGTTGCACGCACGTAGAATGAGTTCGGAAGCATCCGTCGACTTCGTATGCTTGAATCCGGACAGCTGCCCACCGTTGGTCATCTTCTTCTCCTGTTCACGAATCTCCTTGCTGAGGTATGTCTCCAGAACTTTGAAGGTCCTTCCTATCTCCTTCTTGGACACGCGGGTCAGTTTAAAGATCTCCCGGAAGCTTCGGGGGGCTTGATGCTGCCGACAGGCGATGAAGATACAGCCCGCAATGATGGCGTCCATGGGTTTGCCCTTGAGAATCTTGGCCTCATCTTGTTTCTTGAAGAGAATCTTGGCCGTCTCCCCAATCACTTTGGTGATGCCCGCCGTCTCCACGAACTGGGTGATCTGGCTGTATGCGGCTTGGAGGTTCTTGTTCGTCTTGTCGTGGGTGGCTTTGTTCTGGGCACGCGCGAGTTCACGAACACGGTGGCCGCCGTCAAAGGCGATCTCTGTAGAAAGCTGGGAGCCGTGGAGGAGAGGATTTGCGGCGTCACCCACACGCGAGGGGTCATCGTTGCCCTGATCGTCGTTGGAGAATGTACGCCACTCTGAGCGGGTGTCGATGAGACGCTCGGCGAGGACGCGGCCGCACTCTCCGCACACGGTGTCACCAGATGAGAACTCCTCTACAAGCACTGGAGGATCCGACCGGCAGTCCGGACAGATCAGTATAACATCCAACTTCTCCCGCCATTCTTCCTCCTTGGGTTCCGCTGGAGTTGCGGGTTCATATACCTCTCCAGGCGAGAGGAGCCGACCGTCCGGAGCGTAGCTCATAATGACTTGTGTCGACGGTTTTCCGCGCAAGACTTTGGAACCGGGACACTCTGAGCCTTCGCAGTGGGGAGGCCGAAGTCGAGGTGGAGGTGGAGGGTGGGGGATGTGAAGGCAGCAGTTGCAGATACTGTTACTTGTAGATAGAGTAGAGGGCCGGAGAATGACTAAGCAGCGTCTTGGCGCTGGTGGCGCAAAACTCCAAGGTTCCTGACAACCCGAACATTGAATTGACCTCTCCGAAGTGCCATTTTGACAGCTCCCCGCCGTACTCCTACTCCGACACCATGCTTGCGCAATCCATCAGGGCTTCGGTAATCCCCATTGTTCCATTCGCCATTGACGGTTCCTGACCTCCATGTAGCGCCAGACGCTGGCACGCGTTGCCCGACAGCAACCCGCACTCGTTAGCCGACGCACCTTCATCGTCCCGACTGCTGTCCGCCAAGGTGATTTGACCTCAATTGCTCGCCGCAAGCCAGACTTGACATGTCCTGACGTGCTCCAGCCGATATCGTGCAGGACCTTTACCTCCGGGAGTTGAGGAACTACAAGCCGCCGACGCTGAAGGCATCCGACGCCGAAGGCCATGTCCAGAAGTTCGTTATCCCCAAGGCACCGGCATCTCCCGAGGAGGCCGACATCGCAAGCGAGTTGAAGGCGTACGAGACGCAGCAGGTAGAACTGGAGGGCGCTCAGACCGAGGGCGAGGCTGCGCCCGTGCAGGAGGACTGGTTCGTGGAGGAGGAGGAAGAGACGGCGGCTGCTCATTAGATGGGGGGGCCATGGGCCTGGGCATTACTTGTACTAAAACCCTTTCCCACTGTGTCAATAGCATTGCGCCTGGGACGTCTGGGCCGGCATTTCTCAAGATCTAGGTCGACTTTATGAAATGGAGTACCTCTGAACCAGACAAGAACAACAGGAAACCGTGACTGGAGCCCTCTGGGGTTGGGCTGCTTGCGGCCTGCACATTCGCTGCTAGGGTTCTTCCCTGAGCTCAGCATGCATTGTCAGGTTCTGAGCTGTCTTGATCACGATATCAATTGTGCCATTGGCATCACCCTCTTTCTGAAGCAGCCTAGCCATCAGACGACCCCGCCTTAGCACTTGGTATCACAAGTGATAGATGGCCGTAAGCACGTCCATGTCTGCGCTCCCAACTGGGACTTAGAAGCTGGAGCTAGATGCACTCGGCTCTACCAGAAGTCACGTCTACTATCGCATCGCTCATCATCTGCAACTCATACCATCTACGTAGACTTGACGAAAGCTGGGTCAAGGTGCCCGTCGAATCCAACATGTCCAGGGCCAACCGTGGACTCGATCGAGGCGCGGTCCTACAGCAGACGGGCAGAAGTGGGCCCGAGGGAGATAGTACAGGGTGGAGCATGTTGAGACGGCATTGTAGAACGTCGACTGCAGTGAGACGGATTCGTCATGGCGGACATTCAGGCGGGCATTCACTGTCTCAGCCTGGAGGGGTGAGGATAGTCATGGTGCTATACTCCGCTTCCCGATGCGCCGACGAGAGAGTGGCCGTGCTTGTCAGGCCTCTCCGACTTGTGACGAGCCGCGACGAGACTAAGTGAATGACTGCAGCATGATTGCAACGCTCACGGAGAACTGGTGAATTGTCGACATGATTCGGATTCTTGTTGCACCGCCCGACGTGCGACGTGCCCTGGGCAACATCGCCCGGTGGCAGGTCCAGCAGGCGTCTTCACTGCGAAAGGCAACCTTGGAAGAAGCAAATATACGTAATAATAATGCAGCCCTCGCCAATCATAATATTCGACAGCTAAAAGCCAGGGCCATACTACTTTATGTACTGTGTACATGGCCATGGCCTTCACCATCTCCGGTTCACCATCGCGTTTCAATCTTGCAGGTCGCTGCAACAACAGAAAAGCTCCGAGCCGCCCGCCATCAAGGTCTTTCTATAACTATTATTAATCTCGTCATCTCGTCAGATCGCCCGGCGCGACGCCATCTCCCACTTAAATAAAAACTAAATACTGACTAGGCACGCTCCCGGGCTGCGCCACAGCCTCTCCTCTCCTCTCCCAAGCGCCAAACCTGCCGTCATCCTGGCCAAAAAGGACCCGCCCCAACCTCTGCCCGGCCTACCGAATAATAATAATTCCCACGACTTTGCAAGCTTCAACCCTCCCCCTTCATTATTTACCCTGATAGCGAACCGCTTCCCCTGCAGTCTCTGCCAACTTCCAGTCCTTCCTCCACCAAGTCGGTCGCTACCTGGTCCTGCCTCCCCTCTCCGCCTACACTGTCGCTGACCTCCGACCTTCCCCAACGCCATCCAGCCCTTCACCAACCCCAACTTCACTCGGCCCCTCGCCCCCCTCTCGCACCCATTGACGTCCGCCGAGTCCTCCTCCCACGTCTCCCCCATCCTCCTCTTACCCGCCTCCTCCAAATTTGCCTGCCGGACGGGCTGCCTACCGGTGCTACATCTCCGCCATCCTCATTGTCTGCTGAAAGCGATGAACCCGAGGCCGTAGAGAACCAGGAACCGCCCATTGTGCGTGAGAGCAGTAGCGGCAACTGCCCTCGACCCTTCTCGTCGCACTATGCAGGCTGTCGCCCAGCCCATCGGCAGCCATGACCTGCTGGCCAACGTCCACCGCGGTACAAGGCATAGGAGCACGTCCGATGCCTTTCCCTCAGCCCCCAAGGACCCTGCCGCAACAGAACAGCTGCCCAAAGCCGCGAGCTACACCCACTTCCCACGTGTCAAGCACCTCGACGATCCCTCTCTCCTCTCGTTAAAGGCGAGATTGTCCGAAGACGGCCTCGAGCTGCGGAACGATAGCGGACATGCGACCCCGTATTCGTCCTCGGACGGCTCGAGCCCGGAAAGCGAGGATGGTCCCAGGGTGGAGCAGATGCCGCAGATTAATACTTCCAGCTCGCGCCGCTCCTCGAGGCTCTTCTCATTTTCCAGCAAAACCCAGGAGCAGTCCCAGGACTCGCCTCGTCGTAGCCGCCCAGACGCACGCCATGAAACCGAGACTTCGACTTCCAAGTCTCCGGTTCGCTCGCTCTCCAAGCTGAGGCGGAAGTCGTGGGTGTCGTCGCAATCGAGGTCGACTTCTCCTACGAAGACGAAGGACAGTTCAAACAAGGTCGAGGAAGCAGCAAAAGGTGTGGCACCTGCAGAGCCGTCTAAGCGGAGGTCTCTCACTGGCGTCCTGAGCATTCCCGACAAGTCGGCGCCCAAGGGCGTCGCACCAAACGACACGCCCGACCTTGCGTCGGGCCTCAAAGGTCGCGCTCTGACAAAACGAACCAAACGTCCACTTAGTGGTCTCTTCAGCTCGACAGGCACTAATCAGCAACCGCTTGCCTCTGACCCGGACGTTCCGGCAATCCCACAAATCCCCCAGTCGTTCTCTACCGAGAAACTACCCTACTTCGCGCCCACTCCGGCAACACCAACGAAGCATATACCTCCGATACCGCCCAACATCTCTGCTGAGAAGCTGAAGGGCGCCAGGACGGAGCCTCGCAAGAAGGACGAGCTATGGACCGTGTTCCGGACGCTGGAGGCGGACTATCGAAAGCAGGTAACATGCGCTCCTTGCGATTGCGGTTGCTGACCATTTCGGTAGATTTCAGTCCAAGTCCATTGCCTTGAAGGCCAATGTAGTTCGAACTACGCTCCTTCCTTTCCTACGCTCCTATGCTTCGCATCCTTCAAATCATAAGCTGCGCCCCGAGGATCTTGATCGGCGTGCCAACATTTTAAACGGATGGTGGACGGCTCTGCTGGAACTGCTCGCGGGGAGGAATAACCAATCCGTCTCGGGGACAGACCGGCCTGCTATACTCGAGGGCATCTCCGGAATCATGGAAAGGCCGGAGTGGCGCATGTCGCCTTCACCCTTCTGTGCGCTCGCGGACCGATCCGAGAGCTCTTCTACTACCACCACGGAATCCGGTGGCTCAAATACATCCCTTGGATCCGATTTCCTCGCCGAGTCGGTCTACCACAATGTCCGCAACATCTACACCCAGAACCTTTTGTCGCAACTGAGCTTTGTAGTGGAAAAGATGTCTCTGCGCAACGCTGCCGCCAGTCTCGTGACTTTTTGCGGGAAAACATGCGCCTACGCGTTTTGCTTCTGTCCCGGAATTGCCGACGTCCTGGTGCGCCTATGGAACCCTTCGCTGGACTTGATGAAGCGGGTGCTCGTCGAATCTGGAGTCACGAGACAGGATCAACTTGGTGCCATATCCGCCCGCGTTGTGTCGTCATTTCCACCCACGCTCCACTCGCTGAAAGTTGAATCTCTGATGAAGACAATGCGATTGCTACGCCAGCCTGCCTCTCCCCCGTTGGGGACCGCGAGTTTGGACTGGTACGGTGCCTGGATGAAGCGATGGTCGGGAGCAGAGAGCGATTTGTTCTACGTTTTCGTGAAACACTATCACATTCTGGTGACGGACTTTCTTCCTGTGGAACCTAGCAATGCAGAGCGCATGTGCGTTCCTGGGCTTCTCATGGTACACGCGCAAATTCTGGCCAACCTGGATGCTACCATCAATCGCCATGCCGCGCCACAGCAAGCAGAGGAGCCCATGATGGGCCCATCGAGCATCACCTTTGATGACGTTCTGAGCGACCCAGATGCTTCGGCTTCCACTTTGCCGATTCCTCCGGCGAACGCCACTCGACAAATGGTGGAAAATCGCCTCATCATGTTGATACGAGACTTCCTCTCTGATCGGAATGCCCACCTGAGCACTGCCCGGCGGGTGTTTGCGGACGGCTTCGTCTGTCTCCTGAAAGCGGCGGCTAAGAAGGTATCCATCTATGACAACAATGCATGCTACACCCTCTGCGATTTTCTCGAGGAGGCCTTTGCTATACTGGTCCGTTATGAGCAGTCGGACCCCAATGGCCATTCCGTCCTCGACTGGGATTTCTGGCTGTCTGTCTGCAAACAGATGACTGCGAGTCTTAACACGGCCACGGAAATCAAGCTCTATGCCTTCCTCTACAGCACCTGGTCATTAGTGACTGCCGATGAGAGGCGCAAGACGAGCCTATGTATGGATTTTCTCCTGGAGCCGGACTTTTTCCAGAGCAGGTTCAACCACTGGTGCCCAATGGTACGGTCTTATTACATGCGTCTGATGTGCTGGCGTGTGGCTCGTTTCGATGGTGAAGACTCGGACACGGAGACGTGAGTGCTGCCATCACTTAGGTCCAACTCTTTGCTAATCATCTCACAGGAATATCATGAAAGCACTCAGCGATCGACTACGCTCCGTCTGGGCCCATTACCTTTGGCTACGTGAGGAAGCTGAGCTTCGAAATGGCCTTTTACCGTCAACACAGGCCTGTAATCCCGCTCCCGGGCGTCGTTTTCTTATCATCCGTAACGACAATCCCGTCGTCACCCACGGTGGTCCATTTATTTTCTTTGATGGCGTTGTACAGAATCCCAACTCCCGGCGGTTGTCCGACGCTACGGCGTTGCCCGAGGTCATCCCTCGCCCAGACTCTGCCCAGTCGGAAGACTCAGACTTTGGCGAGAAGGAGGCGCCAAAGGGACGCTGGAGTCTCTTGCGGAGCTTCATGGGAGCCTCTCCGAAGCAGCCTGCGAAACCCAAAAGCGCGGCCTCGACTCGAGCGGAAACGAAAACCCCCGGATCCTCGCCTGCCAGCGGGAGAGACAAGTCTCCTGCAAGCAAGGACGCCTCTCCTGAGGCTCCCGCATCGGTTCCCACGCACCGTACCTTCAGTTTTCGGTTTTCCCTCGAGTGGGTCGACAAGCGCTTCGGCGCGTACCAGCCCATGCGGCTCAGCCCGCCCCGGCTCCCGCTCCCCGCCCAAGTCCATCTCCAGAACAAGGGCATCAACATTACGGCGGTGCAGAGTGCCAAACCTACGGGTGCAGCCGTGGCATCCAGCCGTTACGCCGGCCGGGCGCTCGCCGAGTGGACTTTTATCTTCCACGAGTGCCAGAACTTTTTCGACCGGAGGAAGAATGAGGGCGTGCCGTCGGATCGCTATGTGGAAACGCCCACGCTGGCAGTGGAGGCGTTTCGGCGGCCGGGCTAATCGCGCGAGCCTCGTCTTGTGACATTGGTGGCTCTTCAATGTTTCTTTCCGTTTCGATTTATGTGCTGTAGTTCCACACATTTACCTTGGTGCACTGCATGGTCTTTTTCAATTTCGGCAGCGCGGGCTTAGCATTTTTCACTTTCTGCGCACGTTGTATGGATCGGTATGGTAGAGTACGGTGGGCGGCAGGCAGCAAGTCACCCTGCTATATGCAGGCGGTTCCGGGAAGCATACAGACAACAATTATATGTATACTCTGCATTTGGGAGAGGTGGGTCCTAGGCGTTTCCTGCGGGTATTTTTGTTGGGGCGGCATGTTGAGGCTCCGGTTCTTCTCTTTTTCTTTTTTTGCGCGGTTCGTGGGGCTGGGGATATACCTGTTAGATATCTATGGTAAAAGCGACGTCAACTCGGTTGGGTTCTTGACTGCACGGCGACGACGTGGAACAACCGGCAACAAAGGTGATAGTATACGAGTCGATATGCGAGGGAATACTATACTGTGCCTAATGGAAACGGTTGATCTGAAACCGAGACGGGGAAACACTTTGATCAAAGGAGAAGAAAGTGTGGGAAGTACCTTGGAGCGGATACGTGGGAGATCGATGGATTGATGCATGCCATCGATGAACGAACCTGTTGGGAAAGCCGGAACATAGGTGAGCAATCGAGATTCTTGTATGGTTATTGGATTTCTAGGCTCTACGGAGTAGGCTGCCAGGAGTTACTGCCCTTGACCGGCAGCTCCGTGTGCAGTCGAGGTACACAGACGGGACAGTACAAATACTCCAGTCGTGTATCCTCCCTCGCATCATTCGCATCTTCCCCTCGCAAAAAGAAGCCCGCGTTCAGCGGCGAATTGCGAGGCGATGGACCATAGGACCCCGCCAGCGAAATTCCCGGAAATTCATACACTACAGTAGATGAAATAATCCTGTGCTCTTTTCAGGTGATGAGAAATGGGCGGTATTTCTCCGCTCTTCCATGTCTTATTACTAATTCTCCATGCACGTCTCGACAAACTGGGCAGGGATGGGATCTTGAGGAGTGGTGGGAGGGGATGATAAGCTTACGTAGCTCGTGGCGTGGACCGCGTGGTGTGCCGTTTTGGATGCAGGTGGCAGGGGGGTAGATGTGTTTCATGTTTCATGGGTGTTTCTGGACGTTGGGACGGTACGGAGTAGGTGTGTGGAGCTGTGGTGATTATTCTAAGACTGATTAATAATGAGGTGTTGGTACATGGTAGGGAGATGGTGGCAGATAGGGAGCGCGTATGCTGCGTCGTGCTTTAGGCATCCGAGGCTTATACTGTGTACTGTGTAGTTGAAGAGAAGTTGGGGCCATAGGCAGCGGGTTGTAAGTTCAAATCGCGAATTTCTGGAAATGGATTTTACCGATCTTGGTCGCGTTTAGGGAGAGAGGGTGTACCCTTATGCGGCAGTGGACGCTCTCTCAGTGCAGTGCAGTGGGCCAGGACTCGGGGTAACAGCAACAGGCATACCCGTAAGGTAAATCGCAAGTACTCCGTAAAAGGAAAGGAGAAGAAAAGAAAAGAGAAGAAGAGAGAAGAAGAGAGAAGAAAAGAAAAGAAATATACGTTCCGCATCAAGCCTCCAGATGGCGTGTAGGTCTAATACTTGTAAGGCAGCTTGTCATGCACCTACCTACAGTGGTATGATTGAGATTCATGGTTGGGAAATGCAATTGACAGTTCGCGCGCTCGCGAGGCATACCGCTTCTGGGTAATAGGTACGGTCAACTGAGGTGCGTACATACCCTAGGGGAGAGGTACGTCTTCAATATGACGTCTCGGATTCCGACAGGCTGCCGCATGCTTGTGTACTGGTAGGAAAAATATGGACCGCTTTTCAACATACTCTGCAATCTTCATTCACTACTTCGTAAGGATGATAAGGCAGGCTGGATATGGAAAACGACACCTAGTTTGTCAGCTCGCAACAGCGCGCCGTGGCGGGCTGGAAAAGATCTTGTACACAGTAAACAGAACCATGCCGTCCAATGAGATGGCGCCGGGGGGCGTGGAACGTGAATTGCAGTCCCCTAGCTCACTGTGGCTAGCGTACCGTTAGAGGGTTCGAGGGTTCGCTCGTTGGCTGTCGGGTAGACGTCGGCATGAGGACTGAGCTAGCATTGGGAACAAGGGAAAGGGACATGGGGATACGCGTATCTAGGTATCTGGTTTGATGGTGAGAGGCTGAGAGCGAATGTTCTCTAGGCGGCAGTAGTGGAACGCCCCCGGCGCTTGGATGATGTTTTTGCCAGCTGTGGCGTGTCGTGGTGGTGATGAGTGAGGAAGGGATGGTTTATCACCGTGTCCAAAGGGGAAAGGTAGGCGGTAAGTCTACAGCTGCGGAGTGCGGATTCACAACCTTGGACTCGTTTCACGGGAAAGGAAGAAAGGGACTCGTAGTTGCTTCCGTCGTGCGTGTCGTTATTCTCCAGTGCTGCATATCATGTCTTGAACTCAAGCCATTATTATTCGAGGCCCCACTTGGCGCAGAGCGTGATAAGGAGACTAAGCCGTTACCGTGTGGTAGGATCAACGTCTGTGCTCGAAGGATTCGATTTCCCGTTGGAAAAGCGACCCATGCCTTGTCCCACCAACACCGATTATGTGGACATCATAGGTAGAGGATTGACTTCAGGTACTCCGTAGTCAGCGTCCCAGCATAGATCCAAAACTCTCATAAGCTCCATGCTCCAGCAGATGATACTCTAGACTCTGGACAAAACAACATTCAAACGGTAGACCGCGGGGCTCGAAAGTGCGCAGCCATGTTATCTACACGCTTCAGTTGGCCTCGGTTGCAGCTTGTTGATGGACGCCGTTGGCTCACCGCTTAGGACACACAGCGCACCGCGGTAGGCTCGTCACTCTCCGCTTGGGCGGGTTGCATGACGTGGAGACAGAAACGTGAATGCACGATGTGCACGACCTAGCTACTGGGAGTGGCCACGCGGAAAGCCAAAACTCATGCATTCGAGCCCACGCGGCAGCACGCTTGACCATGATCGGGGTGGGGTCCGAAAGAACGGGTCGAACTCCGAGTTGCGAATAATAATGGACGTCGACTTTTTCCCGATTGTGAAGATGCAGAGACACGCTCATCGGCAACCCCGTGTTGGAAGGCTATGGGCATGCTTTCTTTGACGACTTGGGCGGAACATTTTGATGCGCGAGCGAGCAGTGATTAAGAGGGTGAGAAGTCTCGATACCTAGGGCATTCACCCTGAAGCAGTGGACCTAACAGCTGTTGACTTTCTGTCTACAGCTAGTCTAGTCAACCACGAAGCCGACGAGCCGCAAACCGGCAATTTCCGCAACCCAAGTCCCAGTCCAACAGGCGCGAAGTTGCGAAGTTGGATGAGTTGATTTCTATAGGAGAAGAGATGTTCGTGCACAGGGTAGACTGTACCAAGACTACTGCTCTGTCGAGTCCCTACTTGTACTGACGGCAAGGCAGATTCGAGCCGGGAAAAGGGGCCGGGCGGTAGCCGTGCACGAGGCCCCCAAACCAGCTTAGCGCCTTGCCAACAACCTTAATCTGACATCGCAGGCTTTCCCCAACCATGGTTTTGCTCCAACCAATCCATCTCGTCAGTGCTCACCCCAATCTTCGTAGCCCTGCCCAAGGTGAGGCTACTCCGCCACCCGCCCGGCCTTGTGGGACGGACCCCCCTCATGGCCGTCATATTAAGATCAGACAAGTCCAGAAGTGTAGACATGGTCGTCAGGCACCCTGCCATGACATCCACGGCTACGACTTCGACGACGTTCTGATAGATACCGGGTACGGAGTAGAGAATACACTAGATCAACAACAACATCAAATCGCCCCTCTAAACCACCATGGACGAAGTGAAGCTGCGTCAGCTGGAGCGCCAGTACAAGCTACGAGTGAAGACTGGCTGCGAAACATGCCGGTAGGCTCTCTCCTTCACCTCTGAACGGGTGCAATCAACTCACTGCAACCCCTCGTTGTAAGCACACGATTCTGACTATAAGTCCCTCCAGGACACGCCGGGTCAAATGCGACGAGACGAAGCCAGAGTGTTTACGCTGCACAAAATCCGGCCGCAAGTGCGGGGGATACAAACATGCTGCTAAGCATCGAGACGGCTCTCCGGCCGCTGCAGCTTCGTTCAGGAATCCCTCCTTTCTGGTCGTGCCTCAGAGACCCCGCCCAACCAGTGTCCCCAGGAACCCATCAAGAAGTCTCTCCCCCGAGGCGGCGGAGAATAGATCCTTTCACTACTTTCAGACTCACACGCTACCCCAATGGACCGAGTTCTTCGATTCGGATCTTTGGAGTCAAAAGATTCTGCAGTTGAGCCACATTGAGCCAGCCATCAAACATGGCATTCTCGCCCTGAGCACCCTGCATGAACGCTTCGAGAATAGCACGCCCATTTTCAATGCGGGGAACAGCGACTTTGCCTTCTTGCAGTACATGCAAGCCGTCAAGCATTCCAACGACCTTCTCACGGCGCACCAGGCAGGCAGGGTGGACGTGGAGAAGATCCTCATAGCCTGCATCATCTTCACATGCTACGAGAACCTGGCGGGAAACTATAGGGCGGCCAACATGCATCTCCGCAACGGCCTGCGGATCCTATGCCAGCATCGGCAAGACGTACTCTTGCATGCCCGGGGCCCGCCAGTGAACGAATCCATTGCCAGTGTCCTCTTCCGCTTCGACCTCCAAGCCATGACCTTCTCCGACAACGCCTCACCCTACGACTACAGCATCGACTGCCCTCCCGAGTGCCCCATCATCCCCGTAGCCTACACCTCCGTCTCCCAAGCCCGAAACGACCTCGTCGGCCTCCTCCGCTGCATGATGTGGATCGCCGGCGTCGCCAACATCAACCCGCGCGCAACGGAGAATCCCACCTGGCTGCACATCTACACGCAGCTCATGGCCTCCATGGACGCCTTCGAACTCACCTTCGACCACTTCCAGGCTTTTCTCCCCATGTCCGGGGCCCCCATCGACGCCAAGACGCAAGCCGGTTGCAGCTTGATCAAGATCTATTACCTCATGGCGCGCACCATTGTCGCCGCGGGCGCCTCCCCCGTCCGCAACGAACTGTCCTGGGACCCCTTTGTAGGCCAGTTCAAAACCATAGTCGATTTGGCAGAGACCCTACCCGCCCTCGTGAAACCGCCCTGTCCACCAACGACAACAACGACCAACAGCAAAAACAACAACGATCTTCGGTCGAGATCGAATTCCACGCGCTCCTCGGCCTCACCACCGCATGCCCTCTCCCCGATCCCCAGCCCCTTCCAGACCGGACGACCCATAGCTCCGCGCCCAGGGACATCGACACCGTCACCCCCTCCAGGCTGCTCGACCCTGAACTTCCTCTCCGAACCCCAACCGCCTCATCATCATCACCCTCACCCTCACCCTCACCCTCACCACCCCCATGGCCCCCCTTCCCAGACTACGACTCCCCTCCCCAGCCCCTCAGTCAGCAGCCTCCCCAGCACCTCCCCCCCGCTAACCCCAAAACCCCCCGCCACGAAACCCGCCTCCAAAAAGCGTCCGCCCGCATTCACCCCGTCCTTTGAGCTCTCGCCCATCGTACCCCTCTTCGTCACCGCCTGCCGCTGCCGGGACCCCATCATCCGGCGTCGCGCCATCAGCCTTCTGCTGACGTGCCGGCGGAGGGAGGGCGTGTGGGATTCGTACGGCGCGGGGATGGTGGCGCTGCAGGTGGTCAAGCTCGAGGAGGGGATTGGCGAGATGGTCGAGTTGGACGAGGGCGGTTGGTTGCCGCTTAGTAACAATACTAACGCTGGCGTGGAGGGTTGCGGCTTTGCGGGCGGTAGTGCTGGTGGTGGTGGCGGGGAGATGGGCTCCGGAGGGGGGTTCGCACATATCCGGGAGGAGAAGCGGGTCGTGGATGTGTTTGTCAGTGTGAGCGTCGGGGAGAGGCAGATTGGGGTGAATTACCTCATGGGAAGTGGCGAGAGTGTGGATCGCTATGTGAGGTTTTGAGGGGAGAAGACGTTGGAGTCAAGGTTGGGATCAACTGGTGCATACCATACTAGGTCCCTGGGTTTTGTGAGGATGGAGGGGTTTTGATTGCTTCCTCTCCATCTCTCTTGGCTTCTGGAGTTTTACGATACCTATATGACCTGGGCATTGGGAGGTGGTTCTCCCTGAATGGCGCCTCGATTAGCATTTGTGACTACCATAGATATATTGTATACATTACTCGCTTGCCCTTGTTGCATACAGTAGATACAAATGATAGATTTGCTCATCTCCATCATCTCCACCTTTTCTATATGACCAACCGATCGCTGAGCTAACAGACGCCAATCCCGCCGACGTGTAGTAATCCTTCCCGGCATCGTCACACCCTTTGAATAAGGCACTGGATCCAGGTTGCGTCCCGCGTTGCTTGGGGGTCCAACGAACCTCCAGCCCCTCCCCACTCGCAGTATCTTCTCTCTCATGCCCCTAACGTCGCAATCCGACTCCCGGCCGCATCCAGATTCCCCCAGACGCCCTCATTGATCCTCCTCCTCAACATATCCACCACCACTCCATACCCACCACCACCCTCGCCCGCACGTACCAGCCCGTCATACAACAACTTGACGACGTCGAACTTGGCGACCGCAACCTTGTACGCCGCATTCTCGGCGCCGCCTCGCCCACCCACGAGGTTGGAGAAGGACTTGGGCGGCCGCAGCAAGTACGGCAGTACCGCACCGCTGAGGGCGGAATCGAGTACGAGGGCGACACCGGAGTGCGGGAATGACCGCGCTTGCTGGATCGCGGTTGGATCGTCGGAGAGGTAAAGGGCTTCTTGCGAGGGGGAGCCCGTCTCCCAGTTGGACGTGATGAGGGCGGAGAGGACGGTGAGAGAAGCGAGGGCCGTGTCCGTCATGGCGACCGTGTCGGCGTGGGAAATCAAATCGGAGAAGAAGGTGGGGTTCTTGGTGAGGTAGAGGTAGGTGAGGAGGCGGGCGCAGACGCGCTCTTCTGAGATGCGTGCGGGGGATGCGGGAGGGTGAGCAGAGGAAAGCGGGAAGGTGATCTCTTCCTGTTATTGTATCCCGTTAGTTTCTGAATCTCGATATGATTTTGGATATTCAGGCGGATTGGTTCGAAGGCATTGCACTCACCCGCTGAGGCCCATGAAACACCGCTGCCAGGGTCTTGAGAGCATCCGGCGTGGTCTTCCGGAAGGGTATGTTTAGAACCACACATCCATCGCCTCTCAAATCGGCCGCATGCCGCGGAATCAAACTCGTCCGCGGCATAGCAGCAATGATGCTGAGATCAGAAGGATCCAGTTCCCGCACCTTCCGTTGCACGTACTGTCGAATGGTGAGCGTCTCGGCGCTATTCTCAGAATCGTCGGGATAGCTGGAGACATATTCCGCTATGTAGTGGGCAGTGCGCGAGTGGAGGAACCCTTGTTCCAGACTTCGGTCCTTCGCGGTATGGTTATCAATGATCGACTTGTGTATGTTGTGTTCTTTAAGGAAGTCAAGTGATACACTGGATGTGTTGGCCTGAGTAGGCGTTTTCACATTCTTGATGAGATCGGCGAAGAAGTCGATCAGAGTGAGGTGCATCAGCACGTCGTCCGCTGTATCCACCATCTTGAGGGCGGCATAGTGAAGCAAGCCTTGCCCTTCCGCGAGCCCGACCTTTCTCTCGATTTCCGGCATGTGGCTTGCCGTCAGGATCTCCCAACTCAGCTGACCGACCTGGTATAGCCACTGAAGCAACCTCCCTTGCGCAATGGTTTTGCTGCTTTTATCAAGCACTGGTTCAATGTCTTGGGATATGTCTCGGATAGATGTGTAGTGGTAGTAGAGTCTGTATATGCTCTGGTCGTGGAAGAGACGCTTCCAGATGGGTGCCCTGCCGTACTGGTACACTTGCACTTCCCCACCATCGGCCATTGACTCGTCTTTCGAGGCCCGCAGTAAAGACACTAGGAGATCGGCAGCCTGTGTGGCCACCGCCGTATCCTTAGTACAAAGCCACAGGCGGACGATGGCATAGACGATATTCGGACGGTTTGCGAGCATCTGCACATGGCTGCTATTAGAAGCGGCCTTTTCCAGGAGGGAGAGAAGGAGGCTGTGGAATGGTTCGGCTGCCAGTTGCAGACCTATCTCAAAGTCCAGATCCTTGATATCATCGAACGTGTAGGGCGTGGTTAGCTTGAGGATGAAACGTATTAGCGGCGAAGGGTCCTGCTGCAGATTCGGCAGTAGAATTGCCAGCTGTTGGAAGAGAAGCTTCGTCTCCGTCCATGCTGATTGTCGATACTCGTTCGTGCTTGTGTATAGCTCGCCCTTTTCTATGAGTGATTCGTCAAGTGGTATGCTCGGATCCTCTTGGACTTGTTTCAGATGCGCCGATAACGCATCCAGCACCGTCGTAGTCGCCATGGGTCTTGTTTCGACCGGAGCACCTCTAAAGATATCTTTTCAATGATGATGGCGAAAAAGCGCCGCTCATGTGATTACGCGTAGGCGAACTCGACGCGTTCGTGGCGGCTTCGTGCTCGGGTTGAAGCGGGTGCAGAGCTGATGAGGGTGTCCCGGCTGTTCTCCTCTATTCGACAGGTTTACAGTGGCCTGGAAAGCTCTGCCCATAAGCTAGACCATCGGATACTCGAAGGCTTAATGTGTACAGTGATGGCCTGCTATCTTCAATGGACGTTGTCTTAGTCCACGCCGAGTGGGGAACGCTAAATGCGGGGCGACGCGCGGGCGGTGAGAAGGGGCAGAACTGACAACCTAAAATTATTGGTGACTGCTCATACAACAGGACCTTTGAAACGACGAAACGAGGACTTCATTTGAAGCGAGGCACATTTTGTTTACTCTCCTTTATCAAGAGTAAATATACGCTCCCTACCACTCGACCGGTCATGGCTCCCCGTGGAGGAGGCCGCGGCGGTTCAAGAGCGGGCCGCGCCGGCGGTGCATTCAATCCGTCTCGCGGCCTCACGATCGGAGGCGTCGAGGTTGGCTGGGATCTCACGGGTCTGAAAATCGAGAAAGGTCCCGTTGAGCGATTCCCTGTGGGTTCTCTATGAAATTAGGATTTCTTCGTTACATGGTATACTGACTCTCATGCGAAAAAGGCAAAACCGCCACCGCAAGCACCTCCGCCCACCGAGGGAGAGAGAGCGACCATACGCCACTACTTAGCCGTGCGCGAGCGCATCCATGATGGGCCCTTTTACACCATCCTCAACGACGGCATGAAGAGCGGGAAGAAGAGGAGGCACAACGAAGCTCCGCCATCCGCGACTGCACTCTTCAACCCCTTCACCGATAATCAGACGTACACGTCCAAGTACACAAAGGTACGCCGCAGGATACCGAAACTCGATACGCGGCCCTACGTCACGGAGCTCTTCCCACCGGAGCTACAGTCTTTGCTCGAGGGCCCCACGACCAATGGGGCCGACGGTGATGCGAACCAGAACAAGAAGCGCAAGACGCTCCAGGTCGCTAGGTCCGCAACCGCCGCGTCGAAGATTGACAGTTACATGGCTATGCAAGGGCAGCGGTTACGCGATTTGGAGGAACGGGGCGGGGAAGACGTCGATGAGGACTATGACGAGGAGGATGAGGAGGGCAATGAGAAGCCCGAGGCTGTGGACGAGGAGGATAGCTGGTCTGCCGTGTCGAGCGACTCGGAAGAGTCGGGAGACGATTACAACGCCGAGCGGTATTTCGACAACGGCGATGACGACGACATCGACGACGGTGATCCGTATGAGAATGCATATGACTGAGAACATATAATCGCTCTTAAGATAGGAACATGTCACGGCGTTCGGTTCGGCGATACCCTTTTGATTGAATGCAGTCACATGTTTTTGGCTTCTAGATCTTCATGTTTGATCAATCTAGAGGATAATGAAGTAATGTCCAAAGACCCGATCATATGTGCTCCCAGAACTATTAACACCAAAGTATCGGTCCACTGTTTCCTCACCGCGCCGGGGGTTGATAAGATCGCTGCAATAAGACCGGTAACATGTGCTCTATCGAACTAGCACGGGTCCTAGAGGAAACCTTGGAACCCATGTGCCGTCCAAGTCACATGCCGAACGGAGATGTCGGCCTATTTAGTAGTGTGTCGATCGCGAATAGAGAGGCAAAGGGAGTTCTTCGGAACCGGTATTGGGAAATTCGTAGCTATACTATAATAGTTCACTCGGCCAGAGAGGATGGACATGTGTAGATATGGAGATGCTGTCTCATCAACAAAAGGAAAAGCCTTCCTGACGCCACAAAGCTACTACCCCAATCGCCTGGAAGGAAAAAGATGATGGATAATTCGAGATAATGCAGGAGAAGAACCACGCTCCCGCTCCGTCGCTATGTAGGTATATGTAGGTATAAGATGCTCCCAAAACACTTCGCCGGCTCAAATATCACTAGACATACACAATAAGAACCCCTTGCTCCTCCCGAGTTTCTGCCATGCCCAGTAGGTACCTTCGAAAACGTAAACCGATCCTACCATATCAGCCCTTCCTTGGCAGACCTACCCAGGCAACGCCAGAACCAATTGAAAAGAAACCAGTCAGGAAAAGAAAGGAAGAAAGAAAGCTCTGTCGCTCGCTCGCTCACTGGCTCAGTTAATTCGGAAGAAAATGCGAATAATGTCCCGGGACCCTCATCCGACACTTTTCGCAGTCCTCCCTATACCCCATGCTAAATCTTCCTCTGCCCGAGGAAAGAGCGCCGCTCCGCTTGCGGCCTCGCGTCGGCGTCGTAAGCACGCCTGGGGGTTCGGAGCCTTCGGGATGTGCAGAAGTAGAGAGATCCGTAGTTGCAACGCTTGCAGCAGGTACGGGGGTAGACTCCTCGATTTCCATGTGGAACTGCCGCTCGCCCGTCACGCTCAGCCGCTCAAGCTGGCTCTGCGTCCATGCAGTGGGCGTGTCTGGGAGATCTTCGTCTTCAGAGATGGGCGACGGCATCCGCCTAGCACGGTCGTGGTCGATGATGTGGGCGTGCTTCTTTGGCAGTGGAACTGGTGGTACGTGTGGGATGGGAATGAAGTTCGGGTGGTGGGGATTTGGTACGCCTAGCAAAGTAGGACCGCCGGTTCCCGCTGACAATAGCCCATCGCAACTCCTCAGCGCAGGAACTGCCGTAGTGGCAGGAGGAAAATTGGGATACATGGGTGTCGGAAGCCTGCCTGTGGCGTTGCCTCCAATGCCCTCATCTTCGCCCACAGAACCCCTTCTCCTGAAGAGGGTTGAATCTAGTTTGGCCGGGCGCAAGGGCTGCGAAAACAGACCGGAAAACGAGCCATCGTACGGCGGGCTGTGCACCATGTCGAAATCATCGTGATCGTCGGAATCTCGGTCGTCCATTTCCGTGTCGTCCATGTCCATATCGACGCCGCCGCCGCGCACGATGGTTGGGGCCCGTGGCGAGGAAAGGCGTGCGTTGTCGGGTTGGAGGGCATTCTGAAGGCGGTGCGGAGAGTACACTTCGGTATCGCTAGGGGACGAGTTGGCCGGAGTCAGAGTGGCCAGGTCGGGAGGTAGTGGTGTCAACGAGACCAACACTGAGGGCCGGTCGGGTACTCTGGAGTGCGAGGGTTCGGCAGCGTACCGGGAAGCCCATGAGCGGACTCTCTGTGTTGAGTTTAGGGTTGAGCCATGAAGGGTCGGCAATGGTGAACACCCACCTTGATGTACCTCTCATCGTCCAAGCGGCCAGTGTCCCCTTCCTCGTCGTCTCTCGGCCGCTTCGTGTGGGATGCAAACATTATTGTTTGTTTCTTTATTATTTAAACCTTCAGTGTTCCAGCAACCGAAGTTGAGACGAAAGCGACGGCAGCACGCTCAACGTGCTGGAAATAATGAGCGTGCGGAAACGGATTGCGGCCGAGAAGGAGAGAGTGTTGTGGTCGCGGCTGTTCTGTGACGGGGTGAACCTGAGGGGCGTCTTGGGTGTAAGTATCAGGGGCCAGTTGCGAGGTCTTTCCAGGGCTGCGTGTTTCAGATGGGTGATGGGAAAGCGAAGGGTTCCTGCATGGTAGGGTAGGGAACGTGAAGCGGTGACGGGAGGAATACGGCGGTGCATAGACGCAGCGAAAGGATCTATCAGGCTTCCAGCTGGCTGCAGGCTGCGCAGGTTGCGCTCATCATGGCCGAGTGACGGGGCTCGGATGGAGAGGATGACCTGGAGCTGGAGTTGGGAGCTGGACGGTGCAGCTGGACGAGTCGTGGCGGTGCATCGTGGTGTTTTTGTGGCTGGTAAGGATCGGCAGACGTGCTCGTAAAGCGGATAATAAATCAATCTACGGAGTACTGTGTAGAGAGCTGCGGACCGACAACGGCGCTTTTGTTCGATCGCTTCCCATCGCCGTGCCCATCTCTTTCTTCGTCTTCTCTTGTCGTGGTGGAAGTGCAAACGAATACTTGTGACGATGGACCCGAGTTGGCTTGTGTGACGGCAGGATTCACATGTGCACCCCGCTATTCCCTATCGATAAGTAGAAGACCCTCGCCAAGCCCAAAGGCGGTGAGCTCAGAAAAGTTGGGAATAATGAATCAACCCTCTCCGAATCGCGGCCCCTCAACACCTCTCCCTCCCTTCCTCCCCTTCTCCCCCGCTCACCTCGTATAATTTAGGACAGAACCCCCGACGGGCTCGATTTAGGTGGCAACCCCCTACACGCACCTGTTCTCAGATCGCCTTTCTACTGGATCGCTCCGAGGTATGCCCGTCCCTTTCCGATCCCCGATGCAGTCATGTCATACCACGACGACCATTGCATGTGCTCACCACGTTTGCCAGCTATAAAAGGCGCCCATTCCGTCCCTCTACCATGGCCGCCGCACCTCATAACCCTCAATCCGCAGAAATGCCTTCCTTTGAGGAGTCCAGACACGTCAGCGACGATGTGCGCGGTGAGTACTGCCGTTTGGTTGTTCACTTGTGTTGCTTTATCAGTTACCCTCAGCACTGCTAACTCAGTCCAGTCTTGGGTTACGACCCGTTGATCCAACCCGCCCTGCTCTCCCGCGAAATTCCCATCCCTCGCCATGCTGAAGACACTGTCATCGAGGGTCGCAAAGCCGCCGCCAACATCATCACGCAAAAGGATGACCGCCTCCTCGTCGTCGTCGGCCCATGCTCGCTGCATGACCCGGAAGCCGCCATCGAGTACTGCCAGCGCCTCAAGGCCGTCGCCGACAAGCTTTCCGACAACCTCCTCATCATCATGCGCGCCTACCTCGAGAAGCCCCGCACCACCGTCGGCTGGAAAGGCCTGATCAACGACCCAGACATCGACGGGAGCTTCCACATCAACAAGGGCCTGCGCATCTCGCGCAAGCTCTTCGTCGACCTCACCTCCTTGGGCATGCCCATCGCCTCCGAAATGCTCGACACCATTTCTCCCCAGTTCCTCGCCGACCTCATCTCCCTCGGAGCCATTGGCGCACGCACCACCGAGTCCCAACTCCATCGCGAGCTCGCCTCTGGCCTCTCCTTCCCCATAGGCTTCAAGAATGGCACCGATGGTGGCCTCACCGTAGCAGTCGACGCCATTGGCGCCGCCGCAGCACAGCACCACTTCATGGGCGTGAACAAGCAGGGCCTTGCTTCCATCACCAGGACGAGCGGCAACGAGCACTGCTTCGTGATTCTGCGCGGTGGAACCAAGGGCACCAACTACGACAAGGAAAGCATCAAGGCGGCGCGAGAAGCCCTGCGCAAGAAGAACCTTCCCGAGGTCATGATGGTCGACTGCTCGCATGGTATGCCACCTCCCAAACGTCCGACCAAATAAATATTCGTGAGTTGGCTAACACTACGGACTAGGAAATTCCAACAAGAACCATAGGAATCAGCCAATCGTCGCCCGTGTCGTCGCCGACCAGCTCCGCGAGGGTGAGACCGGCATCGTCGGCGTCATGATCGAATCCAACTTGAACGAGGGCAACCAGAAGGTTCCGCCCGAGGGCCCCAAGGGGCTCAAGAAGGGTGTCTCCATCACCGACGCGTGCATCGATTGGGATACGACCGCCACCGTCTTGGAGGAGTTGGCGCAGGCCGTCGCTCAGAGACGGAAGAAGCTGCAAGGCGCGAATGGGGTGCATTAGAAACCTGCCGGCGTTGGTAGTTTGTCGGGACACTGGGTGGTGTCATCTTGAAAATATATGACTTGAGGTAGGTTTGCCAGTTGCGTATTAGTCATCCGAAAAGGGGCGCCAGGGGTTTCAAGGTCTTATATGGGTATATATAGAGACGACAGTCTTGCCCTCTTCTAGGGAATGGAAATAGACATGATTTTCTTTGTTGCAGAAGTCCGGGACTTGAATGCTGACAGGCTATGCCAAGAAGATGTTATGCTACATGTATACGTACAACTCTGTATCAAAACCCATACACTCTACCGCCCTATGCCACAACATCGCCGCCAAACCCCACCGGTCGCCTTACCGGCGCCGCCTCATCAAACGGCAGCACCGCCAACGCCTTGTAAATCCTGCCCATACCCGTGGGGCCCCGATCCACCAGCCTCTTATACCCGCTCTCCAACCTCTTCATCTCCTCCTCCAACTTCTGCGCATCCTCCGCCTTTCCCTCACCCTTCTCCACAGCCTCAAGCCTCGCCCTTTGCATCCTCACCAACCGCTTCACCCTCTCACCAACCCCAAGACCCTGTAACCACCAGCCCTGCTCAACGGGTCCATGCACTTCCACTCCAGGCGAGCTCTTGATGGCCGTCTCCGCCAGGGCCAGGAAATCCACGTCGGCGGAGAGATCGACGGTGCCTGCGCCGATGAAGGGCGAGACGAGCTTGTGCGCGCGTATGCCGCGGAGCGTGTTGGCGGGTATGGTCGAGGCGGGACCGTAGTCGAGGATGAGGGCGCAGCCGGAGGGATGTTTTTTGAACGGTGTTGTTGATGTTACTGTTGATTGAGAGGATGTGGGGTTCTGCCGTGAGGTGGATGTTGATGGTGATGCGGTGTGGGTGGCTTTCGGTGAAGGAGAATGAGTAGGATCCTCGCCCCCGATGCGGGTCGCGAAATCGGCCACGTACGCTAGGCTCTCGGGGCTGATCTCGATGATGGCGCCGGGGGTCTTCGCGAGGGCCTTGTATCGCTCCGACAGCTGCGGGAGGTACAAACTATGCGGTGTGGGGGACTTTGATACCGTGAGCTGGAATTCCGGTCTCTCTTCTGCCTTGTTGTCGCCGCTCGATGCTGTGAAGGACGTGGACGACGGCGGCACTGGCGTGACGACGAGTTCATGCCACTGGTTCTGCGGCGCATGCGTCGAGCCGTCTCTGGGTTTTATAGGCCCCGTTGGGGTGAGGATGGTAGACGAGGGGGGGATGCTGGAGGACGCCACGTTCTGGAAGACGTGGATGGGGAGGGCGTCGAAGAATTCGTGGGCCAGGATGAACGGATTGGGTGTTGCTTCTGTGATGAGGTTAGTCTGGCATGTCCGTAGTATGAAGACTGGCAGGAGTATCTGCCTTAGGCTCGCTATACATACCCTTCCGAACGAATCGCAAGTCCTCCGCCCAAATGATTTGACATCCAGGTATATCTTTACAGGTATTCGTCCACCCTAAGTCTGTTGTTTTTAGGTCCTCGTTGCCGCAAAGCAGCCGCGACTGCTGCGCCCGGAGATGCGGCGACGCTTCAATCATGTAGATGGCCTCGAGACTGTCCGCAAACGGCTTGAACGACGTGATGGTCTGCAGGACCTCAGCACTCCACTCCTCATCCCCAGCATCATTTCTCTTTGGCTCCCTACCCTCAGGACGTCATCCATCAGTGTCCCCCTCCCAGGTCCCACCTCAACCAGCTGCACCTTTTCTTTCCTGCCCTGCGCCAACCACTCCGTATACAGCCATATCCCCACCATTTCGCCGAAGACCTGACTAATCTCGGGACTCGTAATGAAGTCCCCCTTCGCGCCGAATTGATCGCGCCCCGCCGTGTGTCGCGTGTAGTATCCGCCTTCGGGCGACGTGAGGCATTGGCGCATGTACGATGCCACGGAGATGGGTCCGGTGGTCTGCATATGCGTTAAGGCTGTATCTTCAACTTTGACCAAGGGCAACTTCATACAGATATCGCCTCAGCCAGCGACTTCGCCAGCGGCGTCGACCACCGCCTCTCCCCGTCCGCGCTCGCCGTCGCATTAGACGACCACCGGATGCCGAATTGCGCACCTCTGTGTATGATTGCGCGCTGTGGTCCGCGACACCGCAGCGCCCCCCGGAATATGGAAAGAGTTTGCATCGTCATTATTCGTGCTATATTTGTATAGACATGGCGTTATCTGTCGTACCTGGATGTGAGCATGAGCGTCCAACAAACCCACACGAGACAAAAGCGGCGGCATTTCTTGGCACTGTGAACACCAACTTCGTCGGAACCTCATATCAACCATCGAACCAACACCACCCAACTCGCTGCGTCTCATACCTGTCCGCCATGGCTCGCCCACGCAAGATATATTTCTCATCTTCCACGGGTTGCAGCAACTGTAGCCTGAGATACTCGTTCACTCGTGTTGCTTGCAGTATGATGCAACACGAACACGTCCGACAGTGGCTTTATGGTGTTAGGTGTGTGCAGCAGCTGTAGCAGGTGCCTCGCGCATTGGGTCCGGATCTATAAACCTAGTTGACGGCGGTTCTCTTCGCTCGCAACCGCTGGTGGGACGGGCTTCCCTGCAGAACGTAGCGCAATGATAAACACAGCAAAGAAGCTGCAATCCTTGCCGCTTGAGTCCTGTTTAGGACAGGATGCGGCCTCGACTGGCACGCTCTTCTAGTCCTGACCCCCGGGTAGTAATCCTGAACGAAGGCTTGCCAAGTGGAACAGACGGTGGAGGCTCCTTGCTGTTGAAGGAGGGACGGCGCCGAATTATAGGATCGTAGACCCGGATGTACTGACTCTGGTCGTCAAACCCAGCCTCGACCGTTACCCAGTGGTTCCCGTATAGAAGGTACGGGGAAAGGATCGTCTCTACGGGTCCGTTGCAACGCTGGAACGGCCACATCCCTATCTCCTTGGGATCCTTGAGGGCCTCGGATATCTGTCCCCTTAGGAAGCCGGGTGCGTTGGAAATCCAATGTTCGAGAACCGTTAGATCCTCCAGATAGACTCCTGGACGGGTAGGTTCGTTAGTCACAAGAGTCTTCATCAGTTGATCAGTTGCCCATGCCAAGTTGGGACCCCCTTCACGGCCGCGGCGGCTGGCGTGCCCATCCATGTAGTGAAGGCTCAGTATATCGTTATAATCAAGCCCCAAGACTGGTCCTGGTGACCTATTGTCCAGGAGGTCATAAATACATTTCGCCAGCTCGTCGTTGGGCGAGGCCCTCCGCACTTCTTGCTCGCGGATTTAGCAAGCAGCTGCTTCAGCCTGAGCCTGTAGCTCGTTTTCCTTCTTTGCAGCTTCTTGAGCAGCCAACTCCTTCCTCTTCCTTGCGGCTTCCCGAGCGGCCATCTCGTTCGCTTTCTTCGCGGCTTCTTGGGCCAGCACTTGCGTCTTTTCTTGTGATGTGACCGCTGGTCCACCGAAGGGCAGATTCCTCACAGGCCTCTCACGTGGAATTTGCGCGACCGCCTTGGGTTGTGAGTCCCGGTCGACAACAGTAGTTGAGAATACGAGGGCGGTTGAGCTAACAATAATTAGGGAACTCGACAAATTGACAGCATCACCTTCTGAACGCTGTCGTCGGTCAACGGATGGACCCCTATCACGCCGTCAATGCCGCCGTCTTGTGCGAGGACTCGGCGTCTCGCGACCACGGCGCGGACGGCTGGGCGACCGTGCTCGGTAACTGTCGTAGTCACGCCGTGAATATCGCTCCCGTTGACCGTCTCGTGCGAGGGCTGGGCGTCTCACGTCCACGGCGCCCACGGCTGGACGACCGTGCTCGGAGAGAGAAGAGAGAGAGAGAGAGAGAGAGAGAGAGAAGTAAATGGTAAAAAAGCAGGACAGTCAACTATCCTAGTAACAGAGGAACGTGCTCGCACTGAAGCGAATCACGAAAGTCTCTAAGATTGCACTTAAGCACTCCTAGAAAACTCCAAGTAAAAGGTAAAAAGGCAGGACAGTTAACAATCCTAGTAGCAGAAGAACGTGTTCGCACTAAAGCGAATCACGACAGTTTCTAAGATTGCACTTCAGCACTCTTAGAGAACTCCGAGTAAAAGGTAAAAAAGCAGGACAGTCAACTACCCTGGTAACAGAAGAACGTGTTCGCACTGAAGCGAATCACGACAGAGACTCCAAGATCGCACTCAAGCGAGCACTTGGAGAACTCCAAAGGGGAGGCGAAAAGGCAGGATTCCCAAGAGCGACCCTGGGAACCTGACTAAAACCAGAGAAACGTGTTCGCACTGAAGCGAACCACGACAGAGACTCCAAGGTCGCACTCAAGCGAGCACTTGGAGAACTCTAAAGGGGAGGTGAAGAAAGAATGAGAACAAGGAGGGAAGAAACGAGGATATAAATAACTGCGAACGACGAGATACCCCCTCGTGAAGCAGCTTACGTCAAATGAAAGGGAAAGTGAAAGTGAAAAAAACGGAAAAGAGAAAAGAGATGAACGGTGAAGAGGAGAGGTGAAGAGGAGAGGTGAAGAGGAGAGGTGAAGAGGAGAGGTGAAGAGGAGAGGTGAAGAGGAGAGGTGAAGAGGAGAGGTGAAGAGGAGAGGTGAAACTCTGAGCAAGCTCTACGTCATCCCGAGCGTGCACCTGCTGAGTCCCTTCCCTCTGCTCGTTTGGGCAGGAGCGGTCGAGGTACATAGGAAGGCGCCAAAGATTTAGCTTTAGATAGGAAAGTGTAAGGCGACGAGAATGCAGAGAGCGAGCAGAGACAACAGAAGTAGAAAATAGAAACAACAAGTAAACAAATAGAAAGTGCGTCCTTGCTTAATCGGCACGATTACCGAGACTATGCGTTGGGGAGGTCCTCCATCCGATGAAAAGGATCGGAATTTCGGAATACATTTAAGTGTGGTGAGGTGAAGGAGCTATGACCACCTCTTATCCGCACGACATTCCGTCCATCAACTGCGCTTGATTGTACCTCAAACCTGAGACGTTCTCAGTCAACAGAATTGGAAAGACCGAAAAGAAAGGAAAGAGATAGCTACGGAAAATGGCATCCCGCTGGGCGAACGATGAGGCCGACGCCGCAGAAGCCGCGCGTCGGAAGAAAGAGAAGGAGCAAAAGAAACGCATGAAAGAATTGAAGCAACGGCAACAGGAAGACGCTGCTCAGAGAGAACCCGCAGACAGACCACCGCACAAGAGAAGAAGATTATCGTCTTCACCCTCGGAAAAGAAACAGTCATCCCAGGACTCCTCCTCAGAGCGGCGACTCCTCCGCTTCGACGCCCCAACCTGGGGCCCCTGCCGACACGTGAGCAACTTCGAGACGCTGAACCACATCGAAGAAGGGACGTATGGCTGGGTGTCGCGGGCGCGGGAGATTGGCACGGGCGAAGTCGTCGCGCTCAAGAAGGTCAAGATGGATTATGTGCATGATGGGTTTCCGATCACAGCGCTTAGGGAGGTTGCCATTTTGCAGAAGGTCAGGGGGCATGCGAATGTGGTGGATTTGAGGGAGGTGGTCATGGGGGAGGGATTTGATGAGTATGTATTCTCTTCTGTTGGGTTTACCCCGTCTACTATGCGTTCCACTGTTCCCTTCAACTGTACGGAAACTGACCACCGCCTTGGTACAGAGTCGTCCTCGTCATGGAGTTCCTAGAACACGACCTCAAAACCCTCCAAGAAGATATGCCCGAACCGTTCCTTGCCTCCGAAACAAAGACCCTACTCCGTCAACTCGCTTCCGCCGTGGACTTTCTGCATCAAAACCACATCATCCACCGGGACCTGAAAACCTCGAATGTAAGCCTTCTGTACCCTTCCTCAGTTTCTCCCCTTCTCCATTTGCGAAGTCAAGAGCCCTTTGGTGACAATGAATAGATCCTCCTCTCCAACCGCGGCGCCCTCAAACTCGCCGACTTCGGCATGGCGCGACTCCTCCCTCCTCCCTCTCCCAACGCCAGCCCCTTAACCCAACTCGTCGTCACCCTCTGGTACCGCGCCCCCGAACTTCTCCTCGGCACCCCCATCTACGACACCAGCATCGACATCTGGTCCCTCGGCTGCATCTTCGGCGAGCTCCTGCAAAAGGACCCTCTCCTCCCGGGCAAAAACGAAGTCGATCAGCTCTACAAGATCTTCTCCCTATGCGGCCTCCCGACGGAGAAAACCTGGCCCCAATTCTGGAGACTGCCGAACGCGAAGAGCCTCCGGTTGCCGCGGGATGCGGGCGCTGGGGGGACGGCTCCCGCCGCTGATACCGCGGCCTTGCTGCGCAGGAAATTCCCGAATATCCTGACGGCCAAGGGGACGGATTTGCTCGCCTCGATGCTGAGCCTGAACCCGGATCATAGACCGTCGGCAGCGGAGATCCTGTCGCATCCGTACTTCGCTGAGAATCCGAAACCGAAGCCGCCGGAGCTGTTCCCCACGTTTCCGAGTCGAGCAGGGCAGGAGAGGAGGCGGAGGAAGAGTCCGCATGCGCCGGTTCGGGGCCAGGGGAATGCGAGGTTGGAGGGGGCGGGGGAGGTGGATTTTAGTGGCATCTTTGCGGGGAGGGAGGAGGAGATGAAGGGGGCGGGGTTTCAGTTGAGAATGGGTTGAGGGAATGGTTCATCGTGTAGATGGATTGCTGGGTGCGGCGGTTATGGCTTTACAGGTTGCGCGTGACCGAAGCTAGAGATGCAAACCTGGTTTCAGGTAAGAGAAAAAGGGTATCCCATTCCATGAAGCCTTCTCGGCCTAAACTCCCAAGCCATCTGTAGAGGATCCCAGAACATACGCCTTGCTAATGTACATTTTCTGCAGACAAGATACCAGATGACAGAACCTCCCACGCCTCTCCCTGATCGCTATCCTATTGCACTACACTCAAATGATTACACAGTGCCCATTGCTCGTCCTTTTCAATCGTGAGACTGGCTTGCAATGAGATCGCCCCCGTTATCAGATCTCGGGCAAAATATCCATCGGATTCATAAACACAGCCTTTACCTCCTCCCGTAGTCAGCGCGATCTCGACTTCTGCTCCGGCTTGGGCTACGACTATCGTATGAGCTGTAGCTGGGGCTTCGTCTTCCTCTCCCTCTTGCACCGCCGCCACGACGATCCGGGGATTCACGACCCCCATAGCCATCGCCGCCTCGCCTTCTCGGAGGCGTCCTGGACGGAGAACGCGAGGAGAACGACCGTGATCGGCTGCGAATAGGAGATCTAGATCGAGACCTAGACACCGTGCGTCGATAGTAACCTCTGTCTCTGTAACCACCCCTTCCTCCTCTTCCGCGACCTCTGAACCCGCCAGGCGAGCGTGAGCGTCTGCGGTCGTAGCGTCCCGGCGGTCCAGACATTGGCGGTGGACGGTATGCGCCTGGAGGTCCGCCTCCACGTTGATCGTAGTAATCGCGATCGCGCGGCGGAGGGCCTCGTCGGAGCGGTGGAGGTGAGCGTGAGAATCGTCGGCGTGGGAGTACAATGGACACGTTGATCCTAGCTCCGTCGAGTTGTGCTTCGTGCATTTTGGCAATGGCTTGCTCGGCATCATCGATCTCTTCGTAAAGGATGTAGGCCGTTCCGCGATTCATGTTGTCTTGACAGTTTGAGTACGAAGGTGACTGGGATGGGATGTTGGAGGACTTACACACTGGGTTCAGCGGGAGCTTGAGATCCTTGATCGGTCCATACTTCCCGAAGATTTCGTGCAAGTGCTCCTCGGTCACATTTTTCGTTAATTGTTCGACCACGATCTGAACCCGTTAGCACGAACAGAGTTATTGGGTTTGAAAGCGCAAGAAACGGCAGATATGGCAGAGGTAGTAGTTGAAGTGCATACCTTGGCGCTGCGTGGTGCATCGGGACTTGGACTCCTCCTGCTGGGACTGCGGGAATAGCTCTCCCGGCGGCCTCGTGGAGTCGGGGAACGCGAGCGGGAGACTGACGGGCTGCGCGGAGTGTAGCTGCGTCTGCCATTCCGCCGTCCTCTTGGGCTAGGTGATCTGCTGGGGGTTCGCGAAGCAGAACGCGGCGAGATTGAGCGCCGAGGAGACCTGGAGCCAGAAGCACGTCTGCGGTCTGGAGATGGGGATCGTCTTGGAGTTGGCGAGCGGCCGCGCAGAATGCTGTGGGTGCGTGAACGAGACCGCGATCGTGGCCGAGAGTCGCCAGCCATGTTGACGGTGTCGGCTCTTGCTGAAGAGAAATGGTTGGTGGTGCGCGATGGAGAGCTGGGTTTGGACGCGTTCAAGCAACTTTGGAATTGATACGACCAAGCACAGACCGCGGATCACGTGAATCACTACATGGAGCACCTGGGCAATTTTCACTACCTAGGTAAAAGTAGAAGCATTGGATGATATGTCGGAGAAAGAATGTACTAGGATATTTAGTCTGTAATTGAAAGGTAGAACAGAGATGGGACTTTACGATATGATCCTCAGTGTTGGCTGGACTGCCATCTTTCCGAGACAGATGCAAGCATCAACAAGTGCATCAGACTGCCTGATCCGGCGTTCCACCTTTGTTCGACTCTTTGATCTATCTGGTTTGGATAGCGAATATCGGGAAGCTGTATCTCCGGATTATCACACAATCTTGCTGGCTGGCATAGCTATGGAATATCCTCAAGATGGCGGGGTATAACAGATCTATGCGACCCTTAACAAGAACATTGAGTGAAATGAACCCCCACATGACGGCCTCGTGCAGCATATCGCGCAAGCAGCGGAAACTGCACAAGAATCCCCTTCAACTGCCCATGCCGTAAAAATATAGGCATACAAGTAGAATCTATCGTATTGTTTGAGGAGCGCCATCACCCAAGACTGCAACCCCGCAGCAGCCCCACCATCTACACGGAAACGGTCGCTCTCTTCGTTCCCTCCCAGGCAACGCTGCTCCAACAAAATCTCCCCCCTTCTGCTTGCCTCCCCGGGCTTCATTCACCGTCGGATTATTAGTCAGTGCGGCGTCATATTCCCTGCCTGTTCTGTCTGCGGGTTTGTTTGACCAGCCCAACTGATCAACCGAGCGCAAACCTCACATCACAACTACCCCGCGCATCCCTACCACTACTCCTCTACCACAACACTACACATCACAACCATGTCCTGGCAAGGTACGTACGGCCCGGTGCACCGGGAAGAAGCTATACTCACAGAACTGCAACAGCATATGTCGACCAAAGGTAGATTCCCTTCACCATCGCTTCCAAGTGCCTTCTCTAACCTGTGTCGCTCGCAGCCTCCTAGGCACCGGCAACATTGACAAGGCCCTCATTGCCGGCCTCGACGGAACCGTCTGGGCCCACTCCGCCGGCTTCAGCGTACGTTCCCACCTCGTTCACATGCCAGATGCCACCCTTTGGGATGCAGACGACACAAATCAAAGGGGAGAGTCTCGACCAGCAGCAAGCCCGCTGACAGAGTCTCCCAGATCCCCCCCGCCGAGCTCAAAGTCATCATCGACTCCTTCTCCGACACCAGCAACCCACCCAAGATCGTTAGCGAGGGTATCAAGGTCAATGGCGAGAAGTACATGACCATCAGCGCGGACAACGAATCGTTAAAGGCCAAGAAGGTGCGTACGGTTGACCGCTTGGGATTTCCATTTTACAAAACGACGAGAGGCTGACGGATTGACGCTAGGGCAAGGAAGGCCTCGTCGCCGCCAAAACCGTCCAAGCCGTCCTCATCGGCCACCACAACGAGGAGATCACGACGCCCGCTGCCTTCAACTCCGTCGTGGAGTTGCAGGAATACCTCAAGAAGATGGGATATTAGGCGGGGCGCATCGGGACGGATGGCCAATATACAATTCTGCCTTCCTTCTTCTCTTGCGCCCTCCGTCACCGTGCGACCGACTGATCTGTCGGATGTTGATGTTGTAAATTTTAACGATACTTTGCATACCCTCTAGTGAGGTTGAGGGAGGAAGGTTGGGCGGAGATGAAGAAGGAAAAAGAACGCTTAACGAGATGAAGCGGTGTCGATGTGATTGATGGTGATCATCTCTTTGATCGATGCAGATAGAGCAATATACTACTTTTCACAATTCAAACATATCGTGCATGGACCTGCTTGGTAAATGTAGCCATCTGACCTGAGCATGGAAACGCTGCAGCAAAGACACTCGGTACATCGTCTGTTGATATTGAGACGCCAGGTTCTCGATGTCAAAACCGCATGGGAAATTTGGGACGTATGGTATGATTGTTCCTGTTGGGTGATGAATCGATCGATGGCAGTGTCTATTTAGTGGGTCCTCCTCATCCTCGCCCAGCGGCAAGAGGCCCAAGCTCCCATAGATCTGGTCACATGCATCTATAGATAGATGAACTCACCGACTTGACTTCAGATGTTCCCACCGGCGACTCTTGGTTACACCAAAGGATCTACCCTCACAAAGCTTCCCCCAAGCCATCCCATGCCGCGAGCCCCCGACCCCTTCGAACCTACGCCGCTACCAGCACTCCTCCTCCGGCATCCTGCGAAGCTGGTCCTTTACTACTCCTACCGCTTCCTCAACTCCCTCCGGTCCCAACCCCTCCCTTCCGAGCCTCGCCTGCGCATCGTCTGCATATCCGACACGCACAATGGCATCTCTGAAGACGTGCCCTCGGGCGACATCCTCGTCCACGCGGGGGACATGACGAACGTGGGGAGCATCTCCGAGATCCAGCGACAGGTGGACTGGCTGGCTAGCCTCCCCCACAAGGAGATCGTTGTCATTTCAGGGAACCACGACACGTATCTGGATCCGCGGACGAGGCCGTCACTGTCGGAGGACCAGCGGAAGGGCTCCGTAGACTGGAAGCGGGTGCACTATCTGCAGCATAGGAGACTGAGTCTGGCGGTCAGCGTTGGGCCTTCTGGTACGGAGTCGGAACGGTCGAGGCTGCTTTCCTCCGCGGCGCCACGTAGCAGACGTGTTTGTGTCTATGGAGCGCCGCAGATACCGGCTTGTGGGCCCATGTCGGTGCATGCTTTCCAGTACGAGAGAGGGACAGATGCTTGGACGGAGACTGTACCGAATGACACGGATATCCTCGTCACGCATACGCCGCCGAAGTATCATCGAGACCTCCCGCTTCCCAGCGGTATGGGGTGTGAGCATCTGATGGCCGAGGTTAAGCGGGTGAAGCCTGCGCTGCATGTGTTTGGGCATGTGCATTGGGGAGCAGGCCAGGAAACCGTGCGGTGGGATGGTTGTCATGATGCATATGTTGACGGCATGAGCGTGACGACTGGATGGACGGGTGGCTTGCTCAGTCCCAGGTTGCTGGCGAGCATTGTGAGGGTTTGGTACCGAGGGCTGAGAGGCTTGATCTGGGATAGGGTCTGGGGAGGCCTAGCACCGTGTACAAGGCTGGTGAATGCGGCGCAGATGTATGGGAATACAGGAAAGCTGGGCAATAGGGTGCAGGTGGTGGAGATATGATACCCGTTGAACTGCAGGATACATACGATTGAAAGAGACCGACCGTATATAATGGTAATCACGCTTGTTCAGATCTGTAACGCATGCTTTTGAAGTCGCCAACTCATTTCGTGTAGAAAGAATTTCGTTGGAACTATGGTAACCATGCGAGGAATCCATGTTCGACAACCTGGAGATCAGGGTATGAACCAGCCCATAGCCCGGTCCATAGCCATTCTCCGCGACCTTATAAGATTGATCATAACACCGTATCCCATGCCATGAAGAACCACCCAAAAGCGCACACACTCAGAGACGGCGACCACGGCGACCGCCCTTCCTTCTCGTGGAGTCGGAGGGAGTGGGGGTGACATCCTCAATGCGGCCAATGCGCATGCCCGCACGGGCGAGAGCGCGGAGGGCAGACTGGGCACCGGGGCCGGGGGTCTTGGTACCGTTACCACCAGTGGCTCGGATCTTGACGTGTAGAGCAGTAATGCCTAGCTCCTTGCAGCGGGCAGCTACCGCAGAATCAGCAAAACTGGCCATATCTGTTTCCTCTTTCCAGATTTTACGCACCGACGTCCTGGGCAGCCAACATAGCGGCGTACGGGGAGGACTCATCACGATCGGCCTTGACCTTCATGCCACCGGTGACACGGGAGATGGTTTCGCGACCAGACAAATCGGTAATGTGGACGAAGGTGTCGTTGAAAGAGGCGAAGATGCGGGCAACGCCGAAGACGAGCTCGCCCTAAGAAAGGTGTTAGAAAGTGTTGCAATGCTGCGGAAAGTGGAGGCGCAATGTCGACGTACCTCGCGGACCTGGGGACCGAGCTGGATGTTCTCCTGCGCGCCGCGCTCAACCTTCTTCTTGGGAGGCATGATGTCTGGTGTTAGTTGTCGACGGTGGGATCGGGATGAGGTTGTCGCAGTTCAGCGAACTTTCCTGTGGTTGTTCAATTTCGAAGTGGGATCGCTCCCGGGTCGGCTGAATGGTTGTTCCGGCGCTAGCCGATATCGCTCCGGGACTTTTCGTCGGCGTCAGCTTCCAAGATTTCTCTCTTCTTTTATTATCCCCCTCGCTGCCCGTCATGCCCTGAATACGACCGTTGTGCATCCTCTCAGCAGGATTCCCCTCAGCTTCACAATGGAAGATGGCAAGAGCATCGGCATCATCGGGATGGGTGATATGGGGAAGATGTATGCGCGCAGGTTGAGCGACGCAGGCTGGAAGTAGGTTTTCTCACACAACCTTTGCTCGCACGAGCTTCGGAGGTTGCAATGGTAAGTCCCTTTCATCCTCTTCTCTTTTGCTTTTATGATGACCGTGAGTGCATTTGGCTCGAGTATGGCGCATGTCTGTCCTGGTACCGTCTTGGGCTCAGGTAGCAGGCGTGTTGCTGTCACTGATGTAAATTCTCGCTACCTTAACTTTTTCTTTCTCTGAAAATCTTCACTACTTCTTAAGGTTCAATGACCTCTAGTAAGAACAAAGCTGACCCAACTGTCTCTCACAGATGATTTTGCATTGCTCCCCAGAATGTTAACCGGTACATTGCAGAGTTAATGCGTGCGATCTCCCTGATAAGTATGATGTATTGGTAGAGGAGTTTCGGGATCGAGTACGATAGCCTATGTAATTATCTCAATCGAATCCTGCTGAGCCAGTACCAGCCCAAGGTTGAAATCATGACCAGTGGTCATCTCGTTTCTCGTGCCAGCGACTATATCATTTACAGTGTGGAAGCCAAGAATATCGACGCTGTTGTCAGAACGTTTGGTCCATGTATGCCATCTCATCCTCGCTGCGTCCTTCTTGCAGACCTCTGATTCGGCCCAGCTACCAAATTGGGGGCTATCGTCGGTGGCCAGACGTCCTGCAAGGCCCCTGAAATTGCAGCATTCGAGAAACACCTTCCCAAGGATGTCAGCATCGTCTCCTGCCACTCTCTTCACGGTCCCGGCGTCGATCCCAAGGGACAGCCACTCGTTCTCATCAAGCATCGCGCCGATGATGCGGCTTTCGCCTTCGTGGAGGGCGTCCTCTCCTGCCTGAATTCGAAGCATGTCTACCTAACTGCGGAGCAGCATGATCGTATAACCGCAGACACACAGGCCGTTACGCACGCTGCGTTCCTCAGCATGGGCGCTGCGTGGTTGGCAAACAACCAATTCCCATGGGAGCTCCCTCGCTATATTGGCGGTATTGAGAACGTCAAGATCAACGTTACGTTACGTATCTACTCCAACAAATGGCATGTGTACGCAGGTCTGGCCATCCTCAACCCCGCCGCCCAGAAGCAAATCAAGCAGTACGCCGAGTCTGTCACGGAGCTCTTCAAGCTAATGCTTGCCGGACACAAGGAGGAGCTGAGGAACCGCATCTACACTGCACGTAAAGCCGTCTTTGGCGGGGATCGCAAACGCGACCTGCTGTTAGAAGACTCGGTATTGGATAGATTCTCCCTTGGGGATATTCCCGAGACGCGGCTCAAGAATAACCATCTGAGTCTGCTGGCTATGGTGGATTGTTGGTGGAAGCTGGGTATTGTGCCGTACGATCATATGATCTGTTCTACGCCGGTATGTGTTCCCTTGAGCCCCGAAGCAATCAAATCAATATGCTGAGAACTCGCAGCTGTTTCGTATGTGGCTCGGTATTACGGAATACCTCTTCCGTAACGAGGAGCTGCTCGAAGAAGTCATCGAGACCGCTATCAAGGACAACACGTTTCGCGCCGACGATTTGGAATTTACCTTCGCCGCCAGAGTGTGTCTCTCTGCGTTCTTCATTCTACTTTGTACATCCCATATTCGTTCTCCACATCGCTGACATATTGTGTCTGTAGGATTGGAGTTCCCGCGTCAGCCTGGGTCATTTCGAAGGGTACCGCGAGAAGTTCGAGAAGATACAGGAATATTTTGCGCCTCGGTTCCCAGAGGCAACGCGCTTGGGCAATGAGATGATTAAAACCATTTTAGAGAAGACGAAGGAGTCGTGAGATGGTCATTCACCTGCATCACCGGAATCGGCCATGGCGTTTCATGGCCCGACGGACTGTTGCACTATTCCTAGGTTAGGGAAGGAAGACATTGGAAGTAGTTTTTCTTAGGACAAGGGTTACACGCAGAGATGATTGTCTCAAGTTGAAGAATAATGAATCTCCTTCTGGCAACTTGAGCATTGACCTGAACCGCGAGGTGTCTCTGGAAGAGGTTCGCTAACCTAACGATAACGTAGAGCTCTACCGTCATTACAATTTGATAAATTCAACCGTTTCCAAACATCCTGGCCCGAACTTGAAGACCTATGAACGCTACTATTTAGAGAGTTGTTACGCACAATGAGCACTGAGGGCTACCTACGTAACGGTCACATGACACCGCGCTAAGCTTCACTACCTAGGTATCTTCAAGCTTTCAATGCGCGTAAGTCCATCGCAATACCATCCCCTGCGCAAGCAATGCCTCCCACCCTCCATGTCCCTCTCCACGCTCGCTAAAGAATGCATCGCTAATCAGTCTAAATACACATCACTCAACGCCTTCATATCGCTCGCCGATCGCGCATCAATTCTTTCTCGCGTGGCGAAAGTTCCCCCGAGCCGCAACCATGGACCTGACCGTCTATCCGGACAGCTCATAGCCGTCAAAGACAACATTTGCACTTCGGATCTCCCAACGACGGCGGGTTCCGGCATCTTAAAAAACTTCACGAGTCCCTACGATGCGACGGTTGTCAAGCAGCTGCGCGATGCGGGGGCCGTCATTGCGGGGAAGACGAATCTGGACGAGTTTGGTATGGGATCGCATTCGGTACACTCGTTCTTTGGGCCGGTGAAGAACACGAATGCGCGAGGAGAAGAGCTGAGTGCTGGCGGTAGCTCGGGAGGTAGTGCAGTTGCTGTCGCGACGGGGCAATGCACCGCAGCACTGGGAACAGATACTGGTGGATCGGTTCGACTACCTGCGGCATACACTGGCGTTGTTGGTTTCAAGCCGTCCTATGGGCTCGTGTCCCGGTGGGGGGTCATTGCGTACGCGAATTCCTTAGATACGGTTGGCGTACTTGCGAAGAGTGTCGCCCAAATGCGTCGAGTGTTCGATGCGCTCAACTTCCACGACCCACAAGATCCTACGTCCCTTCTCCCTTCGACACGGCGTCGACTCGGTAGGCCGGTTACCCAGCGTCCTCTCCGCATAGGCATCCCTTTAGACTACAACATCTCATCCCTCGACCCCACGGTGAGGAAGACATGGATGCACGCTCTCAAAGCACTCCAGCAAAAGGGCCACACTCTCCATACAGTCAACCTCCCAGCAACCCGCCACGCTCTCTCCGCATACTACATCCTTGCTCCCGCAGAAGCCTCCTCCAACCTCGCGAAGTACGACGGCGTACGGTACGGCAGTCGGGCGGAGGGACCCGATGGCACGCCGGACAGCGTGCTGTTTGCGAAGACGAGGGGCCGGGGTTTCGGCGACGAAGTCCAGAGGCGGATCTTGCTGGGCGCGTTCTCCCTGAGCGCACAGGCGATGGACAATTACTTTATCCAGGCGCAGAAGATCCGGCGGCTGGTACAGCGGGATTTTGACGGCGTCTTCTCGGCGCGGAATCCGCTGCTGACGTCCGCTTCTTCTGAGGCTGAGGGACATCGTGAGGGCGCGGGCGTCGATGTCCTTGTTTGCCCTACAGCACCGACGCCTGCACCCGAACTGGCCAAGGTGAAGAATCAAGATCCTGTTGACGCCTACATGAACGACGTGTTCACCGTGCCGGCGAGTCTTGCGGGCTTGCCGGCTGTTAGTGTGCCGGTGAAGATGAGGGAGACTCAGGGGAGTGGAGCTGGGATTGGGATGCAGGTCATCGGACAGTTTGGCGATGATGGGCTGGTATTGGATGTGGGGGAGGAGTTGATGGGAGAAGGTTGAGGAGAGACTTGTGACGTCTTTGCATAGATGTAAGATATTGTTGTGGGTATAGCACTGTATAGACTCATAGATTTGTAGCTACAAGGCACTGGCGAAGGGGTCACAGAGGCGAACGAAGATCACGTAAAAGGGCAAGATTGCCATAAGAAACAAGGACTCGAAAGATGCGGGCCGTTATCATATGGAAAATCCAGCGCAGGTTTAAAGTCACAAAGTCTGCCACTGAACCATCGTCTATAGCAGCGTTTCATTCATTCATTGCTATCCACTGCACACCTCCCTCTACTCCAAGCATCCACGCGTAAAAATTGCCAGCATCCACCAACCACCACACATGTCGAACCCAGCATGAAGATTTGATTCAGATGCCCTGAGGCGCGGTGCTCATTGCCATTGTGTCGAGGAGGGGCATTTAGTGCTAGACCACTGTCAGCATTGCAAGCTTATGGAGAGAGACTAAGAGAGCGAGGGAGAGAGAGGAGGGATACGCACGTTGCAGGCGCCGCAGTTGCAGCCGTCGCAGTTTCCGCTGCAGGAGCAGGATTGGCAGGCGCTGAGGGCATGAATGTTAGCGTACTGTTGGGTCTGATTGGTCTTTGACAGGTAGTCTCGTTTTCCACCCTCTGATACAGGAGGCTATGCAACATGTGGACATCGGACAGCAAGGTGCTAAAGGGAGGTGAAGAGAAGGAACGGGAAGTCAAGGGGAGGGAAGGCCAAGGTCCAGAGCCACTGTGGTAGATATCCAAAACGTACCAGGGAGACATGATGAAGGTAGTTTCTAAAAGTGGTTGATTGGTTGGTGGGTGTATAACGCGATTGTAGTGTCAATGTCGTACTTGGATGGTTGTAGGACGCAGACCATCAGGGTGCGCAAGCTGGGGCTTTATATACCTGTCCAGGCCTTCCTTCTCCTCCACCACCACCCTCGATCTGACCTTCCTCTTCCCCCCATTCAACAGTCCCTCCTCACTCGGGCTTGGTCTCCCACACCCACACACCAAGCCCTCCACACCCTCTCGGAGACCGAGTCCTGCGCATCATCCCGCTCCAGTCGGCGCCCTCCAAGGCTCCTTCGCTTGCTAGCACGATATGGGGGAGCTCCAGCTCCCAGGCTCGGCCCTCGTCGACCAATTCGCGGTGCAGGAAGGGATCACTGGAAGGGGTATGACACATGGATTGGTAGCCAGTGCCGGCCAAGTACGCCCACTCTTTCCAGAGATTGAGGAGGGTACTGTGATAGCTTCACCAATGGCAGGAGTGGACCGACCACATACGCAAAACGCAGTGAATGGGTGTTACAAGACGAGCTCGGATCCGAACATGTGCCTCTTGCTTGCATGGACATGCATGGCAGTGGTGGCCATATGGGCGCAGCTGCTGCCTGGTTTGGCGGAAAGCTGAATGCGGTAGACCGGTGAATAATGTCAAGGTGATAGCAATGCATGGGAACAACAGCAAGCCCGTGTCCAGCTATCTGGTGATTCCTGGCGGCCTATGGCAGACTAGATGCAACGTTCGATCGGCACCAGGCTTGTGGGGTAAGGCTCTACAGAGTACTTCGTAGCTGTCCAAGAGGAGTGTTTGAAACGGTCCATGGAAGTGGGGTGTGGGGAGAACCAGCGATGTCATCGTCGCCATGGCATTGGAAGAGCAGCTTCGAAGGATTTTGCCCAGGTCTTGGGAGGGAGTGAGGAAGGTTCGGAAGCGGGGTTTGTGCTACCCAATAGCCCCGTACATGAATCAGTACTGTGTGGTGGTTCTGAAGACTTTGCTTTTTCGTTAGCAGAGAACTGCCAGATGCGGCATGGAACGGGAAAAGCAAAAAAGGTGGGGAGAGAAGACTGGTGGGAAAGGCAACACATGATGCACCACATACCTGCACTTGACATGGTGATGGCGACCAATTACCAGCGTCTGTCCTAGGCGATTTAGCTTAGCCTTGGAACTGCGTGAGCATACCCCGTGGGAAACGAAGTCCGCCTTGGAATCCTGAGACTTCGCCAAAGAGAGGCGTGGACAGGTCGTTTGGACAAGAGACTTCTGCCAGTGGCTTGATTATACCTTGGTTGAACCTCCATGCCCTTATTACATGATAAGATCAGCTCATGACCAACCCTCAAACCGGACATCATAGCCATATTCGATGCCATCACAAACGCCGTAACAAATGCCATAACGATGCAGAGACAGGTATCGACAGGGCCAAGGGAAGAGGAATACGGACAGAAACGTGGAGAAGTTGTAACCCGTACTGTAGACGCACGCACTCAGATATCCAACTGCATACGCACGTCGTCGCCGAGCCTCCACTCGTCTTCACGAGCTGGGCCCTGAAAAGCGGCCAAATCATCATCTTCATCGCTTCTTCTGCTCACGTTTGTGCTCGTAGAGCTGGCTATCGTAACCGCTTTATCACTGCCCTTCCCGCTACGACTGCGACTGCGGCTTCTGCGCTTCTGCTTCTTCTTGAACCAGCTTCGTTTGGAATGAGCCGACGCTGCGTCCGTGTCCGAGTGTGCATGAAGTGTCGTGCCTCCCATTGTCGATTCGTTGGTGCTGTCGCCTTTGGAACCGCTGTCAGAAGACACCTGCGCTTGAAGTGGTGAAGGCGCTGCGGGTTCTGTGGAGTTCGCTCCGGGTTCCAGCTTCGGAGACGGCATAGGAGTCACTTCCGTCGATGGGGTTACTTCGACGAGCTCAGCATCGCGGTACCACTTTCGGCGACGAGTATAACGGCCCCAACCGTCTTGCCCTGGACGACCGTCCCGCCACTGTCATATTAACTCAGTTCCTCAAATCAGGTAGACTTCACTCACGCTATTGTCGTAGTAGATCCAGCCATCCCCACCAGATGATCGCTTCTCCCCCTTGCCCGATCCGACACTTTCTACCTTCCACTCACTTCCCTGTACCCATCTCCATCTCGCATGGCCACCTTCAATCTCAGGCAGCTCAAACTCATCCTTTGGCGGAGTCGGGTTCAGATGTTCGTCTGTCCAGGGCGCACGCTCGTAGGCGAGCATCGAGGACGTCCAACCGATACCCAACCAGCGCCGCTGGTTCTCATAGATGCTGAATGTAAATCGGACGCCGGGCGAGTCCGGACGTCGTTTCGCGGCGAGAGCAGCCGCAATCTCTTGGGCGCTCTTTCTTCGAGGCGGAAGTGCAGGGCCTCCATCTTTGGGGCGCGGTTCGCCAAAGTTCAAGCCTGTGAGGAACACGCAGATTCTCCGCACCAGCTTCGATCGCCAGAGGATGGCTCGCGAGACGCGAGCCGGTCGTGAATGCCAGCTCAGAACAACGGTTCCAACAGCGAGGACCACGCGCTTCGTGGTAAGTATGTAGAAGGGTGGAAGGGTCAAGGTAATCCAGAGTGGCAGCACCAGCAGTATGCGGATGAACAAGGCAGTAAGCGCCGGTCGGGTGGTTGCGGACGTTGCAGTCCTCTGTGTGGAGAGGAAATCAGTAAGTCGCAGGAAGGGGTCCAGCAGGATGTTACAGCGGGAAGTGAACAGTTTGAGAGTGTCGACAATCTCCTCCAGGCTCTTGTGATGCTTGATGTTACTCTCGGATTCGGCGCGCTTGTGGCCCTTCTGACCCTTCTCGCCCGTCCACCCGGTCGATGACAGCGGCGAGTACCTCCTCGCATACATTCCCAGTATCAAGCCCAATACGACGATGATGGGTCCTGCATATCGTGTCACGGCGTCGCCATACAGTACTATGGCCCAAAAGGCAGCCAGCAAAAGGAAGCTCTCCCATGGATCCTCGGTTGTCCATGTGAGCAGCCCCACCACCTTGTTCAGCGGGAGCAGGAAGGGATGCGAGTATGCGAGAACGCGCGTTATCTGCGGAGGAGTGGCCGCCAGCAGCGGGGACTTCTGGTGCACGAGAATGGCGGACCGGACTTGAGTGTGCGATGCGCCGTGGGCTAGGGTCGGGGGCGAGAAGGCAGCATAGGTGGGCGGGTTGCTGGAGTCGGCCGTGGGCTGCTGCGGCGACACATGGCTGGCGGATGGAGATGGGGAATGGGAGGAGGGCATATGATGGAGCCAGGGGGGTTCTATAGACAGTAGACAAGCATTAGAAGGGGTGGTTTTCGGGATGTTGCTGAAGGGGGGAGGGGGAGGGAGACTTGCCAAACGCAGCCATAAAGCTGCGCTATGACATCGCCAGCGACTGAACAGGTGAGCTTCGGTGGGGGTGTTGGCCCAACTGCGTCGTGGTACGGATTACTTTGATAAAGATGCTGTTGTCTTCTGTCAGGTGGCAGACAGCATGGGACTGAAGAGACCCTGGAAATGAATGAGTGATGGGAAGATCTGATGTTGGCTTTTCTGTTGAAGAATGGGTGGATTGTTGTTCGGCATGTGCATGTGAAAGACGATAGATCTAGGTCAGCTTGGTCGCGAAGTCCACCGCCATCCGCGGGCAAGCGCTGAATAAATGATCGGAAGCATCTCCTACCGCAACGAAGACTTCCTTGAAGCTCTACTGTGTATGGATTTTGCCAAATGGTAGACTTACAAGAAAGGGTCGGGCTGTGCGCACCACCAGTACTTGATCGTAATCCGTATGTCCTTCTCCTGCCAGTGGCCTCGGGAGAGATTCGAGATTCCATCGATCTATGCGCTCGGCTGCTGATTGGCCCGATTCGCGTACGGTGTCACATGATCAAAAATCGGCAAGGGTAAGGGTTCCAAGGATTTCTCCAGCGATTCCGTGTCGGCCTTCTCACAGTATCTATCTTGCCAGCGGCGACAACTTAAACATCAAATTCTGGTTCCTCGCAGCCGGCCACCTCATCTCTCCTCCGCGCACCTGCAATGGTACGTCGCCAGTTCCTCGGGAAGCTCAAGTATTGACTCTACTAGGCCCACCGCATCATTACCCAGGTCGTCTTCACCGGCGCCCGCATATTAGGCAAAGCCGTCCGCGAATCCTACCAGCACGCCGCCGCAACGCAAAAGTATGCCGCTGCCACCCAGAAGACGGGCGGCGTGGGCTTCGCCTCGAACAACATCACCATGGAAGAGGCCTGCAAGATTCTCAACGTCGGCCCCTCCAAGATGGGCCAAATAGATCTCGAGTTTGTCACCGAACGCTTCAAGCGGCTTTTCGATCTCAACGATCCCAAGAAGGGCGGCAGTTTCTACCTACAGAGCAAGATATTACGCGCAAGAGAGCGGATAGAACGAGAAGTACAGAGCTACCAACGGATGGCGGAGCGCGAACGGGAGCTGTCGGAGGGATTCAAGCCCAAAATCACAAAGGATTGAGCCATATCGGACTGGCTTACGCCATTTGCGATGCATCCTAGATCTCGCATCATCTTCGTCTTGCTCGTCCAGCGCGATACCTCAGCAAGCATTTCTGCATCTGTACGGCGTTGATTGGATTATGGGCATACCGTGTGCTTTTTGGTGTTTGTCTGGTAGAAGACGGAGCGTTTCGGAGAGAGTGCGTCCGCATGGACCCAACCGGTTTGGCGGTCATGGCTCTCCACTCTGTATTGTCTAGATGTATAAAATCTTGTAACATCGGCGGCTAGGTCGGATATCTGATGATTTGAAGAATTGAGGTATATGCCATTCAAACCACTGTCTCGCTCCTCCTTGGTGGCGTTCCTGCTCGAATCCAACGCCCGCTCGTGCCGCATTATCGATCACAGTATCTAACGGATATCTAGGCTTTGCAACTGGTCCGAGAGTCTCGAGATGGGTCCGCAAATAATGTTCAGCCCTGCTGCATTTTGCCTGTCGTCCGGGGTTTTCGCGGGGCCGCGCCAAGCCACTAGCCTCAATCTTCCTCAACGACAATACTTTTTGTGAGAAATGTTTTGACATTTTATCCTTCACCACATCGCCGCTCGCCAGAACACGGTTCGACACGCTGTGATTCACGCGACAAGCACACCTCCAGAGACGACCGAGGCTTTCATCTGAGACAACTTGCGGCTGCCGCCATGGCAGGCGACTCGTATCGCCCGCCGCCGCGCCCAAAGCGCGAACAGCGTCCACCGCCCGCGGCATCACTGGCCGGCCGTGTGACCTTCAACAGCGGCGGCGGCGGAGAGAACTATGTAGACAGCTACAGGCCTGGCGCGCCGCCCAGTGATCGCGCTTCGGGCGCCCAGTTCACCTTTTCGTCCCAACATACCGCGCCGCGCTTCCCCCCAGCGCCCCCCGCCGACTCTGCGCGCCGCCGACGACATGTGCCCGGCGTTGGATTCAGGAAAAATGGTGCCAGACGCGACCAGCAGCGCCCATTTCCCCACCAGAAGCCGGCTCCGCATGAACGCGCACTGCTGCGAGCCCGCACTGGAACAAGCCCTGAGCGCCCATTGGGCGTCACCCAGGGATGCAACCGATTTCGCGACTTGGACGAGCTGTCTTCCAGCGAGACGAGCATGAGCATTGACGATGATGAGAACAGAAGCACCGACTCCGACGAAGCCGATCAACCAAAGAAGAAGGTGCCTCGCGTCCCGACAAGCGCGTCTGATGGCAATGCGCCACCCAGGTGGTCGAATCCTGACCCGTATACCGTTCTGCCTCCTCCAGAAACGACGGGTAAGAAGAAGGATTTCGTACAGTTGATCCGCAAGGCCAAGATCCAAGCCGCGGAGAAGACCAAGGTGGAAAACGCCGTGACCGCCAATGAGGACTTCATCTCGTTCGGAGACGACGAGGACAAGCCAAAGGAGGCCGCAGCAAGCAAAGGTGGTCCATCCCCTTTCTCATCCCCTTCCCTATCCCGTTTGCCGTCTCCTTCTGCTTCTTGTTCTTCTGCCTCCCTTTCCGTGTCCATATCTCCTTCACCCCCGCCTTGCACGGCTTCTCTTTCACCGCCGCCTCCACAAGACAGTCACCGCCCTCTTCCCTCGCGTCCACCTACTCCACCAGGTACCTTTTCAACACCTCAGGTCGCTTCTTATTGGCCATACAGCAACTATGGCCTGGCTTATCCCTCTCAACCTTATACACACTCTTCATATTTTCAGCCGAGCCACCATTCTGGTGTGGCTTCTACTTCTCCATACTCCGCTGTTCCTCACCCTCAGTCTACGTTCGCTGTCCCTTTCCGCCCGTCTCTATATTCAGGCGCTGGCTATCAATATTCGCACAATAGCTATAGCCTTGGTCGTGCTTATCCTCCTGCCCCTGGTGTTGATACCCCTACATTTCCTACTACTCCTCATGTACCCTACCTGCTGACAGGAGCGTATTCTATGGCAGGCTCTTTGAACGATATCACTGCGAACTGGACATCAATGGCGATACCGCGGGATTCTCGGCAGCATGCCGGAATTGCCGGCTTGCCTGCAAGGCCTCCGCTGCCCGCTCGTCCGAAGCGTAAACGCGACGAATCCATCGGCGACGTTCTCCCAGAATGGCAAACAAGAACATCAAGCAATCCAGCCCCGTGGTGCAAAAACAAGGACTATGCGTCAAAGCTGCTTAGTAAAGGCGTCTCCGATTACGACAGGATGCTCATGCTGTAAGTATTTCGGCGGGTACTGAGTGCTAATGGTTCGGTACTGACTGGTTGTCCAGGCTCCACAATGAGATCTTGGACTTTGGTGATTACGTCCTTCCCGGTGGCCACGAGCATAACGTTCGCATGGAAATGGTGGGTCGTATTGAACGCTGCGTTGCGGGCCGGGGGGCTGTATTCCCCGGCAGTTGCCGCATCAAGTGCTTCGGCTCCTTTCCCACTCACATGTATCTCCCCACAGCGGATATGGATCTTGTCTTGGTCAGCGATCAACATTTCCACGGCGGTCCCAAAATCTTCGACGTCGAGCGCAGACGCCAAGTGTCCAGCGTTCTGTATACCGCCGAGCGCCTGCTCAGACGAAGTCGAATAGCGACAGCGACTCAAGTCATCGCCAAAGCCAAGGTTCCCATCATCAAATTCGTCGATGTCGCAACTGGGATCAAAGTCGATCTCTCCATGGAAAATCTCACCGGTGTAGCGGCACAGCAGACATTCAAACAGTGGAAAGACAAAGAGTCGGACTTGGCTACATTGGTGGTCCTTGTCAAGCAGTTTCTATTCATGCGAGGGCTTAACGACGTACACACTGGCGGATTGGGGGGCTTTTCAATCACCTGCTTGGTCTACGCATTCCTCCGCACTGCCCGGTCTCGAGAGGAAAGCGAAGGCATTGTCAACCTGGGCAAGCTCTTCATGGGATTTCTCGATTTCTGGGGTAATCAGTTCCAGCTTGCAACACAGCGTTTAGTGATGCATACAGATCCCCCAACCATCGTCCCTAAGGTACGCAACGTACGAGGAGCGTCTCCATAACATGAGCTGACGGGCAACAGGACACCATTGGAGTGGATGGACGGGAGGAACGACCGGATCGTCTCTCTATCCAGGATCCCAACAATCCCGAAAACAACGTATCAGGAGGTTCGAATCGGGTGGAGCACATATTCAGGTTGTTCTCGGAGGCTCACAAGGTACTCGAGCAGCGACTTCGAATTGTCGATCTCTCTGGAGTCAGTATCCTGGAGACCATAATTGGCGGCAATTACGATTCGTACGAGCAGCAATGGCGCAGGATCGGCAGAAGATAGAAGCTCTCGTCTTATCCGTCGCCTTACCATGCGCCATGGTAATACGGCTTGCGACGCGCACGAGGCGGGGGTTTGTCTCTCCCGGGTATGTAAGATATGGTTCGGCTCAAGGGGGTAGTGACGAAGGGTGGGCGGGCATTTCCTGGAGTTCCGGTATACCCGAGAGCTGGTGTTATGGGTTTATTTGTTAATTTTGAGCTGGGTTGGTATCCATCTCACCTTGTGCGCAAGGTAGGTTGTTCCGCATCGGTCGTTGACAGCGATGTCCAGTGTCATCTCGACGCTTTTCTATGATTACATGCCGCTACGAACCATGGGATCTCGTCCCAGTCGGAACCTAATACTTCAGCATGCTGCAGATGATCTCTGAAACGAAGCGGATGTCGCGCGCATGAACGTTGACAGTTGTGCAGTGGACCAACCGGTTACGCAGCCCACGCCGAGGCTGGTCGGTTCCGGATTGTATGATAATTCTATTCAAGATTACTTCTCTAGCTTCCTCTTCTCTTCTCTTCTCTCTTCTTACCTCCAGAGTTGGTTTGGCACTAATCTATACCCGGTGTGGGACAGGAGCTTATGCACGCAAGAACGGCGTCTAGGGATCGTTTGATCTGCTAGTGCTTGTTGCGCCATCCTTCCATTGTATGGAGGGTATCCTTTCTCATTGGTGAGCTCGCTATATGCGTGCCATCGAGGAGGAGGAGGAGCAGGAGGCTGTTGTTGAGCATGCGGTGGAAGATGTGCTATGGGTGTACGGTCGGTGCCTTAGTGAACTATAAAAATCTCAGCCTGCGTTCATAATCCATGGATGTGTTCTATAATTTTCTGTGCTTACTCTTCCACTGTGACTTTGAAATACCTGTCTGGGCATGAAGGTGTCGTTCACCTCACATAACTACAACGACTTTTCAATGCTATCAAGCACTTGGGACTTGGGAGAATTAGCGGACCCTGGCTACTTGGTGATTTGCTGGGATTCTTCCAAAAACTCTAAAGTGTATGTGGACTGTACCAAAGTGGGATAACTACCAGTATTAGGCAGTTATGCTCCTCTTGCTCACTCTTAGGGCTAACGTGGGCGACCAGCTCGTGCACGTGACCGGCTCGTGCACGATTTTAGCGATCCCGCAGAAAAAAGCCCCCATTTTCAACAAGCTATATCTCAACCAATATGGGCGATATTGAGGCAGCTCTTGCTGCGGCGAGATCGCAGAAAGAAGGAGAAAAAGTTAATATTACATTAATCGCGAAGAAATATGGTGTTAATTGGTCAACCCTCTCAAGACGGCTGCATGGAGTTAATCAAATGCGGCTAGCTATGAACGACAACAAAATCTCAGCACCACCCAAGAACTACGGCTGGTAGAATATATTGAGAGTCTTTCAAAGCGTGGGCTACCTCCTACGGTTCAAATGATTCGAAATTTTGCCCAGGAAATTGCTGGAAAGCCAGTGGGCAAGACCTGGCACAAGCGCTTCCTCAACCGCCACAGCTCCAAGTTAACAT